ATTTGAAGGCTATTTTTGGTGTCAATTTTGCAATATTGCAGAGTTGTAGCAATGATTCAAAATGAATAGACTATACATACATACATGTTGAATACTAGAATGAAAAATATCCTTTCTTGTCCAAATACTTAGTAAAGTGGTTACCGAAAGAATATCTCAAAACATTCTTAAAGTGTCTGCTACGTTGTCTTTCTAGTCTGTTGAAAGAAGAACAGTAACTCTATGTATTATAATTCTCAAAGACTGAAACGGAAAAGGTTGTTTGTAGATTTCACTTGGACTGTCCTTCCTATCCTTTGTTAAATGAATAGAAGAGAGTTTTCCTCGGTTTTAGACCAAACGAAAAAAGTGGCAGCAAAAACTTGAGGCTTCCTCTAACTTGAGAACCTGCACTGCGGTCTCAAAAAGAGTTTTAGCTTGTTGAAATTCGATAAAAGTTTAGATTCCTTTCGTTTTTAATAAGTTTTTTTCAAACTGCATTTGTAGCCTTGGAATTCATATGAATGGCTTCTACAAATATGAAACTTGTTGGATCCAAGAGAAAATATAGCAAAGGTAAGAACAAATACTAAAAAGAGTATTTAAGTTTGCAATTCAAACTCCATCTCAAAAGTACTCACGACACTATATATCTAAACTCTGTTTTAGTGAATTAGACTGAAAACTCACTGACTCTCAGATCGGGTGAGTTCTCCGGTTGTAAAGCTGGTATTCAGAATGAAAAACTTTGTTCAATTATTGATAGTACAAGAGGCATCTTAAGTGATTCTATCCATTTGTCACACTGAGATAAAAACTTTCTATTTCAGACAATCACTGTTTACATAGGAGTTCTATTTATATTGCATTGCAAAGGACAAGTTTGAGAGTGGAACAGAATTGTTTCTAATTAGTCAAAGGAAACCATATCCAATCTTGAAGTATTGTCATTCTATAACAATCACTTGACCGATAACTTAGGAACTACAACGTCTTTCAGTCAAGAGTCGTGTTGGGTAAAAGTTCTTCAATATGGAGTGGCTTTCAGTTGGAGAATTGCTGAAGCTTTCAAGTTGGTACACTACTCGACCTTGACTCAAGTATAAAAGGCTTCTTCTTTAGTAAAACAATTTTTTGGTTCTGTCTTTTGCTCTTTTTTCAGCATCGATGTGTGGAAAATGAACGGTTATAGTTACTATATTTGAAGCCTTTATTGATGTCCTTATATAAGACATATTCACAACTTTTTAAAGTCGAACAAAGGATAGACAACTTGTGTAGCTATTACATCAATAATGGCTTGTATTTAATGATAAGTCAGTATGACAATCTACATAATACACTTCTCCAAATTCAATTAGATATTTTTGTATTTATAAACTGCTACGAACGGTTACAAACTAACAGACTTCCCATTCATTGCAATTCTCTGTTTCCCACTGTATTTCGTCTGTAACTTACAAAAAGCTTGTATCTTATTAGACTTGTATATAGGAGTTTGCGTGTAAGATAGTGTGGAAGATAGTAGAAAAACTCTCTTACGGTATACAAGCCATAGAAAGAGTACCCATCAGTCTAATTCACCACAAAAACTCATAGAAACCTATTTCTTGTCTATAGTAAAAGAAAGTTTCTAGTTATGACAAGCAAGAAAATATTCCGGCTTTCTCTCCATTGTCATTGTACGTCTAGAAGTGTCAACGAGATCAGTTTTACCAATCACCAAATAAAGCAATCGCTCGAACAATAAAACATACACTCTCTTCCATCTCCTTTGTCCTCCTCCAAGTGTTTTGTTCTCGGCTCCTTTGAAAGCTTTTAGGTCATCGCTTTCATCAACCTTTTCTCATCATCACTCATTCATTGATTTTGGATTGGCGGCGTGTAAAATGGCTAGTCAAGAGATACGCATAAGTTTGCCTGGAATGACAAAAGTACCGTTAATAGATAGAAAAGAAGATGTTTACTTTATTCTTCTAACTTATTTGCACCAGTTTTCTCCAGTTGAGGGAAACTTGAATGACATACGTCCTGCAGCTTGCTTTTCCCCTCAGGTCTTTGGAGCTGGGAAGAGTTTTGTTGGAGAAAATTTTTTAGAGTTTTTAAAAAAATTCGCCGACGAAGAAGAAGAGCAGACGAAGACGGAGGTTTTCAACAAGAGCTCATCGGGAAAAGTTGATTTGAAGATTTTTTCTTGGAAACACTTTGCGGAAAACACTTTGTCAGTTTGCTTTAAACTAGAAGAGGGTTTTTCTCGTGCTCCTTTTCCAAGGTTTCTAGAGGCTTTGATGTATAATATAATTTTGAACGCTTATCGACAAAATGGTAAAGATACGGACGCTCTTCAGATGGCTCAGAGGATGGTAAAGAAATTCGATACTGTAGGAGCTATTGATTATCTTCTCGAACAATTTGAGAAACAATATTTATTTTTGATGATAGACGAACTTAGTCATCTGAGTTACCTCACCAGATACTATAGTGAACTTACCATGAAACAGTTTGTCGAGTCTGACCCAAAATATGTACCTTTTCGGAATTTCTTCCGCATTCTACGTAGTTTTTTGATTACAGGGAAGGTAATTGTCTATTTGGCAGGTCGAACTGCTGAAATCTCAGCCCCCCTGTCTGATACTCGCTCCAGTAGTGTCACCCTCCATATGTTGCGGTTGAATCCCTTTAATCTTCGTGATATTAACGAATATCTTGAGCTGGCAAGTTATGATGGAAAGTCCTTGAAGGACTGTTTATTGCTCTCCGTTGATTTACGACATCGATTCGTAGAATTGTTGAAAAAGAAGACAGGAGGTATTCCGTTGATTGTAAGGAATACTTTACTAGCCCTAGTAGGGAAACTTGCAAACTTATCTCAACCTGTTATCAACAATGACAATATGGAACCCTTATTAGATAGAATCTTTCGCTTGGTACTACTAGAGTCGGTGACGATTATTATTCCGGAGATACCTGATTCCGCAACCCTTCTTCGATATCAATTTGTCCTTTTGAATTATCTGCTCGGAACAATTTTTCCAATTAACTTTATCGTTACTTTATGTGGAACGGAAACTTATTTGATGGACTTGGTTGCAACTTTTGGGTTTTATTCTGAAAGTTGTGGAACTGACGGGATTGATTTGGGGACTGAGTTTAAGATTGGTTGTTGTGAATTTATATTGAGAGCTCATAGCAAAGATAACTTTTTCCGTGAGGCTACTGAACTTTTTCCTTTATCTCCGTTTAGTTATATTCCCGACACTGCAACAGCAAAGAGAGTCTTCTTTGAATTTTTATTTATGAAGATCTTTCGTTTTCGCTTATTAACTTTTCTTCATTCTAATTCCTGGCCTATTGTACATTCTGCTATTCCAGGGATTTTCCAGGGTTCTTTTATTGAACAGGACAATGTTTCTTATTCTATGGAATCTGCAAAATCTTATGATATACCCATCTTGAGAGATGTCTCTCGTTCATTTTCTGTTCATTATAGAGATTATTTACAACATTGTGGTATTTTTGTTCCAAAAGATGGCAATTCGAGTGGTCCTGATGCATATGTTGTATTCCATAATGGACAAACACGTTATGTTGTTGGATTTTCATTCAAATTTTATCACAAAACTGAATTTTCGAAGAGAGATATTGAGAAGGAAGCCGAAGAATTTTTTCAGGGAGTTGTTTCCGTTTTGAATGACGGATCTCCTTCATCTGTTCAACTTTGTTTTCAGTTTGTGGTGGTAGTTTGTACTAGTTATGATCGATCTGTAGTTTTCTCTGTTGAAGAACATAATATTGTTGAGGATGCAAGTTATTTGGTTACTGAACATTCTGCAGGGTCAACTTTGAATGAAAGTCGTCGATCATGTCTGCAGTTGGTAGTTGTTTCTCAAAGGAACCTTGAACGATTTTTTGGAATAGAAAATTTCGATATTTTGAGGAAAATTGGGAAAGCAAGCCGAGAAGAGTTCAGAAAAGACTTTTCAGTATGGTGTAAAACTGTCTTTGAGTCGATGTCCGATGAATATGTTTCGCCTTTGGAAGCTAAGCCATTCAATGTTACTTTAAGAGTAGCTCGAAATATAAGACCGAGAACCAATGAGGAGAATAGGATGCAAATGGAAGGTTTTCAAAGTGCTATGCAAGTGGAAGAAGGAAATACACGAGGCGAACAAAGGGTTGCAGCATCGAGTTCTTTGTCTTCGTCATTTGATTGGAATACTTTCCTAAGAGAATATTGTGGTCTTTCTGAAGAAGATGTTGCTTATTGTCTTCCGAAAGTGGAAGATATTGATATGGACGAGCTTCCAGCGGTGACCAAAGAAATTTTAAGGGACTTGGGTATAGATAAACCTGCGTTGAGGTTGAAGATAAGATCTTCTATAAGGTCATATCTCGCTAACGAACGATGAATGTATTTGAGAGTTTTGTCATTTTTTCAATATGTTTCATTCGTTGTATTTGCAACTGATAAATACAAAATTTTCTTTTATTCTATTATCGAACATTGAAGATGTTAACCTGCTTTACTCGATTTTGAGCAAATGCTTTCACAGGAGATATGGAGTCTTTTATGTTTAGTGAGTTTTATTCAAGAAAATATTCCACTAAAAGAGATATAAAAAGCTATTGGTATAATAACTGGTATAGATAGAATTTATCTTGATACCATAGTAATATTGCGACAGGAGAAAGATAGCGTTGTAAGGAAGTTCTGTCAACTCCCTAACGACGCTTAAGCCTTTCAACAAAGTTGAGTTTGACCGAAATTAGCTTTGCAAAGAAAATCTCAGTTCGATTGCAATTAGTTTTGATTTGTTCTCATGTTGTGTGCAGTGATCAGTCCAATTCGGATGCTTTGTAAGGTCAACTTGAAAGTGCGAGATGGTCACTTTTCAATTTCAACGCGGAGCAACTCTGTTAACTTGTCATACAAATAAAAGGCTCAAGGAGCACTCTTTCTTCAATTATCAACCGTTAGAAATTTTGAGCAATGAACTTTTTAAGATTTGTCCTAAGCTTCACAATCAAACGTTTGAGCATTGGACTTTTAAAGAAGATTGATCGATCATTGTTGTATTTTTCTGTTGCATAATTTACTTCATAGCTTACGATATGTCTAGTGAGCTTGAACCAGAAACCGTATATGACATGGTTGTAGTACACCGAGAAAATGATGTTCGTGTAGTAACACTGCAGTTATTTCAGCTATACACTCTCCGTAAACTTGATCGCCATTTCAAACCAGTCATACCCTTTGGTCCTCACCTCTTCGGAAGTGGAAAGACGAAATTCGTACAAAGTTACTTGGAACTGGTGAATAATATGGGTGAAAGTGCACTGATAGGTCTCGATTACGTTTATGAGTCTGAGAAGGCCAACCGAAGAGGTTTCCTGGAGAAATTAAAAAGGGCTTCGTTGCTTTATGCGGATTTAAGGCGGTTGGAGCCCACAGTCCCCATAGAGTTTTTTCGAAACCTGAAGTGGGCAGTCTACTATTTGTTAATAAAGGCTGCCTGCTCTCAAGTTGGCGCGGAAATTTTTCGAAAGTAAGAAGCCTTCGAAATGGTGGATATGGAACCCTCCAACCTAGTTCCACTCTTACGAGATATACTAAGGATTCCTTCTGATCAATATCTTCTGATAGCATTTGATGAAGTTGGTGTCCTAGACGAAAGTCTCGACGAATTTCATTTCAAGAGAACCCATGACGGAAGAGTTCGACCTTACAATGACTTTTTCGGTATCATTAGTCAATTGTGCAAAGAACCCGACTTGTTTTTTATTGTTGTTGGGAAAAGTGAAGGCTTAAATATATATAATTACGTAGCTTCAGTCTCAAGGGTTCAGTTAGTGTTTATTCCTCTTTCGCCGCTTGAGAAACATAGTATCGTGGAACATTTGGAGAAAAGTTCTTCCTTTTTATTCCCTGGGAGCCCAAAGGTTTCAGAAATTCTTTGTCACAAAGACTTCTCAACTAGTGAACTTGCAGAATTGTTGTTGGAATTGACTGGTGGTGTTCCTGGTTTACTTGTTCGAGCAATCAGTTACCTTTTGCTGTATAAATCATCCAACAACAATTTCTTATTATCTAAGGAAACCTTCTTGATCATAATGAATGGTTTTTTAGTAACAAATTATTGTGTTGCGCCATTCTTACCTCGTCTGATAAGTCTCAGTGAGCAGCGTAAGCGCTTGTTAAGAATGCTTACGTTATTATCTTTGTATCGTATTCGATTTGATTTTGATGAAACTGTGCAAATAAGCTCAAATTCTGATGTGTTTTTGTTTGATCTAGTTACAGATATGTGTCTCTATCGTCGATTGGTTATAGAACCAGACTGCAACGAGCGCTACGAAGTGTTGATTCCCAAGTTACTGATTGAATATATTGACCAAGGCTTAAAGGATGATCGTTTAGAATGGTTACTTTTACAAACCCTCAAGTCTCAATCTGTTGAATTCTTTTATGAGTCGAAATGTCGAATTTTGGAAGGTCTTATTGCTACACTGTTTTATTTACATTTTTCTCGGCGTTCTACAAACAGCTCAATGTTTTCTACTCTTGGTCAATTGTCTCGTGTTTGGAATGAAATGAATTTACAATTTTCTTCCGAATCTGCTGCTTATTATATGAAATCTATACATTATACCAGAACTGTATCAGGAATGGAGAGAATGACATTTGGAAGCAATAATGAATGGGAAAGGATAGTGGAAGAAATGTTAGAATTTGAAAGGATATATATTCCATTTCATTCAACTTTTCATAGTCCGATATATTATTCATTCAAGTTGCATGGAAGAACGAATGAGAAGAACTTGATTGTGGGTATTGCTTGTAAAGGCCGATGGAGTCGTAATGGTATTCGATGGAATGAAATTTTGGAAGAAGCTCACAAGTTTTTAAAAGCAGTGCATGATCAAGTATTGACTAGTCATCCTACATGGCATTGTATGTTGATTATTATGAGTACTCAATTAGCAACCAACGTATCTGAGGACTTGAATCATTCTAGTCGTTGTTATTCATCTGGCGATAGTGTTGGAGAATTCTTGATTCCTCACAACTGTGAATTGGTTATTCTTTCTGAAGCTGATGTAGAAAACTTTATTGGCAAAGACATTTTATCAAATTTAAGGAAGGCTTTCAAGTCTGTGGATAATCCACATTCGAGAAATATTGGCGTTTCAACCCTACAAGAAATAGTTTTATCTCTTTCCAAAAATATTTAGGAATATCTTGTTTTAATACCTGACAATTTTTCCAAAAATAGACACTTTCAAAAGTTGTTATGAATCGGGCTATTTTATAAGACACTTTCAAAATTATGTCAACTTCAGGAAATTTATTCCTCTAACCACAGTTGCATGTTTTGGATGATACATTCTATTGTTATTGGCAGTATAGTGTATAAATTGAGGTTACAACAAAGCCGAACTCTGACTTCAAAGCTCCTCTGGTTTTCATGAAAAGCAACTCATAATTTTCTTTTTGACATTTTCTTATAGTGACAAGAGGAATGTTCCTCTCGTACAGATAAAATGTTCCATAATGGAAAGAGAATATCATGTTTGATTTTTTTGAGAATAAACGATTCCATGCCTAATCAATGAGTAGTTATTTTTTTATCCTAGATGTTGTTCTACTATAGAACTTTCTGGTTGTAAACTTGACTTTATTTTAATAGGACATTGAATGTTATACAAGTGTGTCTCTGATAATACTGAAACTTTCATTTTTCTACTTTACAATGCTGTAGGAAAGGAACATCACAACCTTAGGCACATATATCTTACGGTAAGGAAAATCACAAGGGAGTTGCCAACACTTGAAAGCACAACTTGGAGTATTTGCAGTAAACCACTCAACAGATAACGCACTCTTTCTTAGCAAATTCTTTTTACTTAACAGAAATTTGTAACAATATATCCAAACACACATAGCCCAGTTGTGAGGTAGTCAGCGGTTATACAGCTTCAAAGCTTCTGCTTTTTCGGAGTACGCATCTCCTGAATTCTTGATACAAGTCTTTCTTCCAGCGGTTGCGTTGAAAGTATGACAAATATTCGAAGAGTTTTTCTGAGAGTCAAAGCGCCTGGTCTTTTCTTCAAGTTTGTGAAACAGAACCCATGAAGGTTAGAGAGGTTTTGAAGCCAAACGTCTGTTTAGTAGCTGAGAGTGGACGAGAAGCTTTGAGACAAAGGTCTTTAAAGAGATTGTAAAGAAGCAAGTCAAAGTCGGCAAATGTAGACAAAACTCGACTGGTCTTATCAAACAGTACAAAAACCTAATTAAAATTTCTCATACAAGTAGTCAATAGCAGAAAGGAGGCTAGTGGCTTTTGTTCATACTATGAACAAGGTCTGTTCAACTTTACAGAGTTCTGTAGACATATCTCTTGCTCACTCATGGCTTTATATCTATGACTTTTGGGAAAGTCTAGAATGCTATCACAATATATTGATAAAGCAATACTACAAACTCGCGAATTGATATGTGAATTGTAAACCCACTTTTGTTCTTGTAATATTTCTAGTACGATATTCTCATACATTGACTTGTTCCCATTTCTATCTATTGTTTGCAAGTTTTATAAAAGTTCCTTGCTTGTAATGATAATATTAACATGTTACTGAGAATCCAAGCTAGACTCAAGAATCTCCAAGATTCTCCAAAGTACTTTCACTTTCTGAATTCCAAAAGGTAATGTTTCTTCTTCTTGTGAAAAGAACAGTCGTGAAAAATTCCCTATTATTGAGTTTGCTTCAAGAAAAGGTGAATTTGGACTAATTAGGTTGTTTGCTGACGAACTTTGAGTCTTTTTTGAACCTCTTCGTGAACTAGAAAAGTGAAACACTTGTCAACAACTTGTTTGATATCCTTCTAGTCCTTATACATAGACTGTAATATGTTGAAACAAATAAAGAGCAATCTTATTCGATCCAATATTCCACTAGCTTTATGTCCTACTTGTAAGAGATCATCGCTGTTAGAGAAACAACCTACCTTTGTAGTGCAAGTACTCTGAATATAACTAACAGGTATAAAGTATTTTATGGTGCAACAATCAGAATAGTTGACTCGTGTACAAGAGTGCAAGTTGTGTTGTGATCCAACAACTCTGTTGAACTAGAAAGTTACTTTTACAAATTGCGTACATAAATACTTTTCTATAACTATAACACCAAATGATCAACTTTATTTCATTTCTCTGGAAAAAAATAAGAAAACAGGAGGAGAATGCGTGAATCAATTTTTTTGTATAATCAAAGCACATGGCTGGGTAATTTGTTATGTTCTTAACGCTGTTGGTAGCTTTTCATAGTTCAACAAAGCAAATTTTCTAAAAAAATCAGGTCGAACAGTAGTTGCACCTGTTTGAACAAGAAGCCTCGGATTCGATGTTTTGAAATATTTTTTATCTGTCTGCAATACAAAAACAAATTTGATGTTTTCTATTTCAGCTCAAACAATTTTGGAATCACAAGTCTTATTGTCTTGGAAATAGCAAAAGTCTTTATACTTGTTTATAGTATTTTTTGACAATAGAAAAGTCAATAGTTTGGTTTCGGAATCATAGACAACTGTCAGTCTCAACAAATAAAGAGGAATCTTTGAGCAAGCGGACGAGAAAAGGCAGCGTGTGATTCTTTCTTGAAATCAAGTCGTTTCAATCGAATAGCTTTGGAAGATTACGCTTTAATCTGTGAATTCATTTGAAACGGAAGAGAGATGATCAAGTCTTCTTCAGGATTTCTTCGTATTGTGTGCGGGCAATCTAGCGTTGAGCGTTTAACCATGATAGCAGTTGCACTACAAATTGCAGAATAGTCTTTTATAGTCAATGCTATGATGTATTGTTTTGGTTCAGTGCGACTTACTGTTATGACCATTTCTCGAAGCATTAAAGTTAGTGCTTTATTGGGTTTTGCAACGATGCTTTTTGATTGCCAGCTATTTTTTGTTGATAGTTCATGTAGACAGAAGGACGTTGTTCCTGGTGTCCATGCCATTTCTGTCTCTAGCTCTTTAGAAGTTTTGTGCCTTGTCGTTTCTTGATGGAAATAATCTTTGTGAGGCATTAAACATCAGAGGAATAATATTGTTTCGCTTCTTCTTCTGTCTCGGACTGGGACCTGTCTACATGCGTTGCTGAAATTTATCCTTCGAATATTCGATCACAGTGTGGTATTATGATGAACACATTTACCAGCTATTTGTTGAACTTTGAGTGTCATTATCTTGGCCAAATATGCTTGACAAGTTTTGGTGTGCTATAAGTGAAAGAAACACGCACGACATCTATATCAGTTGCCGTTAAAGTAAGAAGAGACTCAAGTCAATGCATGCCCAAGGAGCACTTTGGTTCCTTTGCTGGTTTTGCTTTGTTCCAGAGACAAAAGGTTTAGAGATGGACTCTATGCAGGACTTGCTCCGATAATTAATTTATGTCATTGACAAGAAAAATTTTATTACAAAAGTTTATTTGGAAAGAGTTAACCTGTCACTTTTATAGAAATGGAGAATAAACATTGAGGAAAACTACATACACAAATTTCAATCTGGTGTTCTTAAAGAGGATTAACGGATTGTTTAATTCTTTATAGGAACTTGATGTTGTTTGTTTGTTTGCAGAAAATGAAAGAAGCTTTTGGCAAACTCGGAATAGAGGGTTTATAGAAAGGGTATAGTGTAAAATAAGTGAACTTTGGCTTGGCCGAATTCCAACCCTACACGGGTCTTGCAAACAAAAAAGAGAACCGAATCTCAAGTGAATGAGTGAAAGATGAAGTTTCAAGCTCAGCTAACGTTCAATTCACAGAAACTGAGCGAAACAAGTTATTCCTGTCAATGTTGGGTTGTCCTTTAACACATTCAGACCAATTATTTCTAAAGTTTCTCCCTCTGAAGGAAATTCAACAGTGTAAGTAAAACAACAGAAAGTCAGAATCTGGTTGTCCCTCTTGATTTTAGGAATAGACTCTCTTTCACAACAGTCTTTGTCATATATACACAAGTAAGTCAAAAAGGAAATAAACAATTTTCTCTTTGTAAAGTCGTCTACATAACTACCATATTCTGTGGAAAGTTGACTATAGTTTGACTGAGTGCTAAAGTTTATGTTTGGAGTCCGACACCCGAAGTATCCCATAGTAACGATGTTTTGCTTTTCCAATAATATACCTTCCATTAGTAACATATGGAGGCGTTAAGATGAAACTGCTGTTCAACAGAATAAACTCACGATAGTAAGGTTCAAAAAATTTCACTCCGCATATTTAAGGAGCAGGGAAAACTTTTCTAGGCGGGAACGCTATTTCCCACTACACTACAGACTTCAACGATTTTAATTTTATTAGAAGATTATGTTTGGATAAATTGCTGATGAATTGATATTATGAATCTTAATTGGCGAGATAACTGGATTCAACTGTTTTTTAGATGCTGTAATAAACTGTTTATACGTAAAAAAACCGGGCCAAAAAGGTGAAGGTTACTATTATTAGCTGTTCTCCATTTAAACTCATCGACAAAGATACTTTAAATTTTAGAGATAAACTTTCAATTCTATTATCAGTTAGGAGCGACACTCGAATCTCGGTTTCAATTCCCAGTTGGTTTTCCTCGTTTTGGCACAACAAAAGGATAGTTGTTTAAAAATGTTCTTGTTCAACTGGGCTATCGTTGACGGAGCTCGGAAGCTTACACAAGTCAACGAGAAAAGTTTTTCGTTCCAAAGAAAATTCGCTAGAAGAATTAAACTGTCTTGGTACGTTGACTCCGCAGTTGGTTGTACACCGGTTTGTTAAAACGAAACCAGCTGGCTGTTCATTTTCACGCCTGAACTTAAAGTTTTCACTACTTGTGAACCTGATGTTGAAGTATTTCCTTTACAGGAACATATAGAGGAAACGTTTTCTCTGCGTTGAATAGCTCTTTTAAAATAACTTGCACAAGCTCCTATTGTCTAGTTTGACTGAATTGTTGGAAACAGCGATTATTGTTCCTCTTCATCACAACGAACAATGTAAAATTGACAGGTGCTCGGCTGTATTGAATTCGAGTAGGTTTGGAAGTTGACGAGATATTCCGACGTGTTACTCGCCCAGTGTGTCATAAAGCGACGTCTCATAGTTGGAGAAAAAACTGAGAAGTATACTTGAAACTTTGGATGATATCAGGATTTCAGTAATTACTGTAACAAACGGTTCTATAACATAGCAAATAGTAACGAAACACTTGTACAGTATTTGCACGAAAGGAATGTTGCCATCAATGGTATATTATCTTCTTTGAAGGTAAGGAAAGCATTTTTGGAACCTTTTCTGCCTACTGAAATTTTATATAGAGAACTTCCTAATTGTGAACTTATTACTCTTTGTGAAATAGATATGGAATTGATGATTGACAAAGTATCGAATGGATTGAAAAATGCATTTGCTGCTTCTAATCATTCCATTTTTGAAAACTTTTGACTTGATTACTTGATAAAGTCCGCAACAGTTTTTTGAGTCGGCGTTAAACTTTGGATCTTCAACTCAACCTTTCATTGTTTCATTTGTAAAGCAGTAAACTTGTCGCACGTTTCCAATTCGTTTACGTCTTACTTGAATTCTCCTTTCAGAAACCATAAAGTCTGCCTCGAATGTGGTCTGTTGGTTGGATGACAAATCTGGTTCATGAAAAATTAATAACTAGTTATCCTACATGGCATTGTGTTGCATAATATGTCCTGAACATCATTGGTGCTGAAATCAGCGATACATGTCATTATTATCTATGTCACTATTCAAATTGCACAAAATCAAAAAAAGCGTTGAACGTCGTTCTTGTTTTCTTGATGCATTTGTGATGATTCGCCTTCAGAGATTCTTTCTATTGAAATAAAGCAGCGTTGGACAATCAGGTAATGAACACTTTTTATAGTGTTTTTTCTAAGATACATTTAATATGGTTTTAGTTGCGTTATTACTGAAAGATAGATACGCCAGTCAATAGCTATATTTTAATGTTTCACAAGCTCATCTAAATATAAGTTGCCAGTTTGAGTCGATATAATTTTTTATATTATTGAAATGAAAAAATATCAATTGTGGTTGTAACATTGCCTATTTTCTATATCTCTACGAAAGAAATGTATGGTTTGATAGCAATTCGATGAATATTCTTTGACGGTGCTGTCATATAGAAACCAAATTTGTTCCATATGGAGTTTCTCGCTACTATTTCAATGTTTTAGAAAATCCAATAAAATTTTGACCAATATTATATGCAAAGAAAGAGAGAATTAGAAAGTTTGTTTCAAAAGAATGCATTCGAAAAAACCAACTGTTGAGATCATGACATTGCATCATTTTACTATCAGAATGACGATCACAATGTTACTCATTTATCACTGTTTATCAACTTACTCTCTCCGTATACATTTTCCGTGCATATCCCTAAATAGCAATATACTTGGATTATACTATCCTAGGCTATAGCCTTTTTTGCATCCAATGACAACGGATCATCACAGGATATTCATCCTACCTTTGTTTCTGTTTTCGATGATTCCTCGGAGCAATTATTACACTTTTGCTTATAAAGATGCTTCAAAAAAAAGAAATTCCATTTTTCATATATTCGTTGATATTCTTTACATTTCCTTTTACTATGGTATAAGAGGATTGTTCGAAAAGCCTTTCAATAGAATCGAGTTGTAAACCTTTGATCTCAGAAACAAATAGATAAATGAACGTAGTTGACAATAACGTACAGTCTGTAAAGAAACTAAAAGCATCTTGGGCATACATAGACTTGAATATCATTGGGCAAGAAAACGAAACTGTCAAATTGAACGAATAACAAAAGAAGGAACTCAAAGTGAGGCCAGAAACAGGACATACCAGTGATAGATTTCTGCCACTATAATCCAAGTAACAGGGGACCAGGTCTATTAAACAAACGAAAAAGCAATTTTACAGTGATGTTCAATGCTGGTCGAACCTTGCAACCTCCAAAGGAGGAGAATCCACACAACCACAACATGAAAAAGACAAATGGCATGGTGGCCAGTAGAAGAAATCTCCCTCCCAATCTATTCTGAATACAATAGCGGCGAAGCCATTTGTTAGACTCATATCAACACTGTGAGAATCATTCATTCCTGCAAACTGTAATACGTAATCAAGATAAAACACAACAGCATTGACATCACAGAATTGTCGAGCAAATTGCAACATAATACCTAAAGAATGGAATGTTGGATATGAGGTTGTCGATCACTAGACGAAAAAAGGCACAGATAAAATTAGAATCCTTTTGTTCTCCTTGCATCCATTTTCATATTTTATTATATTCTTTCAAAGTAACGAAGCATCAATAATTGACCCAAAGCAGCGTCCGCAAGGCCCATCATGAATAACCATCTCGGAGACTCATAAGCAAAGCTTAAAGGACAATTTAAATGTCTTATTATCACTTGACGGTTCAATCCTTCCAAAGCATTTTAAATCATTTCCGTTTCTTGATTTCAAAATTTGAACAATTGCAAGAACAACTTTCTTTCCTGTCAAGAAATTATTCTCTATCGAAATTTTTCAAAATAGGTAGCGATCCTTTTGAAAGGGTAAAAAAGGAGATTGCTTTTAAACGCTAGTGAGAATATGTATCTTTCAAATGTAGCCTTCAGTTGGTGAACTTCACTTCTTATAAGGATAATGTTGTTAGATTCTTTTGAAAACTGGACATAGGTGCAATTATATAAAATATTGAAACACGATACCTAAAGTGTCCAAATAGAGCAACTTCTGAAATCTCATGGTTCAAAACTTGACTATGTAGCACAGAAAGCTTAGTGATACAATGTAGTCAAACCAGAATATAGCTTAGGAGAACAAAACACAGCTCAACAACAGATCGACCTCCCAAAAAGAAGGATTGTATCTATTTATAAACAACGAATAACTGCATCAAACATTTACTAGTTCAATTCTTCCAATGATGAGGCACGATGTTGTCAAATTTTGCATCCAATCTCTTTACAACTACATCTAGAGAAGAATAATGGTGCCGAGAATCAAGTGAATGTAAGCAACAAGTATGATGGAGATGTTACCTGTTATTAGAAAAGTGAAGTTTATTACAAGGGGAAGACGAGGATGAAATATACTCATCTTACTTTGTTTCACCAGTTGCTAAGAAAGACAGCTTAGTTGTGCCTCGAAATTGTACATATGTGATGTGCTCTATTTGCAACTGGAATGATTTCTTGTGTTCTGAAGTCATTGCGGAATTTAAAAAGAAGTTTCGAGACAGTTAAAGGTCTCTGGAGCAACTTTCGCAATGCAAAGGACTCTTCCAAGAATTCTTGTAGGAATCCAAAGAGTGTCTATTTGAGAAATCTGAAGCTCACAGTGAGTTTAATCTAGGAAACATTTTTCCAAAGAATGATGCAAAAGCTTTATAATCTGAGAATACCTGCAAGCTCAAGAAATGGTTCAACATGCCATTTATACATATGCTTCTTATCAGTTGCAACCTTTCTGAACGTAATGTTGTCATTTCTTTGAAGACAGAGCGGCTCCTAGGGTGAGCTGTAACAACTGTATTGATTTGTATCTTCCCAAGTGAAAGTGCCATAAAGTTTCTTGAACCTTTCATATTTTGTTTCAAGTATCTGCCAAACCATGTCTCATTCTTGAATGCTGTTTGATAAGAAGTGGAATTTGCTAGGATACTAAATAGTGCCTGATTTCACGTTCAAGAAGAGTTTGAATTTTGGAGTGTTTCGAAGAGGGCATCGGACCACTTGTTGTTCTTGGGGCGACTATTCACACACTGTTTCGACAGAGTCCGCTTTGCAGAGTTGGAAATCATAAACACCGAACGTCTGTCGAAGCTGTGCACTTTCGGTATTGTGTTGAACGAGTTCCTAGCCACGATTGAGAGCGTAGTATATGAAACTTTTAAGTTGTGAAGATGATGTACATAGTATGTTTCAATTGAAGTGAGGACTGGTCGTGAACGCTTCAAGTTTCTCGGTGCAGGTGCAGAAATGACTTGGAGGAGAGTTTATTTATTCACCAAGTGCCTGGTTTCACGTTGATATTCACTCATGTTCAACCAAGCAGTGAAACAAATCCCTATCTCATGAGCGAACTCGCTAGTTGTGCTTAGTTCCCATATGTTGGAAGCATATAAAGAAACAACAAGAGCGTCAAGAAGCTTGTCTTAAGCTACAACTGTTTGACGAAGCGTCGGGGAAATGCCTCAGATTGTACAAGCTGTAGTGGTTAGAAGCTTGACGTGTATTTTAAGATTCATATGAGAAACTTAAGAAAGTTACAAAAATAGCTTTCATTAGATGTTTCGCATCGTTCTCTAGAGTTCTTTAGTATTGTAAGCTAAAATTAAGTCTACTACTCATTTTATAATTTTTATGACAGTCATCATCTCAAGTTACTTCATAAAACTTTTCTGATATTATTATGATTGGGCTGTGAGCTGCGTGAAGAAAACACAAAGCTGCCTATTAAAACAGGCAGTGTAACTCATTTATTGCAGTAATGCTTGTGGATATTACAATAATATGAACATTTATCAATTTTCCTTGATATCACTTTCATTATCAGAATCCGAAGACTCTTCCTCTGATGATGATGAAGCTTGCTTATTTTCTTCGTTGACTATTACCGAGGAAGCTCCCATCATTTTCTCATAATCGTCATTTCCTGTAGAATTTTCAAAACTGCTAAAGTCAAAAAGGCTGCTATCCATCCAAGGAAAAAATTCGTCCGCTGAAACTTGAAGTGCACTTATCCAGGCTTTATAGTTCGTAAAGTAGTGTTTTATACGCTCAAACATTTGTTCACGAACCAGCTGTTGATACTTCCATGCTTCACTACAAAACTTTTCGGCTGATTGCTGCAAAGCATTTTTAGCTAGTTCTACATTTTCTTCTAAATGTTGATACGTTGCAGAGCTTGGAGGAGAACTGCAAGTCCTCAGGTTGATAATTGCGTCACTATAACGAGTCCTCTTCTGCTTGTAGTCTTTTTTTGCCCTTCTCAACTGGTATAATAACAACACCTCATCTGGAGTTTCATTAGTAAGTGGTCTCCTGGTAAAGTCTTCCAAGTGAGCAAGAAAGGTTTGGAAAGCTACGGTTTGTTTGTTCTCAAACTCTGCATAGTCTTTCTCAAACAAGTTGATTGATTTAACTTGTTCGTCATTAAGTTGAACACCAAAAGAGCCAGTATGTTCTGACCACGCTTGAGGATATCCTTCTGTTTTCCAAAGCTCTACAAAAAGTTGTCGCAACGTAGAACTAGCTTGAAAGAAACCTTCCAAGCAACTTTTTTGCTTCTCAGACAATGCGACTATCTTATTCTTTGAATGATCAATATTGCGAATCCTAGTGAAAAGAATGGAAAAGACAACTTCTAGAGTACCAGCTTAAAGTTACCTTTTATTCATGCCATCTGCTTTTGGATATCTTGTGAGGAGAGTCCTTCTTCCCAGTTTATTCAAGATTCTTTGTTTAGCTTTGGCGTACAAACCAGAGACTTTAGACTTGTACTTTGGTTTTTCGGAACTCCTACTTCCTCCCATGGTTTCAGAGGTTGCTCTTTCTTCTGACATGTTGGAAATCAGTCAAGTGGCAAGTATGGAATTCATTGTTACTAATTATTGCAATCAAAATGGTAGGATGTCTTCTTATACGTCAACTCAAAACATTCAAGTCACAATATTAGATTGGTTTTTAAGACGGGCAAAGCACATACTCAACTACATTTGTCACATAAAAACTTGTCCAGTTCTCTGTATTCGAAGAAATAAGGAATAGAAACGCGTCCGGTCAAACTAGAAATTTCGTATGTGTTTGAAATGAATAGATTGAGTCCTCTAAAATACTGCTTTGCTCGAATAGATGTCTTGGTTGAGCTGTTGCGGGGACCGCCAGGCTTCTCTCTGGTTCGACACATAGATGGGATTCTGTAGAAATGTAACTGCTAGTTGTCTTTGATTTTTTGTCTATACTGCAAAATCTGGCGTTGTTCAGCCGCATCTAACAGAAAGCTGCTGACTTTGCTGTTCTCCATTAAGAATGCCTTTGTAGAAACAATTATCTGATAGCATCAAACAAATTTTGTTCTCCAGCACATTACTCGTATTATGATTAGTCTCAGGATCTTTAGTCAGAGTTATTTCCAGCTTAAAAAATCCAACCGTTTCGAACAACTTCGCGAAAGGAACTACACTATCCTCTTGAGAAATAGAGCAATCAGCTAATTGAGAAAGAAAACTAAGATATTTTGCGAGGAAAAATCTATTCCACAATATTTCCCTGGTACAAGTTATTTTACGGAGCTTCAATATTCTCTCCACGATTCTTTCCTGCTTCCTGATGTTGCTATCTAACTGCGAAAATTCCTCGCAACAAGATACATTTTCACTAGACCACAAAGTTGTCTCCCATTCTTTGTTCAAGGCAGCTGTACCAAGAATAACTACTCCCGTTTCAGAATTCACAAAACAACAGTCAGAGACTGTCAAAAATATGCGACAGCCCTTAACTTTTCGAAAAATATATTCATCAGTAGTTAACAATGTCTTTAGGCGTAGCAGTTCGTCATAGAACAGTTCTTCTGTGGGACGTTGCACTCTAACGAAGATCCGCATTTTGGACTCCAGCTGGCGACACAAGTCAAATATCTTAGAACTTGCGTTCGGTAAATCTCGCCTACTTTCCATATTACTAAAGAATGTGGATTGTAATATGTGTGCACCTACAAGACTACCGTGATTCTCAACAAAGTCGTCCAACGTCTTCCAAACTCGAGCGTTCGCACTCTTGCTTTCCAATTCTTTTACAAGCTCAGCAAAAACTTGAGGTATCTTCAAATTGAATACTTCGAACACTCTAAGAAGAAGAAGAGCGTTGGGGGGAACTCTGCAGTCTTCTGTAGTTCGGATGGTTAGCCTGTAAAGCGTGCTGTGAAACAATTCAACTTGAGCTCCTTGCACCGTGGATATGTCACTAGCTTCTCTTAAATAACAAGTAAATTGCGATGTGACTCCTGCACGGCTTGGAATTGTTTCAAGCTCCTCAACCAAGTGGTTAAGCTGTTGAAACGCAAATTTGTTGACTGAGGCTTCGGTAGGAAATTCCCAAAACTTGTCAGGGTGAATTCTAAGGAATACTCGACGCAAACTCGTACGTAGTTCACACAACAGCTCTTGACTTAGATATTTTCTATTAAACATTCACAAGTTCCAAAAAGAGAAAGGCGCACTTCTAATATATTTAAATATATCGTAGCCCCTCTCTATCTGGTTTAGCAAATCTAATTTTTCAATGTCAACTGTCTTGAAGTTTTGTTTCTGTAAGGCAAGTATTCACTATCAGTTAAGTACATATGGTTTGGGAAGACTCTTCACAATATTGATTTCAAAGTGGAGTTCTAAACTTTAAAGATAAGCTAGTCTTTATAAAATTCCTATTTCTATGAAGTACAATTGAACACAACCAAGTTTGAAGTAAATAGAACCCTTTGGAAAGAAAGAAATTGTGACGTGGCAGTGACGAGTCTTCAGTGATTAATCGCCACTTCTATGAGTCTGTCTATGTCTTGCTTTGTTTCAATAGTAGGCTACGACTTGCGCTTGAATTGTATGTGTCCCCCTTCTAAAAAAACCTCTTTGTTTCATGCTACTGCTTTCGTGTTGACATCACGCTTAGTTTATAGGTTAACAAGGTTACGAATATCTTCAGGGTTAGCTTTGAGTTCTTGTGTCTAAACAAAATCCAGTTGAATTGTTGCTTGCCTTCAACTGCCTTTGCTCTATGTAAAAGGAATGGACTACGCCCACTCTATGCAGTGTCGTAAGAAGAGTAATCAGCCCAATATTTTTCCAGTTTTGTTCCGTTCACCATAAATAACTGGTACTCTAAATGGCACTGAAAAGAGGACAGAAGTAAGGTGCTTGTCAGTTTTTGAACTGACAAAACACGGCACAAACAGAGAAAATGACAATTTTCTTAGTCCTCTCAGAAGTAAAAAACGAATAATAAGGAAGATATTTAGAAAATAGACCAGAAACATAACTAGTGTCGGTTGGGATGTCCAGTTTTCTCCCTTAACAACTGCCAACGGAAATCTGTCAAATTGTTTCTAATTGCATATATCTGTTGATGGCGATTGGCTGATGAAGCGACATGTTCGTTATGAGCACAATAACTATCCACCTTGGAACGATCAAGACATTTTCAACCATAGACTTGTGACGCATACCTTTCGAAACGTTTTCAGAAAAGGCAAAATTCTCATTCAAAAGCTAGCCATATCCCACTAGAGTTCATAGTTTTTTAGATTGGTAGGGCATTGCCTAATATTGAAGCAATTATGAAGTATCTATACACTTCTCTCATACTGGCAGTTATATTTGTCATTGGTACCGTGGCAGCAGAGTTGTCTTCTTCAGATGCTACAGTCTCAGAAACTGTCGAAAAGAATGTAGAAAGAGGGTATGCTGAACCTTGTTGTACCCAATATTGTATGTAATGCTCTGTAATGGATAGGAAATAGATTGTCTAAACAATAATAGGCTATTGGAAAGAGATATGTGTGACACCGACACCAACTCCAACTTATTATTACTATTATTACTCAAGGAATATGGAGCAAGAACAGATTGAGAGAACAGTGGAGAAAGATGTCACTCTGACGGAAAAATCGGATACGGCCAGAGGATATTTCCCAACTTACTATTATTATGCTCCACCTACCTACTATTATGCTCCACCTACCTACTACTATGCTCCACCTACCTATTACTATTATGAATACTATACCCAAACACCGACACCAACACCAACTCCAGAGTGTAAGTCCTTTCTTTTCTTGGAAGTATTTATTAACTTTTTTTTGATGTAGGTACGTACACTCAAATATGTCAGACAATTTGTGAGTATATGCACCTCAGTTCAATGTTCTATGAAGTCTTACTCTTTTTGAAAGGTTCGAGTTGTCCAACTCCTTATTATTACTACTATGAGGGTTAAACAGTTGTCTCATTTTGTCATTTGACTTGTGAGAACGGACAAAGTTCCGTAGCCCACAATCTCAAATAAACGTTGGTTTTTGTCTGTGACTACTTCTGTATCAAGTGAAAGGGAAAGGTTGATATAGAATAGATAGTCCACGTTTTATTAAAACTATTTTTGGAAGCATAGCCTATATATATTCACTCTCAATGTATTCTCAATAACGAATCTATCCCTATTTTCAAACCGTTTATTGAGGACACAAGCTAGGAAGATGGATATATTTGCATATTTGATATGCTCACATTTAGAAAAGGACATGATTGGAAATAAAAACATTGTTGCAAAATTCAACAAAAGTGAATCTAGTTGCTAAGAAGGAGTGCTAAACTCTATCTGGAAGAACTTGACTCAGGATATAATGGCTAAAATGATACTACCTGAGTAAGCCGTTATGGGCTATTCTGTTTTTGAACAGTCAACTCTTAACAAGCATTTCGAGCAATACAAGTCTTAATTATTAGAACCCATGAATTTAGCCTTCATGGCAGTCTTTTTACAATCTCCAAGAAAAAATGTAGAGAGAACTCGAAGTCTCAAAGATTCTTCACGAAGAGAAAATTCTGTATCTACACTTTGCTCCTTAGTTTTCTTTGTAGATGTGCCAACTGGTATAGTGTGTAGAGAATGTCCCATCATTTCTAGAAGGCGGACAGCTGTCTAATTAACCCATTGCAAACTACGTTCTTGGGCTTTGGTACGCAATTCAGTTAGACACGACATTACTGCGAACACGCCATCTAACCGTATATATCACGTACTCATGGCCGTCAATGCTTTGCTCATTACTTAAATATGCCATATGGGAGAGGGAGTCTGTTACGCCTCAATGTTGCCTTTTGCTACATCATCTGTTGTATAACAGCGACACATTCAGAAACAGCTGGAATACTTTCATATAGTCTCACAACAGGAAGAACTTTAATGCAGGGTGACATAAAGGGTTTTAGGGATATTTTGACTAGTCTGGAGTCATTGTATGTTGCCTCTAAGGAGCTTGGGCAACCTTTAGCACACAGTCGTTATGTATTTAACGACACTTTTTGTACTTGCACGAAAGAGTCTTCTGATACGTGTTTAATAGTAAGCACAGAGTCAACTAATACGGGTCCAGGTGGTGGAGGTCCAGGTGGTGGAGGTCCAGGTGGTGGTGGTCCAGGAGGCGGAGGTCCAGGTGGTGGTGGCCCAGGTGGTGGTGGCCCAGGAGGCGGAGGTCCGGGCGGAGGCGGTCCAGGAGCAACTTCAAGTGATCTATACTGCATACAAACAAGCTGTGTCAAATATCGCTGTGACTTAACCGGTGCATATCTATGTAAGAGGAAGACAGTGGGTTCTCTTGAATATTCTGGTCCGCCTCCCCCAAACAACGATCCGTCTCCTTGCGAAAGGGTTTCAACGATAGCTACGTTTTACTACTCAACTAACTGAACATATAAAAGATTCAATAAATTATCGGCAAGTTTCCATTTCATCACGAAGAATAATGAAACCCTTTGGAAGCGAATGAGATGAATTACAAAAATGCTTAAAGTCATTGGTGTAATTTCTCCAGCAATTTCGAACTCAAGAGAGAAAGTTAACTCCCTTCAGTATCTGATATTTCAAAAAGCAAGTCAAGCAAGACTGGACATGATAAGTTTGACTTTCCAGATCCGGTAACATCTTGCAGAAAAATAGATTTAGCTCGTGATCGACTCAGACCACAAAGGGTCTTCGGTTGTTGCTATCACAGTCTACAAACATTGTTTAAAGTCGAAAACAGCCGAAGAAAGGATTTTGTGAGTTATTTATGTCCTTCCAAAAAGTTTGGGAAGGATTCTTCGACGTTGTGGATTTTTGCTCTATGCGACGAAACGTTCAACATATCATCAAAGGTGTTTCAGAATCTAAGCAGTAGGGAAAGAAAAATTTTAGCAAGCAGCTCTCTCGTCCTTAATACATGGTACGACCGGAAACGAAAAAGGTGTTGAGCGCGCAAATGAGTATCTTAGCTTCATTCTTCTTGATTGCCGTGGCCCCTGAGTTTGTTATTCCAAAATGCATTTCTTGATAGAATGTTATTTGCTATATCATGCGATATGTTGCTCTTTTTCAGATAAGGAAAAGTCCAGAACAATGTATCATATCAACACATTTATTTGTTTCATGACATAAACATTTTGCCGTGTCTGGAATTTACTGCAAGGAAGCTAGCAGTCGCGAGGAGTTCAACGGGCAATCCAAATGTCCAAGCTTCATTTACTGCAGGTCAACACTTAAATACAATCTCATACAGACTTGCTATTATTCTTTCCTTTTTTTAGAGGAGAAACTATGTGTTAGTGGAGGATTGATTGTTCGTAGGAATCTTTCCATTTTTTCTTTCTAAGGGAAAGAGCTTATTTCAGCCGCAGCCCTGTTAATTAACATATGTCGACTCACGAGGTTCTCGTTTCTGCGACAGCATAGCAGAACGTCATCAGCAGTAATGGTTGTTCTTTTGCCGTGACGGCAGAAAGCTTCCAAGTCAGCTGTTAGGATTTCAATATACCCAAGGAGCAGCTCAGATAAAACAAAAATCGCTTCTTTATCTGCTTTTAAATGATCTTTTTGGGCTCAAGTATAAAGTATCAAAGCAAATTTCGTATTTAAAACGCTAATCACGTACCTTGTTGTAAAAATAACTTAGCCACTGTGTATCGAAAAGCTTCTACAAGATGGTCAGCTTCTTGAGAAGGCGGGTTGGCCATATTTCAATTACGAATTCATTGAGTCGTAGTTTGGTTTAGTTGATGTCTAAGCAGCATTCGTTATTCTTGTTATTTATAGCTTTTATGATGCAAGAGAAACCTTTTGGAATAAAAATAAAAAGATTATTTTGCCGTAATGTGGACAAAAGCAACAGTCTCAGGCTTAGTTGCACTTGGAGGCATCTATCTATAACAGAGCAGTTATTTAGTTGTTCCCATAATCCATAAGGCTTGTATATACGGTGAAGAATATTATAGTGATTGATACAAACAAGATGAGAAATTTCGCTTTATTCATCGAAAGCTATATGTAAAGTATATGTGAGAACTCTTTCGTAATACAATCCTACGGCACTATTCTGGTGCCTGTGCTCGCTCCCTTCGTTTCCTTCTCTCTTGTAATGCAAGGTCTAAACTCATAGTTGGGTGCAGTAAGGCCATTTCTCCTATCAAAACTATTAAGGGTACACAACACAATTTGCAACATGATCATACTGGCTATAGTAATAGCACGAGCTACTCTATACTGCGCAACTTTCGATAAGCCCGTTTTGTACCTGGGAAGAATTTTCCCACTTTCTGACACAAAGTGTTTCAAAACTTCAACTGTAAAGGAGCATAAAACAAAGACAATAAAAGAATGGGAGCTACAAACCATTTCGGAAATCAATATCGACAGTTCCATCAGGACTAGTTAGTGGACAAACTTTTCTCTTCTGTCGATATCTACCGACCATATTGTACCCCTGTGCACAAAAATTCATATAGAGTGTTCTTACCAAGAATTGAATACTCACTCGAGGTACACCAGACTCGGCGTCATCTTTTGCCTGTTGAGTTTGTGACATAAACCTGTCCATTCGTTGATAAGCTTGTTCTTGTCCTGCGTCGGACTAGGAAAGATAATAAACAACAACAAACCAATAGATGAACTGCTCATTACCGGAGTCTCGCTTGGCTTCAACGAAGATCCTCTTTGTGGAACAAGATGCTCAATTTTCTCTGCAGGAAAATGCTTCCGAAAAGTTTCTACTACTGGAGGTGACAAGCTCGGAAAATTTCGCAAAGGAACCTATAGCGGTGTAACATTAACAAGTATGAAATATTAAATGCTTTTTACAAGTATTTATATCTACCTGGTCTAGTAAAGGATTATCCACTGTCTTTACATGATTTCCCTCTTCCAAGGCCGTTGCGTGACCTTCGATCATACGGTACACTTTGATAAGTTTTTCAACCTCTTCCCTAGGCAAATCCCTTACAGAAAGTAAGTATCATTATGCTCACCCAATAGTTCAAAATCATACTTGATATTTTCTATTGAAAATATAGGGTCGTTGGGTATGTCAAGGTTTCGCAAGTGGTCAGGAAGAGAAAAAGCTGACGCAGAACTTTTAGAAGTTTCTCCTCCATATTTACTCGAATGTGAAAACCATAAGAAGCGAAAGCCAAACAAATCTATTCGGTTCAGTTTTTTGCAATAACTAACAGGTCTCGCCAAAAACATGAAATTACGATGAAAAATCGCAAAAACAGATAAAATCAATTTCTTCAACTAGCCGAGTAGTACACTGGAGATGTTTAGATAAGACCACTTCATCTATAATCTCCTCAAAATTTCTTTTACACTTGCTCTAATTATGGAGTTTTTACCTGCAATCATTTTCTCGAATTTAAAAAATTGCGTTCAAATGTAAGAAGTGTCAAAATTCTTGGGATTGTCGACTTTCATAACTGTGGAATATATGAGTACTGAGAAAAAAATCCACCTCTTTTGCTCTTCTATAGTAACAGTCTTCAATGGGTTGAAGGAATTTCCTAAACAGGTACCTATGTGCAAAGCATCCATTTCAAGTGAATATATTCAAAGAAGAATTCCAGCTTCAGTCGAAGTTCTTTGATGCTTTCTTTGTGAATTGTCTGTTTCTCTGCTGTATAGAGTTCGCCATTCATGGAAAATTCAGGTTTAAGCTGCCTCCTCTCACATCGCAACTCAATAGTTCAAGATGAATGCTACAAGGAAGAAAATCGCCATTGAAATGGAGCATGATATGAGAGTATGCATCATAAATTGAGAATCTCCCTAACGGTTGGTTTGAAAAGAAGCTCACAAAAAATCCTTCATGAAAAAAAATATTCAAGAATCTAAAGTGGCTATGACAGGTATCTTAAGCTTCTTCACTTAAGGGACCTTTAAACTTCTCCCTTATAAAAAAAAGTGGCAATTGAATTTCTGATTATCCAAGATGGAGGAAGATGATTGATCCTCGTCGTCGTCCATCTTTTTTAGGACAAGGTAAGTTTATAATCTTGTTAACGTTCCACACCATATGATGTCCAACAAAGTAATACCGACCACGGAACGACATCGAATAAATATATATAACGTGTATACCAATGTGGGGCTCTAATGATAGGTCTGAAAACAAACTTTGTTTATTTGCAATTATCCCTTTTTAGATAAGTGCTAACCTCTTTTACAGGGAAAAGGTGGGTACTTTACAAACTTGTAGAAAAGTCTACGATGACTCCAGGCATTTGTCTGAAAAAAACCTGTGGAATTCAAGAGCTACCTTTAGATGACGAGTCTGAGACTGCAAAGAACTCCTTGTTGCTTTTGTTCATATCTAAAACGTTTACTGAAGTTGCTTTTTAGTGTTGAGAGAGAGGCTATATAACAACAGTTCGTTATTGCGTGTCTTTCAAGGAGTTTGGAAGAACTTGATATTTCAAAGGTTAGTACACTGTAGTTTGTGAAGAGAGTCATTTCTGTGACGAGAACTGTCTGCCTGCTTTCACAGTTTATCTGACAGTTTCCATGATTGTGTCAATTTGCGTCTGAGAATATATTATTATGTGTCTTTGTTTTTGTTGCTCAATCCATGTCTCACCTATGTTAGGTTTTTTATTCTCCTCGATATTCTCTCGCCGTTTACCTAGTATCTTAACCTTGCTTTAGCCCATAAATAGAACAAGTAAAATATTTGTCTACTACGACAGTAAATATACAGAAGGCAAAGTTGCCACCGAATGAATATGGTGTGAAAGCAGTACGTCTAGGGAAGTAAGTTTTTTCTCAGTGCATGCTCCTGACTGGTGAGGAATCAACAGTTCCGTTGCTTGTATTCATTTTCATTTATCTTGAAAGACAAGAAGCACTCAATTCTACCATATTTATACTGACTCGGAGAAAATGAGAGAGTCGAACTATTTCATTGAGCTTATATTTATAGTAGAACTACACATATGAAGCACAAAAGTCACGTGTTGAATGTGAACTGAAAAGTGGGTTGGCAGTGTCTAGTTGTTAATTAGCCTTACATCTTTATAAAACTGGTTAGCATGAAAAACTCACTTTCACTATGTGATACTCATTAATGAAAACGAATCCAGACTGTCGTCAAGTTTCCCTGTGGAAAAGCATTTTAGTATCCAATTGAAGAAAGGCTTTCAACAATTGCACAAGTGAAAAGAACTTTCGTCGGAGTGAAATATACACAACTGTTTTATTATTTACTTAAACCTACCAGTCTTTCACTAAGTTCCCACAAACTGGTAGCCAACTTGGCATCACGAGCTTTTGAAGAGGGAGTGCAGATAGCTGGTCGTATGAAAGGAGCTGGGAGTGTAGCAGAAGGCTTAAAGTATGCTCCTCTAATATTTTTCTCTTCTATATCAGGACTCGTTGCTACATAAAGACTGGTGAGGGCACCATTTTCAGTAGTCCTTGCAAATGCCATAATAGGGAACAGCAAGAACGGATTCTCGGAGCGGAAGAGTTCAGAACGTATCACGCCTGGATGTAAAGCGTTAACTAGAAAGGTTCTCTTAGTCTCGGAAAGCATTCAAGTGAGTCACATACCATATACCTGTGTCTTCTCTAGCCTCCTGGCAAGTTCCTTGGCAAACAAGAGATTGGCTAATTTGCTTTGGCCATAGGCGTGCAAACGTTCCACTATATTCTTCCAGGGAGCGTTTCTTTTCTTGTCATCAAAGAGAATACCTTCTCTAAAAGTATGTTGATGCGCGACACTTGAAACGACAACTATGCGTGAAGGATGACTTTCTCGTAGCCTGGACAGGAGTAGATTTGTCAAAAGCTATAAGAACAAGTTACACGTAAAGAACAATAACAAAACGATGCCCTACAAAGTGACCCAGGTGGTTTACACCAAAATGGATTTCGTGACCGTCTTTGGTAAGTTCAAACTTGGTAGCAAGAACCCCAGCATTGTTTATCAAAAGGTTTAGTGAGCTATATTTTTCCAAAAATCGTTTTGAAAAGTCTCTCACAGATTGCAAGGAGGCCAAATCCAAAGGCAAAAAGTCTACACTGGAAGATCTTCCAGTAATAGTCTCAATACTTCTCATAGCCTCTTTGGCTTTGTTTTCATTACGACAAGCCAACACAACATGCCAGCCTTTTCTTACAAGTTCTCTTGCAGTTACCAAGCCAATGCCCGTATTCGAACCTGTTACTATCGCAGTCTTTCCTTGTACTTGTGGAATATCTTTCAAGCTGTATGAACGAGGAAACATGATACAAATCTTATTATTCACAAAATTAGAAAAGGAATGGTTGTCAAGGGTTTTATAACATTCTCTCAATGTTCCATTTTCAATAGAGTCAACAGAGTTACTACAAGTTCAAGTTGAAACTAAATATGAAACTGAAAGAATTTATTTTCTATTTCTAGTGAAATGGGAGGATTCCTTGTGTTTATTTCACGTATGAGAAGCACGACATGAGTTGTATATGTTGTGTCCATTCCGTTTCTATCCAAAAGAGTTTTGGTTATTATATTATGCTTATTTGTTTCAAAGGATTGAACTGTTCGTTTCTCACAACATTCTTACTCTATGTCAAGTAGTGAAATAGAAGAGTTGTTTATGAAGATAAAGGGTTTCAACGTCGCAATTTATAATAATAATAACTATCATTCATTACAAACACATTCACAGACAGACATTCACACACACAGCACACACACACTCACACAAATACTTCGAAAGTTTATGACAAATGCTATCTATTCCAAGTCTGCACAATAATACACTTGACACGAACGGTTAGGTAAATAAAGTTGCAGTGAATGAGGACGACCCTAATCAAATATCAAAACCAAAACAAATAAAACAACAAAATATCTTATTACATGTTGTTTCAAAGGATGAGTAAAATGCTCGACATGTTGGTCAATACGATCAAACCCTCCCAAACTCAGTCTATCTGAATCCAACTGAAGCACATACTTTCCCTAATCAATATTCAGTTCTCATTCTTGTACATACAAGCTCATCGAGCTTACTGGCCATAACACTCCAATAGAATAGTCTGAAAAGGATTTCACAGGATGAAAATTAAATACAAATAGTAATCCATCTCCTTTTTCAAAAGCAATGACTTTGTCTTGATTATGATGAACAGTTATCCACTGATGCAAATTGGATCTACAGAATGCGTGCTGACTTTCCAAGGCATGCATTTCACAATCAAAGGCATTCAAATGTTGATAACGCAAAGTTCCATCTTCCACCAAATTCCTAAGAGTCTTAAAACTAAAGTGTTCATTTAAATTGCTATAAAATACCATTGTCTTCGAGCATATTGATATGAAAAATTATTTCCTGCACGAGGAAAGTCAATCCATTCTGGATGACCAAATTCATTTCCCATAAAATTGAGATATGCTTCACCTCCCAATGCATAACTAAACGAGACAAATATGAGAAGAGCAAGTAACATGAAATAATATTATACTCTACGTTATAAGACGAATCATTTTGTGTAATGCAATTCCACGAATGATGCAGTCCGTTGGTGAAACAAAAATCGACATGTTGCTATACATTTCTGCATCCATCAGACGAAAGGCTAAAGTCTTATCTCCAACAAGTGCTTGATCGTGGCTTTCTACATATCCAACAGTATATTCATTCCATCTTCTATTTGTAAGACCATAAACTATTCTTCCCATATCCCAGTCTTCATCTCGGAAGTTGGTCACTAGATCAACCCACATATCGGGTATACCCATTCCCAAACTTTACAGAAAATAACCAAACAATATATACAAAATATGGTAACGATCATAAAATGATCAACTTACCGATAGTCAAAACCTATACCGCCTTCTTCTACTGGTCGACACAAAGTAGGCATTCCAGACACATCCTAATACTGAATCAATAAAAGTTTACATTAATACATGTTTTCAACCTCAGCAATGGAAAGAAAGCTCTCAGGATAAAGATGATGCAAAATATCATTCATTAACATTAAATATACGCAAGCATCCATATCCACTTGAAATCCAAAATACTCCTTATAATCACCAGAAAATGAAACTCCTATTCCATGATGATTGTAAAGCATAGAAGTAACCCCATCAAACCTACAAATGTTTCTATTACGAATGTTCCAAGCAAGGGATCTTCATATCTATCCTACCGAAATCCATCAAAATGATATTCTTCCAAAAACCAACGTGCGTTGCTTAACAGAAACCGAAGAACTTCCCATTTGGAATAATCAAACAAACGACTACCCCATTCCGGATGATTTCCTCTTTCTCCATGCTATTGAACTTGTCAGAAACAAGAAAATCTAAAACGCATAACATACATGAAAGTACTGATAATCAGTTCCATCGAGAAGATTGAGACCATCATTAGAATTGGAAGAGGCATGTGAGTGGACTATGTCCATAAGCACATAAAGTCCCCAGTTGTGAGCTTCGTCCACTAAAAACTTCAAATCTTCTGGAGTTCCATAACTAGGTGCTATTAATACAAGAAAAGCGCATCTTATGGCATTTATCTCACCGACTACTAACAGCAAAGAAATTTGTGACATGATAACCAAATGATGCATAATAAGAATGTTCCATAACTGCCATCAATTGAATGGCAGTGTAACCCAAGCCTTTGATTTTAGGAATCAGTTTCTGGGCAAATTCAACAAAGGAGCCAACCTATTGTTCCAAATAACAATAATAAAGCTTAGATAATGATAAAGGACAAAGAATACTTGCTTTTGGCTCATTTGTGGCAATGCCAATATGGCATTCGTATATTCTCAAAGATTTCGGGACCGTTGCATGAGTGGAGTATCTCCAAGAATATCGCCATTCTTCCGGAGGTGACCAAAATACCGCATCATAAACAAAGCTCGTCGGATTCTGAATAAGAAAAGTTGCCCTATTATGCAACACAAATTGATATCTATTCAGGTGTCTGATTCTACAGAATACAAGGACAAGGAAAATACCNGGCTGGATTGCGGATCAGCCACTGACCATCAAAAGTAAGTACACGGAGTTTGATACGAGAAGCGTGGGCAATAGCAGGAGATCCATCCTTGTTGAAATTGAAAGTGAATATTTTTCCAATAATCAACAAAACTCACAGCGTTGTCAGGAATAAAACCATAAAAGTGACCAAAGGAGTCTCTCTGCAATGGATAGCCTGGTTCTTTCCAGTCATTAAAATCTCCAAATAAATACAAATCTTTTGCGCCAGGTAACCACTAAAAATGAATAGTTGGAAAGCAGAGTTATCATACAATTCCAATACTACAACGGATATGGAAACCTACTTCTCGGAATTCGAGACCCCCCTTACATCGATGCAAACCAAACTTGGAATATCCATATGAAAACTGATCAAGTCCACCTTCCTTCATCTCGATTTCACTCTTTAACTTTCTGTATCTCTTATTCCTGACCATACAATTCATCAACAAAGTGCGGCCTGTATTGAAATAAGTCCCATCCTCACCTTAACAGCAAATCTCCACAAAAGGGTTCTAAAGAAGGGTCATCTTTCACTACCTTCAACTCACAAGGTTTTTCTTTGTTCTTCATAAACAGTCGGCTTCTTCTACGCGGTTCTGCAGTTAGAATTCACCCGCTTTCCCGATTGGAAGCGAATCTTTTGTAAATTATATCCGACGACAGTATTTATTGGATGCTTCGTAAAATATTTCATATCTTGAAAAAATTTTATATTACTATGTGATATGACAGATAGGAGCAGTAAATTTGCTTCATTCTCATATCTGTTTCTCTTAGACCAAAGCATTTCCAGTGACATATTGTTGAGAAAGGAAGAGAATATCAAATCAGGTCAATACCTTAACACAGCTGACTTTATTAGTAACCCAATAAACCCAAACATTATAAAAGATTTGCAAAGACGACTTTCTTTTATGACTGATATAGAAGAATCCATAATTGAAGACTTCAAACATCTACTGAATCCTCGGTCTTAAGTTGGGCTTCATGGAGGAACTCATAATAAGCATTCTTTAAGTCCGTGTATGCTCTTTCTGACTCTTCCAAATCATTTTTGGAAGCAGCTCTACTTAATCTAGTTGCAGCTGTGAAAAATTGTTGCTCTTCATTCTCCAGCCTTTGCAAGATATCTTTGTTGTCTCGGAAGACACCGGAACCGAATAGCTGAAACGCATTTCTCTCCAACCAGAATTTTCCTGTTCTTGGTTTGTTCTGTGCGTTTAAATAACGCTCCGATACGAGTTCTTCTACTTTGTTCCTGTCGAACGAGTAAACAGAAACTACGAAACTTGCAAATAAAAGACATACCACTCATGATTATGAATATATGAATCAAGGGAGTTGATATCTTGTTCTAAACTGAGAATGCGAGGGCCATATCTACGACGAGAAGTTATCTTCGTAGCAAATGAAATAGCACCATCCGCCAGTGCTGGATTCTTCAAAACTGAAAACCTCCAGAATACTCCTGTAAGCAGTGCCAAACGTATGATACTTCTCCTTGACATTGATACAGAAGCAACCAACTGTAGAACATTCGCACGTCTTGACTTGTTTGTTCGAGGTTTCAACAAACGAGATGACAAGCTTTGTGATGCCAGTAGCGAGTTTTGGAGAGGAAAAGCTAAAGAAGGGTAAATAATGGGATACTGGCCTTAAGATCTTATATACCTGAAAATTGGAAAGCTTCGCTCATTGAAAAACAACCAAAGACTAGTAAAGGAAAAAACGAAGCAAAGGAGACCAATGCACAATCTCTCAAGCTCTGCTCCAACAACAATCTCGGAGCTTCAAAAATTATTCATAAGCTCCTATAATCTCTTGTTGGATATCGAAGGTAAAGAATAGTAAGAGAACAAGAAAGTAATATTTACGGAGAATCTTAAGTAGCAACATATAAGAAGATTCAAATAGTAACACGATATTTATTATTTCTGATATCCACCAGTTATTCTTTCAAAGATAGCTATGAGTTTTTTGAAAACTATGAAGAAATATCCTTACTACTTAGGCTTACACGCTTTATTCTTCTCTAAGATATTATTCAGTCACAATTCTTGTTTCATGTTTTGATTCTTGAAGAAAATCGTTACTTATCACAAATTTCTTGGAGTCAGAACAGATAGATATTGTGAAGCCAAAAATGTCTATAGTAGTTTTACATAGGAGGAAACAATTTGGAATGTTACAAGTCCATAGTTTTGGAAAAGTAGCCAGGTGACTATGAGTCAAGAATAGTATCCTGAAAGAATGGCGGACCTGTACGAAGCATCTCAATGTCTGTTACGGTATCACGTTCGCAAGCTAAAGAAATCATAGCAGCCCTAAGCTGATATAAATATAATATTGCTTTTCTTGCATCTAGGGTTTTTGAGCAGAAAGAAGACAACTGAGGCTGGTAGTAGTGAATACACAAACTTTTATAAAAATAAGTATGATTCGGTTGTAAAAGAGGGTTCCACACTTGACTGGTGTGGTTTGAATAGGGGGTATTATGTCCGCTCAACTTGAGTTTTTCAAACAGCGCTTTATTGAAGTTCCGTTAATAGAACCCTGAAACTGTCAAATAGAAAACCTCAGCTTAATAATAACTATGATGACAGATAAGCCACGCAAGGTTTATCTGAAAACAATAGCTAGGCGCAAGTTTACAAGTCTGCAGGAGGTTGTGTTTTGGTCCACTCCTAAACTTGCAGCTAAAATAAAACTTCAATAGTAGTACAACAAACCAACGCCTATTCAGTATATGAACAATAAGGCCAGAGAAGGGTTCAGGGTATACTAATAGGTTATAATCCTTCACTCTCTCGTTTCCAAGGGACAAAAAGAGCTCCAAAAACTAACCAAGTCAAAAAGAAGACGACTTGGTTTAAGCTTGAAGAGTTCCAAGGTTACGTAGCTTTGGGAATCGCTGGTTTAATAAAGTCACAAGCTATCACCTTGAGGGGTCCAACGTAAGTAAATTCTGACTTCTTGTCAAACTTAACTTCCGCATCCTTAACGAAAAGTTGCCAAACATTGTCACAGAAACGATAGTGATGGAGGCTTCCCTATGCGTTAGGAGCGATGTTAAGAGGCTGCTTATAGCGTCACTTAACGTAGACTTACTTTCAAGGTTAGCTGTTTGTCAACGCTATCTGAAGAAAGACATTCTGCCATAGCACGGTCAAACTTGGTTCTAATCATATCTACTTCCGCTTCTGTGAAAATATTCTTTTCCTTGAGTTCTTCAAGAGCTTCTTCCAAACATATGCCTACCGTGCTAAGACGGTAATGTTGATAATACGTCATCAGAACTCCAAAAAATTGAACAATGTAATTTTCATGAATGGTCGTAAAATAAGCTTTCACAACTCGTTTTCATTATAAACTGTGTTTCTTTGTCGATGTGTGTAAAAAAATAAAGCAACGAAACCAATTTGAACAGAGAAATTGGTTTCTACTCTCGTGACTTACCATGTCGTACATTTATCCTTGTGGTGAATATCTTCCGGCAGAAACTGCTTCAACTATTTCTCCGTTCAATCTGTTCAAGCTGCGCAACTACTTTCTAGAACATGATATTGAGTTTAGATATAGTGTTTTTGAGGCTTTAAAGGAACCCATCTTTCACTTTCGCTATGGACTAAGTTTGGAAGAAGAAAGACTTTGGTTGAAAAAGAGATGGGCAAGGTTACACGAACTTGGTTTTCTCAAAGGAACTTTAACTTCGGTAGACCCGAAAGTACGAGTAAGTGTATGGTCTGTATTTACTATATGGGTTTTTGAATACTTTGTTAGAGTAAATATGACGCCTTTTTTGAGTGCATAGAGATGTATGACCACTCTTTGAGTGTGGCTATGGGTGTCCATTATGGCCTCTTTGGTTCGACTATTGCATTTTTAGGCACGGAAGATCAAGTAAGAGAATGGCTTCCCAAAGTGGAGGATTGTAGCATGTTGGGTTGTTTTGCACTTACAGAACTTGGCCATGGTTCTAACGTCAGGGGCATTGAAACTCAAGCGACGTACGACCCAGTCAGTCAAGAGTTTATCATATTCACTCCTTGTGAAACTGCGCAAAAGTATTGGATTGGTGGTGCAGCGGAAACAGCTCGTTGGAGTACAGTATTCGCACAACTCACAGTCAATGGAGTAAACTATGGAATTCATCCGTTCCTAGTTCAGTTAAGAGATGACAACGGTCGAGTATTGCCGGGTATTACTATTGCAGATTGTGGACACAAGATGGGTCTCAACGGTGTAGACAATGGAAGAATTTGGTTTGAAAATGTTCGGATACCACGAACATATATGCTATCTCGCTATAATTCTGTATCTTCGGAAGGAAAGTATTCTTCAGTCTACAAAACTGCTGACGAAAGGTTTGCTGCTCAACTTGGAGCGTTGACTGGTGGTCGTGTTAGTATCGCGCTATCTTCCACAAATCAGTCGAAAATTGGTCTTACTATTGCAATTCGTTATGGTTTATCTCGTCGCGCTTTTGGTATGCACAAGTATTGTTCTAGAGATGGTTATTTTTAACTCTTTTGAAATAGGTTCCACCTCAGAAGGTCTGGAAGTTCCCATTATGGACTATTTGAGTCATCAACTTCGTCTTATGCCTCCTTTAGCAGCCACGTAAGTGCAATGAAAGACATGATATGTGCATATGATAACGAAGGAGTTTAGATGTATCATGAGTCTTTGTGCCAATCGTTTAAGAAGTCGTTACCGTAACAGAGCAAATGAAAATTTGAAGGAGTTACATATATGGAGTTCAGGATTTAAGTCTCTCATGTCGTGGCAGATGAGAGACACTTTACAAGAATGTCGTGAAGCTTGTGGAGGACAGGGTTACAAGAGTGAAAATAGAATCGGCATAATGAAAAGTACCTTTGATGTTTTGTTGACTTACGAAGGTGATAATTTGGTTTTACTGCAGCAAGTTAGCAGAGTATGCTTTTCATCATTGATACCAACCGTGTTCTAACTTGACTCCCTTTTTCAGGCGGTCCTTAGTGACTTTTTGCGACAACTAAAGAAAGGCCATTTTATAGGCTCTCTTGCCTACCTCAATTCGAAAGATATCTTCTCTGGAAAACTGCCTGAACATAATGAGGTTTCTATTGAATATTTGCGCACTATATTTCGTCGTCGAGAAGCCAATGCATTAGCAACATTGGCAAAGGAATTGGCAAATAGAGAGCACCAAGGCAAATCTTCATTTGATGCTTGGAATGCATGTTTAGATCTTGCGGTAAGTTTTTGCTTTGCTTTAATAAATTTTACTTAAAGAGCAAAGGCCGAAGCAGGTAGAGCACACACTGAGTTGTTGTTTGTAGATTTATCGGAAGAAATAATTTCTTCCATAAATGAGGAGGATGCATCTATTGGATCTGTTTTGAAATTGTGTCAACAGCTATTTCTATTCCATTTGGTTGACAAGCAATCTGTATTCTTGCGCACCTCATGTCTTACCTCGAAGGAGGCAGAATATTGTCATGATAAGGTTATCGAATTGAGTAAACAACTTCGTCTTGTTGCGTTGCCGATCGTGGAGTCTTTTGGAATACCCTCACATCTTCTTGGTCCCATTGCGTTCAACTGGATAGCCCATAATAGCCGAGTGCGACTTTGAATAACGAATTTCGGATGGGTTCTGCTCATAGATATATAGTTGTTATCTTTATATTTTGTTTGTGTTTCCATATTTTAAAATAAATAAGTTACCTCGTAAATTGTATAAGCAATATCTGAAAGATATGAACCAAGTTTGGGCATGACTTGTATTCTTTGAAGCTGTTTACAAGTAGGAGCTTTGTTTCCTCAACAAAAGAATATCCAAAGATAGAATACTCGTGTCAAAGATTGGAAGACATCTCTCATAACTATTTTATATTCCACCAACGCTGCACTCTAAAACTTGTTTTCTTCAATCGCTGTAAATGTCTATATTGTCATTTTTTATTGTCTTTTACAAGAATGTATAAAAAGCTTCCCAGAAATGTATTCTGTTATGCAAAGTTTCCATAGATATTCACATTTTTGTGAAGATGTCAGACAACTGGAGTTTGCCACAGGTCTGTGAATTTCCTCAAAGAAGGAAAATATGCGATACCTGTGAAAGACCGAGTAAGGTTTGCTTGTGCGATGTTCTTCCTAAGGACAAATTAGATCACTCAACCACCGTCTACATTCTTCAGGTATTCATAGAACTTCGAGTAAAGTTTACTGAAAGTCTTTCTTTTATTAGCACCCAGCCGAGGCTTATGCTGCATTCCGCACGACTCCCATTCTTCAAAGTTGTTTACGAAATGTTGAAGTTGTAAAATCTCGCAAGTTGCCTCCTGAGTGGAATGAACTGCGTGAGGAAGACCTGGTTCTGTTTCCAAGTGATTCAGCGATTCCTGTTAGAAGTGTTTCTCGCGGGCAGCATCGTTTGTTTGTTATTGATGCCACTTGGAGCAGTGCAAAGAGTTTATATCAAAAGAATGATTACTTTCGTGAGAGAAGGAACGTTACTGTTAGTCAGACAAATACTCAGTCTGCTATTCCAAGCATACCGTTATTTTTATTAAGAAAACCTCCGACAAGTATTGCCAATGCTTATTGTACTGCTGAAGCTGTTGCAGCTGCGCTTTACTGGTTGGAACAAGATGAAGCAAACGGAATCAAGATTTATCATAGTATTAGAAACTGTATAAGGCATTTTTGCGAAAAACAAATGCTATATATCTCAAAAGACTCTTTGAGACATCGACGTCAAAATGAAGGATATATAGCGGGACTATATGAGCAGTGGCAAACCACATACAAACAAGAATAATATTCTAAATAACTCTGCATACAAAATAAGATTATGATTAGTGTTCTGAATCGTGTTCCTTTCTACTATTGCGTTCTCTACTATGACGCCTATGATGACTAGAAGAATGCCTTGAACGTCTTTCCCTACTCGATCTTCTTCTAGGACTGGAGCTCGATCTCCTCCTCCGATGATGACGTTCTGGTGAACGACTTTCTCGGCGTTTTCTTCTTCTTTGTTCTCTACTTTCTTCTGAAGAGTCTCTTCTTCTTCTTCTCTGGAGACTTTCTTGGGCTAGTTCCTCTGGTGAAGGTTCTCTTGCGGGCAGTTCACGTTGTCGTCTCCTTCTCCGAAATAAACCGTTGAAGAGGTCATCACTTATTCTTTTAATATGCATAAAATTGCAATAGTCACCACGGTCACAAAGTTGCCGCTCATAAGGACGACATCGAGCCTCTCGAAAGTCAGTTACAGGTGAAAACTCTGCATGTACCATACGACCCGCATAATATCTTCCATTTACTGCCTGCAAAGCTCTCTGGGCTGCATCTTCATCCTTAAACTTGATATAAACGTTCCCTGTAAGGTGCTCGGACATGTTCTCACACACATGCATTTCTTCTATTTCTCCATACTTTGAAAGCTCGTCGTACACATCTTCATAAAAGTCGTCAAAGTGGTATTTGATGTCTTCTTCTGACATTTCAGGTGGCTTTGCTCCCACTGCGATGGCTGCTGCGGCAATCTGATCGACGCTTAAATACATGTTCTTCAATAAAATAGTTTGAGAAAAAACAGGCTTATTGTGGAGTCTAGAACAGCGTTCTCCGTGCCGACAAGCACCAATCTTGAAATAAAAAGGACAGTTGACTCTATCCTTTTCGGTACCAAATATCGAAGCAAGATGTTCTGCCATATTTGATTCACAATCAAATCGTTAACACACAACGCTATTATGGATTGATTATCCATTTCGAATTTTAGGCCATCCTGTTTTCAAACACAAAAAGTTTGATATTTTCCATACACTTTATTCACAAATATAAAATGTCAAGTAACTCTTAACTGAAAAGGATATGGCTTGTCAGACAATTGGCTATAACTGTTAAAAACCTACGTTTTGAGAGCAAATGGTTGATTTCCACAATGATGATGGAGTTTATTGTTTCAAGTTCTGTATGTGCATTCAATATCTCTTATTATTCATTATCCGTTAATCTTATACCTCATATGGTCAGTCTGTATGGATTGATTGGCAAGCTTACAATATTCTCTATGTAACTCAGCTAGAACAGCCAACAAAATCTTGTGTTCATTTTGTAGTCTCTTATAGTCACTCAACGCAACAGATGGATTTGCTCCAACAGAATGTCTGGAACCTCCATTTTGCATCGATATTTTTGCAATCTTCTCAATCCTAGTATTGTTGACTTTCAGAGCATGTAGCAGCAATTTTTCATGTTTCCTTGAGGAATAAATGCTTTTCTTTTCTTCAAGCTGTGAGTTATCTTCATCACTTAGCGAATGGGTAGCTATTATAGAACCCTTATTGTTCATTGGTATAGAATCATTGTTAGCTGCCAAATGAAAGTCATCCACAGGAAATTCACGTCCAAGACTTTCTTGCCATCTTTTACTCAAGTCATCTAAAAGGGAATACAGTTTTTCCTTCTGCAGCACTAAGTCTTTTATGCGATCCTCAGCTAAATCCTTGTAGTCTTTGCTTTTGTTAGACTTGTTCCCGCCTTGTAGTCTCTCTAAGTAAGAGTTGGATTCGCTCAAATCTCGCCTGGTCAAGTCTAAATAATCCCTCAGAAATATACAAAGAGATATCAAGGCAACGAGAGGTCTTTGACCAGATAGTTTGTCCATCAGAAAGCTTAGTTCATCTCCTTTTAAAAAGTCCACGTCTTCCCACTCTGTTGTTGAGTTCAAATCTCCTCTTCTATTCTTCCTGCGAAACAGTAAAGTCAACAAAGTACCAAGTTGATTGCTTTCAACGCAAGTATGCTTAATAGTGTAAATTTGCATCTGCAAATGGCTGAGTATGTCACTATTTTCGGACAAGCGGCTGAATACTTCATCTCTCAAATAATTGCACCATCTATTGAACTCACCATAAACCGAAGTCTTCAAACGGACAACTAGAGAATGTGCCAACTGCTGCTGGTCTTGAAGCTTTTTCTTCTCCCCTACAGGATCGAAATCACTAAAAAAAGTAGTAGGGCTCTTGTAAATGTCATGGAGTAACTGAGCTTCTTCTTTGTCATATTGTGGAAGCAATTCATCTTCGTGAAAATGAGACACTGCCAGACATTCTTTTACCTTTACAATACTATTCTCCAGATCGAAAATCTGCTGGAAGTGGCTTTGTAACTTTTTTATGGATGATTGATGCCACTCTTCCATTTCATCTTGCCAACTACTAAAGTGGTCTTCGATTTCTACGATTATCTTCCGAATATCTTCATTTGGATCGATCCATGCTGCTTTACATCGGTTTATGTCTCCGTCTTGAACACTAAATATCTCAAATGATTCCTGTTGCCATTGGCTCAGTCGATTTGTTTTCCTCTGATTTCCAAGATTACATATCTTTGCTTTCTCTTTCGTTTCAATGGATGTGCCTTCTATGAAATTGGCTATAGATTCTAGTCTTGCATATATTCTATCCAGTTTGTCGATCCACTCCATATTTGCAGTTTCATTTTGTAAGCACGATGAAAGGTTACTTTGTTTTTCGTACAAGCCCTATATGTAACGAAACTCAATAAGGAATATATAAATTGCTGCATATACCTACTGCTTTGATATCTGCTTCTCGACTTTCAGTTGGATTATCTTCTACTACTATTGCAATGGCAGAGTCATGATGAGCTGAAAAGTTTGCTTCCTCTGATGTAGAAAGTTCTTGCTGTTCTTCGGGATAGTCCTTATCAATGCTACTTGTGATATGGAAAGAATAATCTGCATTTGAAGATTCCATTACACTTGAATTCTTTTTCACGATAGAAATCTCATCTTCAATAGAAAAAGGCGGTAATAAAGGCTCCGATAATTTCATATCAGTAAAATACAAGTCTTGTGGATTACTTGAAATGGTTCTAGTCAAAGAGGAATTTCCAAAACTACATTCGGAGGCAGATACAATCTCTGAAAACTTTGAAAATTGAAAAGGAACTGTCTCCAATGTAATAAGAGCATTCCGAAATAGATGTGACCAATGTTCCTTTATCACATCTAAACAATCTGAAAGAGGAGAGCCTCGTAATAAACCTTCAAATCTCGCTATTGGAGAAGAAGAGACCTTTCTATTATCCAGACAGAACATAAGATCTTGTCTGAACTGAAGTTTACAACTCCGTAGTTTTGTTTCATATTCGGATAGAGTCGAATCTAGCAGAATTTTGAGAATGAAATTTCTGTATAGTTGTTATGAAGATACAAACCATGGCATCCACTTCCCAAGAAGAAACTGATGACAACATAGGATAGTCCTCTTGTCAGAGAACTGCTTTGCGATATGGCCAAAGAAAGAATTGCATTAAGGAAATCAATTCTATTGGTTAGTATTTGCCTGCTTGCATCGGAAAATGTTAAACAAACAGAAACGAGATATAACAAATGTTGTGTGATACTTTCTGGTACTTCTTCTACCAACATGTTCTTCAAAAAGTCCAAGAGACGATCAAAAAATGCTTCCTTTCTAGGCTGACAAAAGTAATGAGTGATAACTTCTCGAAAATCCTTTCTGTAGATAAGAGCAACTCCTAAAGCAAGACAAGAATATATGGCTGCTTGTTCATCTGCTGAAGTTGGCCATCCAACAGTTGTAGATATGATATCGTCCATCAAATCATTCCTACAAGTTCTCGACTCTACAGACTATTTCATAGCTTAGTTTTTGAATGGTCTTCTTTCATCGTAACACTTACTGGTTTTGTAATATTATCCATTTCAAGAGGCCCTTCAAAGTAGTTCAAGAGCAATGCTTGAATTACTACTTTGAAAGCAGCAGTTCTTACTCTTTGATCAATGTCGTTACAAGCAATATCAAATGCAGCTACAAAAATATTAAGAGAAACTCCAGTTGACATATCAGTAATTTGTAAAGAAAGCAACCTTTGTGAAATCTTGTTCGGTTCAAAGAGAAGAAGCAGCCATGAATGGAATGCTCGAATGTTCAATTCGGTAGCTGTCAAAGGAAGAGGTGATAGAGCCACCCTGATTATCATCTCTTGCACATCTTCCGAGTTATTTGTGATGATCCAATTCTCTAATTTCAACCTTTCAAATATAGTGTCAATCAAATGAGCCATCCATTCAGCGAATGTATTCATCAGAAGTTCATTTGATCCACTATAACTCTCTCTCAGATACTTTATCAATCCATTCACGATAAAAGCTAACTTTCCTTCTACCAAATATTGAGGATCTCGGGTCTTTAATAACATGTCTATCATGAAACTAAAACAAGTATGTAACGTAGCATCGTTGGAAATTGTACCGCCATCAGAGGAAAGATTGAATAGGAAGAGTTCTTCAAAACCTTTATATCTTTTGTAAAAAATAGTTAACAATGATAAACAACACTCACCTTGTTCATGAATCAACTCTTGAATGACTACGAATATCTTCTCAAACAATGGCAGAACAAAGTTGCTTTGAAGAATGTCCTTGTCTAAGTTCATCAGTTGAATCTTTTCCAGTAAGAGCTTTTTAATGGGCATTGATGATATCATGAAACAGTTGAGGAGCGTCTCATAACCATCCTTGTCTACATTACAATTTATAGCTTCCATCGTCAAGTCTATCAACTCCTCCAGTTGTGAAGTTTTTAGTAAGTTTCCATTTTTTTGCAATAAGTTTGCAATTTTTTCTTTAACATACTCCCAGTAATCTTTGAAAATTTCCTCTCTTTCACTGAAATGGGTTGAAATGCTTGTATGAGAACTAACACAAAAACAGAGAATAAACATAAGAAATAGCTCTTGTGAAATAACCTTATAGTATACCAACCGAATGTCAATCTCCTTCAAAAACAACTTGAAAGCATTCACTACGATACAGTAAGGAAGTTCCCGTTTGCAGATGATTTTCTGGAGATACTGAGATAAACTGTCGAAGATAATAATAGAAGTATCCTACAATCAAATACATAAGTTGTTGTTGTTTTACGTTCTCAAAGAATAGAGCTTACTCTTTGTAAAAGCTCATTTAGGTTACTCAAAGCCTTACACAGTTCACTATCGTCAATACTATTATATTCCTCCAACAAATGCATATATGCGTCGATATCTTTCTCATCTTCGTTGTCTTGGAGTAGATTCCATATCGTATTATTTATTTCTTTCGTACAAAAGTCACAGAGTAGTATTTTTTCCTTCATCAAGTAACAAATAGAATGGAAATCCTCATCACATCGAAAGGAAAATATACGTGTGTTGAGGGCTTTGGTGCCATCAACCAAGTCGTGTCTAATTGTCGTGCGGATAGCGGATGGCTTTGATTGGAATTTGAAACGGTACTTTTGAAGTTTCTTCCAGGAGTGCTTGAATTCTCTAGAATAGTGACTGTGCGAAACTAAAAAATGGTGGTTATATCCTTGCTTTCAGTGAAAGGAAGTAGGAATGGACTGCGTTTGTGCCCTTGTAAAGACTCCTTATTGATTTGTTTTGTGAATTTGAGAAATATTTCTCGTATGAACTAACGTTGAATCCGTTTCAACACAACTCCAACTTCTCGAGGAAGAATCTCCAGAGCTGTATTGTTTCCATATATTCACTAGTTTATTAATATTTGCAAAGTTTCAAAGAATTGCTTCAACTCGTTGCTATACGATGCCAACAAATGTTTTGACTTTCCAATATTTTCATCAAGGATTCGATGTTTCAGCATTCTCTTCCTTATTCTTAAGGAATTCATTGCTCTCCAAATGAAATCCTTCTTTCACGTACTTGTTGGGAGCATATGTGTAGCCACTTTGTTGGAGATATTGCTTTACTCTGTTGCTATCTGGAGTTGAAACGTTTCCTTCTCTTTTCTGCTTTATTCTGGTTGAATAGCGAACGGGACTTAATATTGTATCACTGCCAAGTTCTTTCTTTTGTCTTGGAGAAGCTTTCACAGCACTAAGCGTTATTTTCGAACCTTGTGAATTATGCTCATCGTTCTCCATCTTTGCTTCTGAAGGCTTCCCACCAAGAATTCTTCTTGGAGTATGTAACTGTGATATTGGCGAAAATGGTGCATTCTTATTAGTATCACTATCAAAAGCTCGTACTCTTGAGGGCGTTCCAAGCTTAGAAGGAGTTATGTCCATTCGCTTTGCAGGAGACAGACGCATATTCAAAAAATTGTAACGGCCAATGAACAGAAACGACAATGACAATGCTCATTGGAATTAGATAATTGCCATGCTTTGGAACGTTCAAACTTCATGAAGAATGGAAACTTGCCATTTATGTTTATGGCGAATATATACACAATATAGCTATTAAAGTTATGCAATAGTGAAAACACTGGTAATGAATACACAGCCTTCTAGTTAACTATGAAATTACATTGTTGACATCATTTGTTTCACTGTTTTTTATGACTGGGATATCGTTTCAAGTGAATAAGTGTTACTACAACTCTGTCTTCTGAAAGTAACTCGTAACAAAAAGATATTCACAGTAATAGGATGCTAAGAGCTCCAATCCTCTATTCCATTAGAAATAATTTTGGATTGGAAAGAACGATAGTTTTATTCCCACTATGGATAACGTTGACTCAAGTAAAAAGAGTAAGTGGGACGATAAAATAGAAAGCGAGGAAGATGAAGCAAAGAGAAAGGCGGCAGAAGCGGCAAGACGTTTGAATGAGTCTTTGCTTGCTAGAGGACTAACCAAGGAGGGTCAAGAGACTACTGGAGTCAGTCACGAAGCAGTTGTAGATATCAATGATAGTTCTCAGCGCCGCTATATATTGCACAGTGGAACTTTGAGAAGTTATGAGTCGCAGTTTGGGGTAGCCATTGTTCCTAGAGGTAAAACAAGAGCTCTCTTTGTTTTGAGTTTTTTTGCCAAAGTTTTCTTTAGGTCGTTATTATGCTCCCGATGAAAAACCGGACCTAGCCGATTTTCGTGGCCCTGATAGTGAGAAACCTTTGTTTCTTCTCATTACTGGAAGTGATGCAGGTGCAGTTCAGAGTGCTAAAGAAGCTCTTGAAGAAGCCGCAAGTGGTGTGACTCCTGTTTTAAGAAGTTCTCATCCTGGGTTAGGGTCGGAAGGTCATAAAAGGGATCGTCTATATGAAAAGATAGTTACAAATATGGACTTTGAGACTGCTGGAAGACCTTTCCGATTAATAGAACGTTTAAAGGGTCCTGACCTTTCTTATATCAAATACATAGAGCAGGAGACTAACTGCAGAGTATATCTAAGAGGCAAAGGAGCAGATCGAAACAGTGCAGCAGCCAATAATGCTACTACTGAAGAGCCTCTATACTTTCATATACAGGCAACGGATGAACGTTCGATGCAAGAAGCAAAGGCATTGGTAGAAGACTTGTTGGACGCCATTCGTCTAGAATATGAAAAGGCCTGTGCCTCGCATGTGGCTGCAATACAAGCGTACCAGAATCAGGCTCTTATTGCAGATCCTTATCTTTTGGGAGTAGAAAACAATATTGGAAATTTCTCTTCTTTGGCACCTTTTGGTGCACCCTATTCTGCCAATCATTCCTTTTTAGGGACGACTGCTGTCAATGGAACTACTCATTTGGAGGATTCGTTACCGCCACCTCCACCACCACCACCACCACCACTTGTTGAAGATACTCAGTTTCCGCCACCTCCTCCTCCTCCTCCACCACCAACTTTTCATGAAACCAATGAGTGGTCAAAGGATTTTGTAGGAGACCCTTTGAGTTCTCTGCCGAGAAACGTTTCCATGCATGAGACGTCAAGTGATTTGGTAAGAAAAGAATTCTCTATTCATATTTATAGCGCATTAATTACTCGTGAAAAGGAATCGTATCATGCTGTTCCGCCGCCTCCACCTAGCAAGATTTCTAAAAGTAGCCATTCTCATAGAAGGAGATGAAAACGGACGAAAGATAGTATGTTTTGCAGCAGATAAGAAATTGGGCACATCCAGACGTTGTTTTGATTACAAAGAATAGCACAATAGAAAGTAGCCATCTCATTCAGATGTTAACGATGCAATATAATAGGCAAGGTCATGAATGGATAAGGCCTGGATATTACCGATATCATCCATTCATGACCAATTGGAGTGGACTCTAGAAGAGTGCATCTTTTGAAAAGTCTCCACTCCCAAATAGGGAAGAATCCGACTCCTTGTATGCTTGAATAAAATGCCTTGCTATCAAAGGAGTGGAGACTCAGTTCCTGAGATTCATTATTGAGATGCTTCTTATTATTCTTGAATAGGAATAGATTGAAATTATCTGCACTTCCGTTTGCAACTTATCTAAATATTCTTTAGAATAGGTTAAGTGGAAAGTGCAAGAGCAAACAGGAGACTTATCAAACAAGTTTTCAGTATTTCACTGAAAACTTGATACGCGTTTCCAACACAACGAAATTGACAGTAGATACCAAAGACTCTTCAACTTTGTCGCAAGATAGCAACGTATATGTTTTAGTCTTCTTCTTCTCGATACTCTCTCTCTCACCTTGTTTTATGTCAAATTCAGAATTGCTATTGGTTCATATAATACACTATTGTCAAGAGAAGGAAGAAATTCCATTTTGCAAAGAACAACACAAATAAACTCTGTCTACGGAGACAAATCTTTTGAACATCTTTGTCGAAGCTGAATTTATGGTTTCCTTTATTGCTCTGACGCTTTCATTTTAGATGTGACGATAACTGTGCGAAAATTTGTAGGAAACCAAAACCTGGCACATTGTTTCATCTTCCTTTATTTGATTCTAAAGGCGATTGAGTATTTTTGGGGTTGGGCGGCGTCGCCACATTGCCATTCAAGAGAAGACTGTCATTTTTATTCCAGTTTAGAAAATGGTTGAGTATTCCTCATGTTTTCACGTCAAATACTAATCTTGGTGTTTAGACAAAAGGAACTTCAAGTTTCGGCAAACGGAATAACAAAACCCACGTTCTATGTATACGCTGTGGGCGAAGAGCGTATCATCTACAAAAGAAGCGCTGTGCATCTTGTGGCTATCCATCCGCGAAAAAGAGAAGGTGTAAGTGTTATACTTGAAACTATAATTGGTTGTTTGAGTTCTAAAATGAAACAAGTCAACTGGTCCGAAAAGTCGATAAGAAGGCGAACTACGGGTACTGGCAGAATGAGGTACTTGAGACATTTACCGCGACGATTCAAAAATGGTTTTAGAGAGGGTGTGAAAGCTTCTTCTAAACATCCTGCCTCTGCAACTTCTGGAATATAATTGGAGACCATTCTGAAACTTTGTCAAAGCTAGACTCGACCTTTTTGTTCTCTAATGAAGACAGTTGAAGATAAAGTTGCAAAAGTTTTCACATATTTACTGATTTTATTGTCAACCATCCTTGTTGAGCTTTAAACCGTTGGTTTATGACGCAAGAATATTTGTATTTATTCACATCAGCTATATTTTGCTATATTGCTAGTTTACTTGAGGACTGTTGGTCACGTATAATTGTGTAGAGTGGTATTAATCAAGACTTTTAGAATACAAAGAGCACAGGTACCAAAATTGGTAAACTATTTTTTGCCATGGGGAGAACCTTAACGGTCGAAAGTAATTAATAAGCATTCATAGCGGAATATTATATCAAGTCAATAATATATTAAGCTTTCCCACAAAAGATGCTTCCCAAATAATAGACGAAGTTGGTTGATAGGATCATTCTATTGACCCAACTCTAGAAGAACTCAAGACCGATATATCCTTCCATAGTTATTGTTATCGATGATTATATTGTATTCAACAAAATACTCAAAGTAGTTTGTCATCCATTGCAAAGTATTGCACTCGGATCCTTTTTTAGCTATTGGCAGCATCATCGTGGCAATGTCATCTTAAATTGGTCGTTTCACCGCCGTCTTACTTCTCACGCGGCTTGAATTGTTTCACAGAAAATGGTACGAAGTTACAGATACAGTATGTATCGTGTTTTGTTAAACTGTGTTGGTGTTTTAGGTCAACTTTACTATTGACGAGCTATGGCATCAGATGACAAAGAAACACAATATCCGCAATATGTCAGTTATTGCACACGTGGACCACGGCAAATCCACCCTGACGGACTCTCTTGTGGCAGCTGCAGGTATTATCGCAACAGAAGCAGCAGGTGACACCCGTTTGACAGATACTCGCCCAGATGAACAAGAACGATGTATCACTATCAAGTCAACTGGTATTTCTTTGTACTTCCATATACCTGCAGATGTGGACCTTCCCAAAGACTCGGAAGGAAGAGACTTCTTAATCAATTTGATTGACTCTCCTGGGCACGTGGACTTTTCTTCTGAAGTCACTGCAGCACTTAGAGTAACCGACGGTGCTTTGGTGGTAGTTGACTGTGTTGAGGGAGTCTGCGTTCAAACAGAAACAGTGCTTCGTCAGGCTCTTACCGAACGCATTAAACCTGTACTTGCAATCAACAAACTGGATCGTGCCTTCCTTGAATTGCAGTTGGACTCAGAAGATATGTATCAAAACTTCTTGAGGGTCATTGAGAATGCCAATGTTATCATAAGCACTTATCAAGATGAAAAACTTGGTGACGTGCAGGTTTCTCCTGAAGCTGGAACTGTCGCTTTCTCTGCAGGTCTTCATGGTTGGGCTTTCACGCTTCCTCGAATGGCTCGCATGTATGCCAAAAAATTAGGCATAGATGTGCAAAAGATGACAGAAAGGTTATGGGGAAATAATTATTATGACAAGGCTGGAAAGAAATGGATGAAAAGAGAACAGGCTGGAGCCGAAAGAGGATTCAACGAGTTTGTTATCAAACCAATCAAGAAGATAATCGATCTTGCAATGTCAGATAAGGTGGAGGAGCTTGACAAGCTCCTTCAAGGATTGGGTATCAAATTGACTTCAGAAGATAAGCAGTTACGTCAGAAGCAATTGATGAAAAGAGTTTTGCAAAAGTGGCTTCCAGCCGATGGTGCACTTTTAGAAATGATGGTTATGCATTTGCCTTCTCCTGCAGTAGCTCAGAAATACAGAGTTGAGAATCTTTATGAAGGTCCTATGGATGATGCGGCAGCAACAGCCATTCGTAATTGTGATCCTAATGGTCCTTTGATGGTCTATATTTCAAAGATGGTTCCTGCCACAGACAAGGGAAGGTTTGTTGCTTTTGGACGAGTGTTTTCAGGAACTGTGAAGACAGGAATGAAGGTGAGTTCAATACATCGATGAAGAGTATATTGCGTGCTCACTGTATTAGGTCCGCATACTTGGTCCAAACTATGAACCAGGAACTAAGAAAGATTTGTTCTCAAAGAGCATTCAGAGAACTCTATTGATGATGGGCAGAAAGACTGAAGCTGTCGAATCAGTGCCTTGTGGAAATACAGTTGGTTTGGTTGGACTTGATCAATATTTGGTCAAATCTGGTACGATAACAGATTTAGAGGAAGCTTTTCCTTTGAAAAATATGAAATATTCCGTTTCTCCTGTTGTACGTGTTGCCGTAGAACCGAAGAATCCAAGTGACTTGCCGAAGCTGGTAGAGGGTCTCAAGAGACTTTCCAAGTCAGATCCTTTGGTCGAATGTATTATCGAAGAATCCGGTGAGCATATTATTGCTGGTGCTGGAGAATTGCATCTGGAGATTTGTTTGAAGGATCTTCAAGAGGAATATATGAATGGAGCTGAAATCAGAGTATCGCAACCGGTAGTTTCTTTCAGAGAAACTGTAGTAGGCCGACCTAATCCAGAAGAAACGGCAGTTTGTTTGAGTAAATCCCCTAACAAACACAATCGTTTGTATGTATATGCAGAACCACTACCAGAAGGACTTGCAGAGGCCATTGAGGAAGGCAAAGTAGGTCCGAGAGACGATCCCAAGCAACGAGCAAAGACGTTGAGAGATGAATTTGGTATGGATGAAGACGCTGCACGTAAGATATGGGCTTTTGGACCCGAAACTACGGGTCCCAATTTGTTGATGGACCGAACCAAGGCTGTTCAATATTTAAATGAAATCAAAGACTCTTGTATAGCAGCATTTCAACATGCAGCGAAGGAAGGTGCCATTTGCGAAGAGAATATGCGTAATATTTCCTTCAACTTTTTGGATGTCACACTTCACTCCGATGCTATTCATCGTGGTGGTGGTCAAATCATTCCGACTGCAAGGAGATGTTACTATGGTGCCCAATTGATGGCAGAGCCAAGATTATTGGAACCTGTTTATCTGGTCGAAATTCAATGCCCAGAACAAGCAGTTGGTGCTATTTATGGTGTTTTGAATAGGAAGAGAGGGCATGTCTTTGAGGAAGCTCAGAGACCGGGAACTCCGTTGTTCAATGTCAAAGCATATCTTCCTGTTTCCGAGTCGTTTGGGTTTACTGCTGATTTACGTTCTGCAACTTCGGGACAAGCGTTTCCTCAGTGTGTGTTTGATCATTGGCAACTGGTTAATGGCGACCCTCGGGATCCAGCAGAGAAAGTATCTGAAATTGTGAAAGGCATTCGAAAGCGAAAGGGCTTGAAGGAAGAAATTCCCGGTATTGATAATTACTTTGATAAACTATAAATCTGTCATCGGTATAATGGTTTATCATCGCAGTTAGTAGTATAATGAGTGTGGTTTTTTGTCATCTTTGTATGTTCCAGATTAAACGAGGAAATATTCTTGATTGACTTTCTGGTTACAATTCAAAGAGAAACCTTGATGATAAAGGCCTTCGAATGTTGCTTTACATATTTACACCAGAATTTTAGGAAGTTTGACCAATCCCTAAGAGTTGGCATTTTGCTGTCGTATGGTCACATGACTCTCAACAATGGCCAATCGTCATTATTTACTACAACAATATTATTCTCCTATAATCGAGCTTTTAAAAAAAATGCTCTCGTTTTGGCGCCAATGACAAGATACTTAAAAAGCCTCTTTCAAAAAAACCTCACTTTTGTCGTTTATCAAATGTTTAGCCACAATATCCTACAAGCGCGAGGAAAATTAAAGAAAATCCTAATAACCTCATTATTTCTACTGGGCTGTCTTTATCTTTATACGTCGAGAATGAGCCTTTTATCTAACACAGGTAAAAAGCCAAAAGATTCTATAGAAACAGGTGCAGACTAGCAAAACAACTAGTGTTGAGTAATATCATAACATATAATGCTTAGGACTTTGGGAAAGTCGACAATCTTATCAAGTTAAAGAGGAGTCACCAGCAAATAATGATAAGATTATTGACTCAACAGAAATAAATTTTCCTGATCAAACGACTTCAGACTCGCAGACGAAGGAAACGGATCCTTCTAGGAGTGGGTTTGAAGTGTTGGGAACCGAAGAAACTTTGCAAGCCGAGGTCGCAGGAAACAATGAGAAAGTCAACTTTGAAAATTTTCAACAGGCAACGTTTGAAGCGGCTCCACAAAAGAGAGATGTCGATATAATATCCTCTGATACTAGTCTCCCTTTTGAAGAGAAAGTGATCAGTGTGTGATCATAATGATTCAAATCGAGAGCAGTCCAGGTCCGTGTCGAAATTCACTCAAGTTGTTTAAATGGAAAATACAATATACCGAGCACATATGAAAGAAATTTAATAACCACGTAAGCAACTACGCTGGTATTCAAAGTAACGAAAGAACTATTCCGTCAGAATTTCATTTCAAAGATAAAATAATTATATTCATTGAGAGCCCTAACAAGTAGTTCAAACATTATTGTCAGAACTCTAGTTCTGAAAGATCCAAAGGAGCCAGTTGCATCCAGTCTTTTGGACCCCTTTGAAGTGGTCTCTTAATTGATGCAGTCGTCGGTGTTTGTGGTGGATGCTTCATATCATCATAGCTATTGTCTGTCAATATTCTTCTCAGAGACGGTGAAGAAGTTCTTGCTGTTTCTGCCACGGATGAACTAAAGTTTTTTCGCAATGGTGGCTGGTTTGTTGAATATTCATCACTTGACTGAACAATTTTGCAAAGCTCAGAAAGAATATGAGACATGGAAGGTCTCTTGTCTGGTTCTGCAAAGCAGCTTTCCATAACATCAACGTATCTGTGCATCCCAGACAAATTGGGAGGTAATGGACTAGGTATCAAAGGAGGAGGTAATTTCTGTTTTCTAAAACCAACTGCAGCAATAATCTGCATAGACGTCATACCCTCAAACGGAACTTTGCGTGTGATCATTTCCCACATGATAACCCCGAAGGAATAAACATCTGCCTTCTCATTGTGTTGTTCACTGCGAAGAACTTCAGGTGCCGTCCTAGATACAATACACAATAGCATTCAGATTTTCGATGAAAAGGATTGATAAAACGTCGTACCATTCAGGAGTTCCTCCACAATGTCGACTTGTTAAAAAAGTCCTATTTCTGACTCTCGATAGGCCAAAGTCACTTACTTTAACCGTAAGGTTTTCTGAAACAAGCAGATTTAAACTTTTCAAATCTCGATGTACAATTGGTGGATGATGCTGATGCAAATAATTCAAACCTCTAGCAGCGTCAATGCACATGAAAACTCGTTGTCGCCAAGAAAGTGGCAAAATCCTGCTTTGAGAACTACTGCTACCTGAAGCATGTTCGCTATTCTCATCTCCATAACGATGAGTCTTGGTGGAACCATGCAAGACCTTGTACAAACTGCCCAAAGTCATCAGTTCCGTTACAATGCTCAAGTTAGGAGGGCAAGTTGTGGCACCCAAAAAAAGAACTATATTGGGATGTCGAAGTCTACACAATACTTTGTAAGAATACTAGAATAATAACAAGAAACAAAAATACCTCGCCATCATTTTCGCTTCCGCTCTGAATTCTTCTATCTGGTTTTCGGTTAGGTCCTGATCTAACAATTTCTTCACTGCGACTTGAGTTCCATGCCAAAGACCAGAATAAACGATACCAAATCCACCAACACCAACACAATGCATCAATGTTAACTCTTCAAACGGTATTTCCCAAGGGGCATCGTGTTTTGTATCTTTCGTGCTATGAGAAGGACTCCATTTAAGAAGGTCACTTGAACGCTCCGATATATCCGATTTCTCATTCACACCATTTCCAAATATATTATTGGCATTGGTGAGATTTTTATCGGTATCGAATGGGGTCGCTCCTTCCCACTTGACTCCAGCTACCCAACTACCATTTGAACTATGCACAGTATCCAAGTCTTCATCAATTTTGTGTACCGTATAAAAGAAATTATGGCCCACAAAGTTGTGAAATCCATTACTGGTGTTCAATCCAGGCGAATCAGAGTCACCCAACCAAGCGGGTTGAGGCGCTTGTGGAAACATACCAAATTTTTCAAAGGTAGAGTCACTTTCTTCCCTTAAAAATTTCTTTCGTCTTCTCCTTCTTAAATAAAATACAAACAGTATCAACCCAATTATAATTAAAACTCCAATAACACCTCCTACTGTACCACCTACAATGGCACCTACTGGTTGTGGACTCGAGCTTGTTTGTAACAGACTCTCCATTGTCTTGGGCATTTTTATCATAATAACGTCCAAGTGAGTTAAGTTTTGCATCGCACCGCTGTTGACAAATTTATAAATTTTGTTAATTGCATCATTCGTCTCATTCGAAGCAAACACTGTAATATAATCAGCAAGCACGTAAGGAGGTTTTCCAGAGCAGTTAAAGAGATTCGTCAAAAGGATATCGCTGACATTCATACCCGAGAGTTGTGCCGCAAGTACATCTTCAATATCATTGTTAATGGCTGCCGTGAAAATGTTTGTGGTAAAGTTGTTGAATCGTATCTAAACAAAAATGAGAGACATTCCAAAAATTATTCCTTGACTAACCTCATACAAAACTCGATGAAATCCCGCAGTTGGGAGAGGAGTTGAGCGCAACGCAGGTGCAACTTGAGACTCATTTACTGACTGCCCAGACTCGGAAAATTCAATAGGATCATCAACTAGGATGATAGGACCATTATTAATAGATGCCGCCAGTTGGCCACTTTTGATATAGAAAGTAAGACTTTGGACAAGGGAAGGCGCCAACTGTCTTTCTGCTTCTAACACGTACGTCAAAATAGGACCGACTTGGAAATTAACGAGGCTTAGATTTGATACGGGAACATTTGCAGCATCTGCGAGGTCCAACTCTATTTCCTTCGAAATTTCTTCCGTTATAAAGGACCTCAACAGTATTTTGATAAATAAGTAAGCCATTCCTGGAGAAGGCGATGGAGTAGAATGAACCACGGGTGGTCCAGATGGATTTGGAGTAGCCGTTGGATTAGGCGTTGAAGAGGCAGCGACAAACTGAAACGGTGATGGTAAAGCAAAAGCAGGATTCGAACCACGAGTGACAACGTTTTCCATTTCTGAAACAAAGGATGGTAGCATACTCAAAAAATAAGAGGAACGATCGACATTGTTCTTGCGCCACAAAACGTTGACCTCTTCCTGCGTCTTCAAACGAGAAGTAGCTAGTGAAGATGTCCTTGACTCTATCTCTTGTTGTTTCTGTTTGCTATGTTGCAACACCGAACTTTCAACTTGGAAACATAACAGGGCCAACACCAAGCCTATCAGCAATAGAGGAATAACCCTCGAAGAGTTGCGAGATGAGACACGAGAAGCACAAAACATTGCCTTCTTCAAGCGCTCTTCCAAATAGTAAGGAGAGCAGCGAGAAAAAACTCTATACAAGTCAGCACCAGTTCAGTATGCGCACATAAACCCGACACAATCACACAAAGCCTCCGCCCGTGCCGAAACTCTATTTTGAGAGTAGGCCTCCTGTTCAAAAGAAAACGAACTGAAATTCTTTTTAGTCTTTGTTTTCTACTAAAAAGTAAGTATTGCTAGAACTGTCTAGTCTTCCTTAGAAGCCGGGTAGCATGTTAAGACAGAATGACCAAGAGGAGAAGTGTTCTTACCCATGAAAGAATGAGGGCGTATGGCCTTTCTTTTCCACGTCCAACCTGAAAACGACGCACCCCCATGTTTAGAATTCCCCAATTTAGAATCACTGCAATCCAAGTCGAATTGGGACATAACTAACTGCATAAATTTCCTTTGGGAGGAGAGCAACAAAAGAAAGCAAATAAAAGTTTCTAAGACGCCTTTATTTCTGAGAGAAGGAACCTATTTTTTCTTACCCTCAAAGTAGAGTGTAGATTATCACTTCGACTCTTCTTTTCTTCTCTGCCTGTACTCAGTATCAGTGCAGCAACGTGACTCTGTTATTGAGTTACTTCCTCAGTTACGCGCCCATAACTGCGACTAGCACTCTCACTATATGATGTCCTATTTGCCGCAAAACGCCCTCCTCCTCTACCACCACTACGAGTAGCTTCTCCGCTAGTGCCACTGTTGCTTCTCCTACCACCAGCACGATTACCAAAGTTGCGGCCTCCTCTGGATCCACCTCCATATCCTCTTCCACGAGTGTCTCTTCCACCTCGACTTCCTCTTGCCAACGGTTTCCTCTGTTGAACGGTCAAATCCATTCCTGCTAAAGGACCTGCAGTTGGAGGCCGACTGTTCCAAGCTTCCACTGCTGCCTCAACGTCTTCAACCGATTCCATATCGACAAACGCAAATCCACGTTCTAGATGCAAGTCAACATTCAACACTTTACCGAAACGAGAAAACTCTTCAAGAAGCATTTCTTCCGTGAGGTGCTTTGGAAAGTTGCTGATATATACGGAAGCTCCTGAACGTTCACGCGGCCGTTCTCCCTTTCTCTCTTCTCCTGCAACCTTCTCTCTATTTATATTATCTTGTGGAGGAGCAACTCGCTGTTTCATTTGATTGCCAACATTATTGGGAACCACGTTCTGCGAAGGTGTAGGTTTTGATCCAACTATAGAAGCCCAGCTCTTCTTCTGCTGGCCTGAGAGCAGCTTTTCGTCCTCCATTCCTTGGAGTGTTTCTCCTGTTGTTGTTCTATGTAAAGACTCACTCTTAAGATTTTGGGTTTCTGTGGGCGATCTTGACTTTTGGTGAGCCTGAGTGGGTGAATTTCGTGGTTGTGGTGCCTCACTTTGTGAAGCTGCCAAAGTCGAAGTTGACACAGAGTCTACGTTACTCTCTCGTTGCTTCCCAACTGGAGTAACTTTGTTTGTGACGTCAACTCCGCTCGTATTCAAGTCTGGGAGATTTTCCTTAACTGGTTGACTGTGTGTAGTAGTCATCTCTTGTAACATATGAAGAATGTCGTTTCTAACATAAAAACCTTTCTCTTGTGGATTCAAAACAAAAGTCTGTGCAAAGTTTCGTAGAGACGAACCCTCAAGAGCAATGTAACCGGTAACCTGCACCACGATAGAACCGTTACTTGAACCTTGTGCGTCAACGCTGGAAAGTTTGTAGCTGCACGAACCAAAAGGAATATTTTTCACCAACTTTCCGATTTCTTCTTGACCCTGTGCACTTTGTAAAGTGGCCTTTTCAAGTATGCCTGTTGCAACAGTGAACTGTGAGTCTTCTTTGTAGAAACGGAACAGATGTTCAGGTTTCTTGGAGAGCACATCATAGTAAGTTTTTACAAATTGTTGTCCGACCAAGGAAGGAGTTAAAGAAATAGTTTGTCCAGTAGCTGTTCTTGACGGGACACTTGATGGGTTCGAGAGGTTAGAAGTGCTGGTTAAACTAGCCATGACACAGAAGAAAACTTTTCTACTATAGTGTTACTGAGAGTATAAAATAGTCAGGACAACATACCTTTGAGTGTTGAAGAAAAGAGGCAAAGAAGTCGAGAAGATCGAAGCAGACGCCGACCCACGGCAAGTTGTTGGATTCCAAACGATTGAAATTTGTATGCTCATTTTGTTGTTGTAGGAGTCAATTCATATTTGCATTTATTTCTCTATTATCAATCAACCTTGATATATCAAGTTGATAAGTGTTATTCTTCATACGAATGATAGCAAAACTAGTATTGTATTGAGAATAAGCTTTGACAGTTTTCCTTCAAATGTGCTCTTGGATCTAAAAACTCTTTCTCTCCAGTAAAATTCTTACAAGGCTTTCCTAAGGAGAAGTGTCATTATCCAATTTCTAGTAATTATAAGAGAAAAGTGACAGGACATTCGTAGTATTCATGTATGAAATGAGTTGTAAAAAATTTATCAAATAAGCAACATATTCATCTTCGCGTCATATCCGAAAACACAATTATTTATTTATTTATTTATTTATTTATATATATATATATATATAAGAAAGGAAGAAAGAAATAGCAGTGAACAGGATGGATAGTTGTATACGCATTCGAACAAAACATATCAACTACGCAAGAGAAGATTGCGGAAGAAAGTGTTTTCTCTCATGAAGAAGCAATCTTTGCTCCAGAAGCTTGTTTCAGAAGAAACTCCAAAGCCTTATTCATAAGAGGCTCCAAAGGCGGCATGTTCTTTACATCCTTTACGTTGTTCATTGTTTGCAAATTTTGCTTCATCTGTTCTTTGATAGCATATGCTGCTGCCTTTTGGTCATTTCTACCTGCATCTTGTCGTTGATGCTTGGCAAGTTCTGCAAATAACTTCTCCAATCGATCACTTCGGAGTCTCTCTTGGCTTTCAAAATCTTGCCTAGCATGAATAAGTTCGTCCCATGCGTTCTGTGCTCGCAACCGAAGACTTTTGATTTCTTCAGACTGTTGGTCTACCAAACGCTGCAGTTGTACTCGATAGGTCTGCAGTGAACGAACTTTGCTTTGCAAATGTTGAATCTTCTCTTCCATTTGAGCTGCATCATCTTTGAAATGCTCAGTATTGCGCTCTCTTTCCGAAAACTGCTCCCTTAATAGTTGCGCATTTTCCTTCTCAGCTTGTAGTTCTTCAGTTAAGAAGTTCACTTCAGCCTTGAGTTTCTCAACACTCTTTTCCAAAGTAGCCTGGAAAACGATACTATTTAACCAAACAATCAAAAACATAATAAAGCTATTTCACTCACCTTTTCTGCATTAAGCTTTTGCATATTTTCTCCTTGTTTGGCCTCTATTTGTAGTAGTTCTGCCAAACGTTCTTTCAGAAACTCCACCTGAGCAAGTTCACGATAGTCCAACTGACTTTCATCAACGAGTTCTTTCTTCTGGAAGCCTGAGCTTTCTTGACTATCCGCAATTTTTTTACGGAGACGATTCAATACAGGTGAATCGCCGTGGATAGCCAAGAAACTATTATTGCCTTCCTTGTTGTTATTTTGTTCTTTGTGAATGTCCTTCATTTTAGTCTCCGTCTGTAAATTGTTTAATAAAGTTTCCTTTTCTTCCAACTGTGCTTTCATGTGCTTGTTATCATTCTGTGTAGTCTGTAAAAGATCTGTCAACTTATAAACTGTCTCACAAAGTCTTCGTGTAACTGCTTCTTCTTGTTCCAAAATGGAATCAGATGAAGACTGAGTATCTTGCTCACAAGTGTTAGAAAAGTTCAGAGAATCTACCAGTTCATTGTCTTCCATTGCGGATATTTTTTCAGCCAAATTCTTCCAAGCGGTCTCTAATAATTCAAAGTTGGCTTTTCGTTTCTTGTTTTCATTCTGTGACTCCATCAAAAGAGCTTCAATATATCGTTTTTCATCAGCAATTTCTCTTTCACGTTGTTCTGCACATGCAAGTAGTTTGGAGAGTTCTTCAGTATCTTCCACATTGGAATGAATAAAGGAAGAATCTCGACTTGAACGTTCATCGACATAGGACTTGTCTTCATCCAAATTCGTATCACTTTCACTTTCTTTCATGAGTTGAACCAATTCGTTCGAATTTCGTTCTTGTTCGTTGGCAGGCTTACAAGTAACCGAGTTTTCTCGTTCTGCCAACAGCTGTCTAACAAAATCTTGTAGCCTTCGAACTTCTGCTTGTAACTGTACTAAACTTCCAGTAGTCTCTTCATTGACATATGCTTTGTTACGTATATACTTAGCTCGCTGAGCGAACTTTAACGTAGAAATGGTTTCTCCCAGATTCAAATCACTGGGACTAACTGTCGCTACCATGCAAGTCTTTGCATTTCCTCCTAGTGAGTCTTTCAATAGAAACGTCAATTTGGAATCTCTATAATTGATGTGACGTTCTTTTCCATTGGAGGCATCAACCAAAGCCATTATCACGTAACCCAAGACAGAGAGAGATCGATTGATGTTGCTTGCTTCTTTTAGCGTTTGTCCAGATGTTTTTGCTAACTTTTGTCTTTCGGATCCTGCCAAGTCGACCAAATTGAGTCGTGACACTCTCTTGGAGACTAGATTGTCAGGCTTCTCTTCTTTTCTTTCAATTATCACAGTAAAAACTCCGTGAGAACGGGAACTCTCCTGGTTCATGGAGGTTGCACTAACAGTTCTATTAGCAACTCCTTTTCTCAATACTCTATAACAATCTTCGGGATGCTTTACAACCTCCTCAGTAAGATCTTCCACATAGACGCCTTTCAATGTGTCTTCACGAATATTCAGATTGTGTTGAGAAGGTGTCAGCAAATCGGTGATGGTTTCATTATATACTTGTAAATAGGCACATTTGACTACATAATCAACTGCGCTACCCTTTTCTTCCCGTTCTTTTTGGATACTGTCGAAGATATATTCAAATACTCGGGGCATGATTCCTCTCAATTGTCTGATATCGCCTGACTGAGCTTGAATGCTTTCCTCCGGTCCTTGCATAGTGAAAGTTTTGCCAGATCCTGTTTGACCGTAGGCGAAGATGGTGCCATTGTATCCTGCTAAACAAGAATCTATGATTGGTTTTGCTACATTACGAAAGACATCTTCTTGTTTCCCATCAATAGGAAAAATACTATCAAACGTAAATTTTTTGGCATTTCCTTGGTCGTTTACTACGATATTTCTACCTCCATCGCCAACTTCTAAACATGGCAACGTATTCTGTTCTCTTTCATTGAGTGGTCTTATTCTTATAACAACACGCACACATTCACTAGTGGATGCTGCTATTTCTTCCAGTTGCGCATAGATATCCTTGTCGCCTCCATTTTCTTCCGGTTTGGTTGTCTGTGATACTTCAGTTTCTGTAGTGGAAGCAACCATGGGTTTTATATAGATGTTTCCGATACTATAGTGAAGAATAATGCAAAATCGATAGATAAATGATAATAAAAGCGTTTGTTATCGTCACAACAGGTTCTCCAAAAACAATTTATGATAAAAAATCACAATGGCCATGGAAGCAACGCTTTCAGTGAAATCCGAACGAGCATATGATGAATTAGACAGCTCGAGGAGCAGTTGCCGCCCTTTGAGAAATCATGGACAGACACGTACAAAGCTCTTGGAGTTGGAATCTAGAAAGATAGTTTGAACACCACAGCAATAAGGTGATATACAGAGTATGCAAGGAGCCTTGCAAACACTTCCGATGCTCCATAAAAATCTTTTGGGTAGTTGGTTCTTCGAAAGATATGTTCTTGTTTCCCTTGGAAAACTTCGCTTTAGTGGAGTGTTTTCTTGAGAAGAGGGTTCCTTTTTCGTCGTTTATCGAGACTTGGAGTTTTTTGCTCCTATTTCAGAGTCCGAAATATCGTTTGCTTGCAACATTCCTCACCTACATTTCGTGGAAGGTGGAAAAACTTTTGTTTATTCACACTCATATGTATTAAGACTGTATATGGCCAAATACTCTCTCTCCCCATTTCGGTAGTACTTGCGAAAAAATAAGACTTCGATTTTGTTTTGGACTTGCCTATCTTTCATACATCTATAGCTTTACTAGCGAAATAAAACAAGAAGAAGAATGCAATTACAGTAAAAACGCCGCGCAGCCCCTTGAAAATAGCAAGTTCTCAAACATCATGAATTTATGAAACAAGAAACCCTTCAGCACTATTCTACAGCTGCTTCAACTTCGGCAGCAAAACCTGCAGGAATTCGTCTCTGCCCTACACTTGGGGTTTCACTAATGCTTGCAAGCTTTTTAAAGATCTTCTCATTCAAACCAGTTGAAGGAAACCTCGAACGATGTTTCTTTGGTTTTGATTTCGAATTTTGTGATATTTCGCAAGCATTTTCTACGAACTCGGACTCGGCGTCATTCCCATTCTTAGACATGACATGAGAACTACCTGTTCCTTCCTTCTTAAGACCTAAACCTGCATTCGAAGCTGTAAAAGAAGGTCAGTTCCAAAAGTGATGTTGGAAGAAGTACAAGTGCTTACTCTTCCTTGATGAATCCGATTTTTTGTACTTGACCTTGCTTGGTTGCATTGGTTTCTCAGAGGCTTGAGAGGGTTTCGGTGTGGAATTCGAAATCAGTTTAGGTTTGACACCATGAGTCTTATTGCAAGGCAAAGGCGTGCTTTCTCCCACAACGCCATTTTCAGAGCTATTCATACGATTGCGATCCACTGATGTTGCTTCGGCACTATGAGTATTTGAAAGTGTATCCACTGTCTCATTCTTTTCTACGGAAGTGACGTGAACCTTGGGTATCGTATTCTGTAGAGTGTCTAAACAAGCCAATAACTTCATTGAAGCTAAGTATATGTCGGATCCCATACCTTTCACATCATCTGGCTCTCTTATTGCTTCGATATGATTCAGCCCCTTTGACTCCGTGCTGCTGAAAACTTTTGGTTGCTCTGCTTGATGTTTGTTTGGGTTTTGCTCTCGTTCCCATTTCTTCTGCGCTGCTAATTCCTTTCTTCGCTTAATTTCTTCGCGTTTTTCCTTACCTATTCCAATTATTCACTATTGTAACCATTAGACAAATCAACAAGATACATACTCTTCTGTCGTTGTGAGCGTTTGATTTCTGCTTTGTGTCGGCGATACGCGTCTATAAGATCTTTTTCAGTGACATCATATTCTGAAAATGCTGCATTCAACAGTTCCGTTGCACTTTCCGCACTCTCATTCTTCTTTGATTTTCCCAAATCCCGACATCGAATTTGGGCCAATTTTTTCACAAAATAATTATAGACAAGTTTGTCAATGCTCTCTGACCACTCTATTCGCAGTTTCTTCTTTTTTAAAGGTGATTGCGTAGAACCGTGTACTGCCAAATTTGAAATTTCTTCCGCTGCCATAGTAGCAGCTTTCCTTTTACATCTTCTAGCTGGCGATGCCGAAATATCTTCTTCAGCACCTTCTGAACCTTGTGTCTGAGTTTCAACAGAGTCGATCTTATGTGAGTTCATTGAAAAATAAGAATCTTGATCTTGACCTTTCACATTCTCGGAATCATTCAAAGGTCTTTGTTCGAAATGACTATCGGTTGCAAGTCTGAGTGCATGTTTCAAATCTGAAAGTATCTCCTCTTTTTCGTTTCGCACCATATGCTTCCACTCACTATGAAATACAGAAAATGCATCTTCTTCAAAGTTCTTCTTACTGCAACGATATTTACTCAAGCCCTTACAGTTGAAAAGTGCCTTGATATGACTCCAAAGCTGCTTCGACAAGTAACATCTTACAGCACCATTTTCGCCAAAGCTTGCTTTCTGTGCAAGACTATATTGAGCTCCAGTCACAAAAAGATTCTTAATATAAGAGGCAACATAGGTAGAAGTAAAGCTACGTCTTGACAAATTACTTGATTCCAAAACTTCCTTCAGACTAATAATACAACTTTTGACAGCCTCAGGAATGGGCTCAAGCTTTTCACAAATTTCTTCGTAAGTGTATTCAATAATCGTTGGTATCTGCGAATGTTCAGAGAAAGAGTCTTCTAAAGAATTACTTCTCTCGCGTGCACTTGAAGGCTCAATTCTTTCTTCTTCAAAAAGTTCCTCCAGCTCTTCCGAACAAATATAAAAATCCTGTTCCAATTCTTCCTTTACATCTTCAAACAACTCCACTGCTTCAGAGTCGTCAATAAAATCATCGTTCATATCGTAGTCGTCACGGGTGGACCTTGAAGATTTCTTGTTACTAACGTAAAGATTATTACTTTCTCCCGCCGTTTGTAAAACTTCTACTTACATTTTACTGTATTTTGCTACAACACCATCTAATCCTTTGGGAAGGAGAAGGTTATCTTTCGTAGAATATGGTTCAGGAGTGCTGTATTGGATTGGTTTCTCTTCACGAAGTACTCGCTCTACTTTTTTCAGGTCGACCTATTACCAAGGTTATTAAAATACTCAAAACCAAGTGAAAGAACTTACTCTATTTGTTTCTCCAGGAGTAATTTTAATGGAAATTGCCATAGATAACTTGACTTGTGCTAAGAATACTTTTAACCCAGTTTCATGTCGGATTGGCGCCTAAACCAAAATTAGCATTTTTTTGTACAATAAAGCCCGTAGACATATATATATATAAATATATATATATATAAATCCAATTATGTTTGTTGACCTCCTGTTTGATGAGCCTCTCTTTTATACTTTGTACTTTTCATTTTTGTCAACAGAGTGTAAGATATTGTAGATATTTTCTATTTTCAGACAGTCACTATGAACATAAGAATGGGCGTAGACTATTTCTTTACCGATGATTGGATGTTGTCGGCCATTGTCTGCATTCGAGCAACGAAGATAACCTTTCGTTTACCGTACTTGTTATTCCCGTGCAGACGTTGTTCTTCAGTTGCCAGTGGCTCTTCTTCTATATCATATCCCATATCTGCAGCGTTGTCGAATGCAGTAAAACTATCCAAGAATTTTTGTGGAGATACTTGGTCGTTTGAAACAGGCAGATATGCACCTATCACAGACGCTTCTTGTTTGTCGAAACAAAATGAAAACTCCGTTCTTGTCACAGTTGCGAGAAGTCCTGCACTCGATTCTTCTTTGAAGAAAGATTTTGTAAGTTTGCAGGTAGATTATAAAGAAGAAGCTAGTGCCGGAGGATTCATTCCGGGAACGTATAACAGGAGGGACACTTTTGTGACAGACAAAGAAATTCTTACAGCGAGAGCCATTGATAGATCTCTAAGACCCTTGTTACCTGGTTCTTTTCAAGACGACCTGCAGTTAACGTGCAGTGTCTTTAGCGCAAAGGGAGATAAGGATGCTGACGTACTTTCCATGAATGCTGCCTCCATTGCGCTATTGTTATCAAGTGTACCTTTTCAAGGACCAGTTGGTGCAGTGCGAGTTTCTCGTGTCGATGATCATTTTGTGATCAATCCCAGTTTTGAAGAATATGCGAGAAGTAATCTTAACCTTTTCTATGCCTGTACAAGATATAAGACAGTCATGATCGAAGCAGATGCTAACGAAGCACCTATTCCTATTTTAAAAGAGGCATTGCAATTAGCTCATGAGAAAGCTAGAGAAATGATTGATTTTCAAGAACATTTCTTGAAAGGAAAGAATATTGTCGAGATGGCAGTTCCATCGGAAATCAAAAATGAACAACTTGCGTTAGCTGCCAAAAAGTATGAAGGTCTGTTTGAAGAAATATTTTCACCTCGAGATGGTCATTATTTCACTAAAATGGAACGCCGCAAAGCACTAACTGAAGTAAATGAAAGAGCTGTACAAGAACTAGGTTTTTTGTTCACAAACGTAGATAGCCAAGAAATAGCGTCTTATTTGCATGATGTAGAGCATCAAGTCTTCCGAAGGTTGGCCTTACAGTCGATTCGAGAGTCCAGTTGTTCTGTACGCAGATGTGATGGAAGATATTCGGATGAAATTCGTCCTTTAAGAGCTCAAGTAGAAGTTTTGCCTGTGGTCCATGGCTCTTCTACATTTGAAAGAGGAGACACTCAAGTAGTTGGAGTTACTACTATTGGACCTACCGAACGTGCATTGAAAATGCAGTCTTATGCCGGTGGAGCAAAGGAGAATAAATTTATGGTACATTATAGGTTTCCTCCTTATTGCAATGGTCAAGTCGGCACAAGTTATGGAAGAAATCGCCGCGAAGTTGGTCATGGAGCACTTGTAGAAAAGGCTTTACGTTTTTTGTTGGATTCCGAAAATTTTCCGTATACAGTTCGAGTGAACGTTATAGCCACAGGAAGTGATGGTTCTACTTCTATGGCTTCCGTTTGTGCTGCTTCACTTTCACTTATGGACGCTGGTATCCCGTTGAGAAGGGCAGTCGCCGGTATCTCGATAGGACTTGTATGGAATGGAACAAAAGTAACTCATTTCACAAATGACTCTGTAGATAATCTTTTTCGGAAACCTGAAAATGCTTCGTCTGAATATATTCTTTTGACGGATATACTGGGCATTGAAGATCACCATGGAGATATGGACTTTAAGATTGCTGGAACGAAGCATGGTATTACAGCATGTCAATTGGATGTTAAAGTCCAAGGTATACCACCATTTATTGTAATAGAAGCCTTGCAACAAGCATCATCCGCTCACCAAAGGATTCTGAGCACCATGGATGATTGTCTGGGTAAGCCCCGGTTGGATCTAAGACCCAATGCTCCTCGAAGTAGTACATTATATATTGAACCATTGTTACGCAGTTCCTTATTAGGAATAGGTGGATATAAGCTTCGTTCTATTATAGAAGAAACTCGAGCGGATATTCAAGTAGATGATAATGGTAGAGTAGACATTGAAGCACCTTCTTTGGAATCCTATCAAAAAGCTGTGAAAAGAATTTATGAAATTGTCGGAGATTTGGTTCCAGGTACTCAATTTCAGGGTAAGATTACGGACATCCGTGACTATGGCGTGATGGTGGAACTATTTCAAGGACGAGAAGGACTCGTTCACGTTTCTGAACTTTCTGATAAAAAGGTTCTGAGAGCTACAGAGTTGAATTTACAGATTGGGCAGCCTTTGATGGTGGAAGTTATTGCATATGATCGTAAACGTGGACAAGTGAAATTGAGTCATCGAAAGACGAAACAAACGACAAAAAACAATGAATGATTTGGAGTTTAGATAACTTTGACATCTTCGTTTCGATAGTCAAGAATCGGAACGTAGCAACTTGAAAAACTTTAAAGATACAATCGAATGGTTTTGCAAAGTTTTCGTATAACGGAGAGAGAGTATACTATGCTTATGATGAGTTTTTCCAAGTTGAAGAGATATTTTATAAGAGACATGATCAATTGTTCAACTCAAAGACTTTTTTGGCTCATTCTGTATGTGACAACTTGAAATATCAAATATTCCAAATAAAATCCTCAATAAGAGAAGATAAATACTTTCAAAACTGAAAAATTCAAATGAAATCTACACAACGACAATAAAGGAATTGCCTGATACGACTGCTGACTTATACTTATCATTTCAAGTTTTGTCAGTTTTCGTCATTTGTTGGATGAAAGGAGGAATTGGAAAGCTTCCATGATGATGTCCTTTACGCCTGGTGAACAACCAAATAAGTATCAAGTCCCCTTTGATCCCCGAGAAGTAGAAGCACAAACTGCTTCTTCAAGTATTGCAGGTGCAGGTAGTGGTGACTTTCATACCTATCGCAAGTTAAAACGAAAGGAAATGGAACGTATCTCGGAACTAGAAAGAGAAGCCAAAGAGGTAAAGTAGAGCTCATATTCTTTATTTGTTTCCACTATAACGTTTCATAGGGAGAAGAAAAAGAGCAGTTCGAAAAGCAGAGACTTGAGAGAATGAGGAAGGAAGAAGAAAGAACCTTGAAGAGGTTTGTTGAGACTCTTGCTATGTCAAGGCCTTTCTTACACAATATTAGAGCCTTAAAACGTAAGAAGAAGAAAGAAAAGCGAAAACAAAAGAAGGAATATACTCCGAAGGAGTTTAATACGATTTCGAATGACTTGAACCACTCAAGTGCGGATGAGAAAGAATGCTGACGGAAGTTTTGTTCGAACAAACTGATAATTCTCTCGTAGCAAATGAATGCTGTTATGGGGTAGGGAAGAAGTTTGTGTTACAAGGAAGGTTGAGTTGCTTTGTCCTTTTTAGCGACGTAGTGCAGGGATAGATTTGTTTCATTGAAGTTTCCTGTATAGTGAATGGGACAACTTCCTTTTTAGAGATTTATATGTTCGTTGCCTTTTATTTCAGTTGAAAAGTGATGGGAATTGTACTATTCATTACGTTTTTTGCTGTTGAGATGTTGAATGGCAAGAAAAGTAAAGTCTTTTTGTATTGAACAAACGGAAAAATGTCTTTGGTAGCCATCAGAATATTTATTTTTTGTTTCAAGAGTTGATAAACCATGTCAAGCTTGTGCTTTTGGAATTGGGAAATGAAAATGGACTTGGTTGGTATTTCAGTTTCCAAAGAAAGTCAACAAAATACTGTAACACAAGGTTGGTTTCAAATAGTATATGGCCGTTACACTATTTGTCTTATATTGTATTTGCAGATAGTGATAAGTCAAATCTTCTTTGTGTCCTATTAGACTTGAGTCCAAATTTATTCGATAGACTGGACAAGGTAAGTCTGCAACAAGAGACACTGTCCTCTTCTCTTACTGTGACAAGTTTGTACCCAGTCAAAGTGCTAAAAGTGTAGACTTGATCGAAGCAGACGCACTTGAAACTTTCCTACTACAGTTGATCACTTTTCTTCACGTCTTTTTGTTATCGAACTTTGCAAACAGATTAGTGGCAAGTCGTGGAATTCTTTTTTACATAAATATATTTAATTTTGATTTAGATAATTGTATACAATGAATACAATATTCACGTTGTATACGAGGATAAAGGTTTAAATACTCTGAGCGACCCATCCAATTCTGCCAGTTTTTTGTTGACAGAGGAACGACAGGAACGTTTGACCCGACTTGATTCAGAATTCTTGAAAAATGTTGCAAGTTTTATTGAATCATATCCTTACAATAGTTGCGAAGAGAATGGGACACTTCTTTCAGCTTCCCTTTCTTTTGCGCTTTGTTATCTTCATCGTAGAATACTATCGGAGAGATACGAAGCTCGCATTCTTTGTTTACATGCGTCTTCAGATGTACCCAAACAGTATATTGGAGTAATGAATAGTATATTTTGTGCGCAACGTTGGAGCATTCTTATAGATGTTTGTAACTTGCATGAAGAAGAATCATCTCTATTGCAACAAGCTGCTCATCTTACAGGAGGTATATACTTTAAACCGAAACAATCCGAAGCCATACCTCTGTCGAACTATTTATGTAGTTTATATTTTCCAGTAAGTTCCTTTTGTGTAAGTATGAATGAAGACTGAAGTTCACAAGAGTCGAGATGCTCGAAAGTATTTAAAAATACCGGTGCTGAATAGCGTTGATTGTAGCGCGTTGTGTTTTGAAAGTGGAGAAAAGATCCATATGGGTTACATTTGTTCCGTTTGTTTAGCAACTTTTGGCAGAAAGAGACTTTCCTGTAATATATGTGGTGCAGAGTTTGCAGAAAATGATAAGAGTTGAAGAAAGATACGTTGAAATGAATGGATATAGTTGTAGATGTGAAATGGTATAATGGACAATGCAGATTTATTTCATATCTCCCACTTATAACTTTTGAAACCATGTCTATAACTATTATCTAGTGGCTTTATGAAGATTTGTAGATGCAGTTGAATATAGCCATTAAGACGAAGAGTGAAGAATAGTCTTCACAATGAGCGTTGTAGAAACTCCTATGAATCTAAATAATAATGGGTAAAAGTCTTTTGGTATTCTTTTGTGGGAATTCTTGTTTGGTGGTTGTCGTCGTGTTGTACGAGTTTTATGCCGCCAAGCTTTTTTTGGGTTTCGGCTATATTTCTTATTACTTTTCTGATTTCCCTTGGCATAGTTAGAGGTATCTTTCGAAATGACAAGGACCAACTTTCGTAAGTTTGCAATTGGTTTGAATAAAGAACGCTGAACTTTTCTATAGACTGGCACTACTTTGTGTTGTTCTTGCATATAGTTGTATGTATCTGATGTGGATTACTTGTTATCTACAGCAACTGTACCCCATCATTCGACCAGAGAAGCCACCTCATTTTGAACAATAATAAGAGTGTGATAAGAGTATTGCTTTCTTCACACACACACATATACATAAATATATATCCCACAGCTGTTGTTATTTATGTGTCTTTACAAAACAATTTCGTAGAAAATATTCAGTATGAAACAACAAGCTGTATGGTGTGCAGTAAAAAACCAGTGGAACTATTCATGATCTTCATGGGCAGTTGACTCTTGAGCATCCTGTACATTCACGGAAATCAGATATGTGTCGTTTCTTTCTCCAAGCAATCTCGACGACAAGCGTTTCAATCCGCAGTCTTCCAAACAACTCCAGCCATTGGTATGAAATGGTAAACAACTAAGCAGTTGAGACTCATGTTTCGAACCATGATAAACACCATGGCGTGTTCTAAATATATGTTTGCTTTCTGGACGACAAAGATAGACATTGGCATTCAAAGACTGACCATATTCCACATAAGCCATAGGAACCTAATTCCTTGGATAAGTCAAATGAACCCTTGTAAAACAAACTTGATTCACAACCTTTGGTCGAGATTTGTATTCATTGACAATCATCCTCCTAATATTTCTCCATCGTGCCAGTCTTGGTTGCAGATATCTTACACAAAAGAAAATTCCAACTGCTACAAGAAAAGTACAAGCTACCATACCAACTGCAAAAACTGCAGTTCTCCAAATACTCACACCACAAACTCCCTTTCCACCAGGATATATCGGAGTCGTTTGATTCTGTCGAGTAAACTAGAACAGAAGACCAAGTGAGCAGACTGGTCAACCATCATTGGAGTTCTCCTGTTTACCATATTACAATATAAACATCGATCCAAAAGCCCCATACAACTAAAAGTAAAGTTCCAGCCCACCAACACTGGAGCTAAGCCTTGTATTGTGCACCACTCTGGGTCTGAAGTGTAATTAGACTGTAACAATACTTCATCCTCCAATACAACCAATTTTAGGTTCTGTGTTCGAAGCCGAGTAATAACACGGGTGTGGTTTATTGGACTGTTCTCACAACGATATAAATTGGGACAAGTGCAACCCGTTTCTACCGCCTTTTTGTAGTATTGAGAAAAGTCTTCTCGCGGGCAAAAATTCGACCTTACCTGTGTAACAGAAAACACTGAAATACAAATACTTGCATATACAACCCAACAAAAAGTATTTGTTGCAACCTTCATAGTATAAAGACAAATCTGTTCTTGATTATACATACATCACTACGCCTCCATCCATCGGAGGAGTGGATAACTCAAAGAATTCGCCATGCAACTTGTTCTTCTAGAACATTTTCCCCTCTTGGATGAGGCGACTTATATATATCTTTCTTATTACATCATATCTGAATTGTATAAAATAAATGAAATGGAAATCCATTCATTTTCTCAACTGATGTAAAAGTCATACAATTTGTTGTGTATTGGGCCATTGTTGTGTGTATGTCGACTATAAATAATAGTCACGATATTGCTACAGTAAAGGAACATCACAACACTGAAAAGTTCGAAAGCAACGATAACGAAAGAAATGAAGAGTTTCGTGATTTTGGACCAGTTATACAACCTTACCAAAAGCCAAAGAAGAAAAAGAGAGTCCTGCCGTTCGAGAACTTGTATCTTCAGTCTCTACCAACAGCACAACTATATGAAAAAAGTTATATGCATAGAGACTTGATAACTCACATTAAAGTTACAAAAACAACCCACTTTCTTATCACTGCTAGTTGCGACGGTCAACTCAAGTTTTGGAAGAAAACGCCGGGAGGAATAGAATTTGTAAAACAGTTCAAGGCACACATAGGTCGAATGGCAGAAGTAGCAACAAGTACGGACGGATTGTGGTTGGCTACTACAGGAGTAGATAAGACTCTCAAAGTATTTGACGTTACCAACTTTGATATGGTTCATATGATACAATTAGATTACATACCCTCAGCTTGTTGTTGGATAAATGAAACAGAAAGTGCCGTTCCTCAAATTGCTGTTGCACAACGCGAGTCTTCAATTGTGCGTATATATTTGTACAACCAAAACGAAGCCAATCTTACGCTTGAAAATATACACCAAGCTCCTATTCAGATACTGAAATACAACCCTATCTACAAAACAGTATTATCAGTAGACGAGGCAGGATTTATAGAATATTGGATGCCTACAAAAGAATTGACACTACCTCAACAAGTTACCTTTGCTTTCAAGGCAGATACCGATCTTTTTGAGTTGGTTCAATCCAATACCTTTTGTTTGTCCTTGGAAATAAGTGCAGATGGAAAGATGTTTGCTTGTGTAGGTGCAGATAGATATATTAGAGTATTTTCCTTTCTTACTGGCAAACTACGTCGTAAATACGATGAATCTTTACTAGCTGCTGAAGGAATTCAAGTATCGGGACCTTCCAAGTTGCGTTTGGAAGCTGGAGACTTTGGAAGAAGAATGGCAAGAGAGAAAGAACTGAGTAAAGCTATTGCTGAAAGACAAGAACAACTTTCTCTTCCCAATGTAGTATTTGACGAAAGTAATCATTTCATTCTCTATTCCACTTTACTTGGCATTAAGATAGTGAATGTAGACACCAATAAGTTGGTTCGAATCATTGGTTTACCAGAGAATACTGAGCGTTTTCTCATGTTAGCTTTATATCAAGGAGTTCCACAAGTTCCAATTGGTTCCGTTCAACGCATCAATGAAACTCCTGATCCAACCATTTTTGCCACATCTTTGGATAGACAACGTTTCTTTTTATTTACCAATCGTGAGCCTTCAGATATTACTCAAGGAGGAGAGATGGGTCGCAATGTGTACAATGAAAGGTTGTTAGGTTCTGCGATAGAAAGTGCAACGAGTGTTGTTGATAAGAAGAGTTCGACCAAAGACTTGGATAGTCACGTTATTTTGCATACCAATTTAGGTGATATTCATATCAAAGTCTTTACAGTGGAATGTCCCAAGACAGCAGAGAATTTCATAGTGCATTGTAAGAATGGCTATTACAATGGATGCATTTTTCATCGAGCTATCAAAGACTTTATGATTCAGACTGGTGATCCGGAAGGAGATGGAACAGGTGGTGAGAGTATTTGGGGTGGAGAGTTTGAAGACGAATTTCATCCCGCTTTGAAACATGATAGACCAGGGACAGTAAGTATGGCTAATGCTGGTCCCAATACCAATGGTAAGCCATTCTCTTCCTACCCAATCATCGTCTAGCTATTATGTTTGCAACTCATATGTATCGTAGGTTCTCAGTTTTTCATTACCACAGTTGCTACTCCTTGGTTGGATAATAAGCACACTGTTTTTGGAAGAGTTATTCGTGGAATGGATATTGTTACTCAAATAGAAAATTTAAAGACTAATAGTAGTGATAAACCTTTAGAAAAGGTTATCATTAAGAAGACTACAGTAGTATAACAAGAACTAGTTGTATGAATGATGATATTCCATCAGAGTATACGGCGGTTGTAGAGATATTCAGTGATATTGGTCTATTTGAGTGTTGAAGCTACATCCATCTCAACAACTCAACAAGAGCTCTTATTTCATCCTCCTACAATAAACCCAACACTTTCTTTCACGTCGATGACCCAAAAACCAACTGCAACAACAATATAGTGAAGTTACACAGTGTCTGAAGGCAGCCATTGTCTTCGACTTCGCCACTTGCTTATATATCTCGTGAGAGCAATACACAGTGGAATCCTTAGAGGACTTGTGAGGCGATGAAGGAGATAAGCGACTGCTAGTGAGCCCAATTGAGGAGACAATTTGTCCAAAAAGGATGGTCTTCCTACTGGAGTCCCCTCAAGCCAGTGACCCAAAGTTTGTAACAAGCCTTCTACATCCATCCCCACATAAACAAGTAACAAGGATAACAGATACGAACACACTGAAATAACAGCTGAAACTACAATAAAAGTCACACCATAAGTAGCAACTAGCTGTCGAAAACGGTTAGGTATCCCAAAACTCCAACTCCTTTGACTTGTAGAAGCTACTTCTTGCATGAACCACTCACAACTATGTTCGCATTTCACTTGTGTCATGGGAAGAGATCCTTTCATAACTTGCATAAAAGTATAATTGTTTCTTAAAACAACTATATTTTCAAAACTTTTTACATTTGAATTATTTTGATTCCTTTTGAGAAGTGTTTGTACACTATTTGTGTTTCAATTCTTGTGAAGTGTTGCTCTTCAATTTTTTGTGGTTCAAAGCACAACAATCCATGGAAGACGCAAGTGCCAAGGAACAAGAAGAAGACAAGTTGGACTTTTATGACGACCTGTTTCGCGACGCTCCAGAGATAGGAAACAACGGAGTTGAAGCTGACTTTACTAGAGCTGCTCAAGGACTGGAGAGTGAACAGCTGGAAAGCGTTGCCGAAACACAGCCTACTGACCCTTTGAAGACCGCAGTTTCTGTAAGTGGTCTAGGTTGGTGGTTTACCGACGAAGAATTGGAACAATTAGCGTGTGACTCTAACAAAGGAGTTGTCCCACGAAAGGCACTCAAAGAAATCAAGTTTTGTTATGATATTATCAATGGAAAGTCGATAGGTGACGCCTATTTGATCTTTGAAAACTCCAAAATGGCGCAAGAAGCAGAAAGAAATCTACAATCTCACGACTTTGGCAGAAAGGTCAAAGTTGAGTTGACCACAGAAGAAGTGGCTCAACAAGAAACAGAGTGGGCTTCGAAAAGGCCTCAATGGAAACACGCTCATACTCGTTATCAATCTCAAGGAAGAAGAAACCCTTCCCAAAAGGGCGCTTTTGAACAGTCGTATTATAGAGGACAAGGTGCAAATGGTCCATTTCCAGGAAATGCAGCTCACTTTACCCAAAAGCTTCCTCCTTCGCAAGCCGCAACTATGTCAGCTCCTCCAGCCTTTCCTTTCTTTACACCCTTTGGATTTCCAGCTTTCCCTGGTATGCCTGGTAATATGGCTGGTCGTGGAAATCAGTTGGGATCCAACATTATGGCAGCTAATACAGCTTTTGGTGCAAATAATGCTACGAATAGCAACAATAGTAATAACTTGCCTACAGCAAGAGCCAATCAGCCAGACAGCTCTTTCTTCCCACCAGGATTTCCTCCGATTCCTCCACACTTGTTTGGTTATCCTCCATTTTCGGGTATGCCTTCAGGAAGTGGCTTTCCTGGCTCTTATACTAGCGCTTCAGCTACAACTGGACCTTTTGGAAATACTCCTTTGAATGAACCGGATTCAAGTGCCATTCAAGTAAGTCGTAAGCTTTTTATATATCTATGTTCTAAACATTGTCTATACTAGTCCAATATGCCAGTCTCATCTGCTTCCAGTCGATTTACGGGAGATAAAGATATTGAAGCAAAAGAAGAACAAAGTGAACATCCATCAGTCGTTTATTCCAAGAATCGTGAAACAAGAACCAAACAAGATCATTCACAACGAAGGTCAAGTAGAGACTCTTCTAAAAGTGAGCCAAGCAGCAGTAGCCGAAAGAGTGGTGACTCAAGAAGTAGGTCAGAACGTCATTCCAAGAGACACAGTCACCATGAGAAGAAGCGAAATCGTCATGACAGCGATTCGGAAGATGATTCATTGCGTCATAATCGCTCAAGTCGACGCAAATATCGAGGAGATGACCATTCCAGAGACAGATATGAAAAATATTCCAGGCGGAGTTCTCATGAAGAACGTCGAGGTAGATAGGTTATCCATTTGTACAATTTTATAGTTACAGAAATGGTACAAAATAATAAATCACGTCAGACAATAATAGAAACGAGAAGATGCACCCAGTTTTCATTGCACTCGTTGTGATATCTCTTCATTCGACTATGTTAGACAAGAAATAAAGTTCTTTTATCCTCTTTGAAAATGGATTTGTCCTTTAGAACTTGTCAAGTTGGTGGTGGTTCACAGTATACCATTCTGGCATTCACATAATCTTTCAGGATAATTCTTGCACTCCTTTGAATGTCCGGATTCCCATGCTTTGTCATAAAACCTCGCAAAGTAGCATATCGTTCCAATAAAATTCTAGCATTCAGATGATTCTCTTCTCCATGTTGTAAAGTTATTCCATAAAGACGTCTGAAATCATCTCCAGGAATTCTGCGACAGACAAATTCCATGGGAGGAATGGGATCTCTTATTTGGTCAATTGGTAAAATGCCGTTGCATATCAGTTCTTCTTTGCTGGATGTAAAGTTAGGAAACACTAAGCCAGGACAGTCACAAAGCAAAAGGTCCTTTTCAAGAAACAAAGTCTGAAAGTGTTTGGTCTTACCAGGAGTTGAAGATACAGCTGTCCTTTTTGCTTTCTAAACAAAGGATGATAAGTTCGCATACAAAAGTCCAACCTTACTTACTAATAATGAATTGATTGTAGAACTCTTTCCAACATTGGGATATCCAACAAGTCCCACTACAAACGGCTTTTCATGACTAGTCTCATGACTTGAAACACAAGACGAACTTCGAAAACTCTTCATGAAATCCACCAAACCTTGACTGGACATAGTGTTATACTTGTAATCGTTCTTCACCAAGTCATTTTCGAATCCATTTTCTTCTGAAGAATATTTGGCAGAAAAAAACACAAATGGCATATTCAGTCTTTCAAGGTATTCTGACCACTTCAATTTCATCTCCGTGGTCAACAAATCAGCCTTGTTAAGAATCAAAGCCGTATGTTTGTAGGAAGAAACTTCGTGAACATAATTTTCCAAATCTTTTGAAAAATAAAGCAACGGATTTCTAGCGTCTACAATTTGCATCACTAGGTCGCTGTTTTCAACAACTCGCCAAAGTTGTCGCCATACTTCCAAATTTTTCTCATATGGAGTAATCCGATGCTGTCCACTCTCTTCCACCTTAGCAAGTTGCCTTCTCCACTCTAGAAAAGACTGCTTCTCTAGACTTGTCAATTCTGCTGGGGTTGTTCTCTTATTCCATTTGGGACGACGAGGTATTTGTAAAGGTTCTCTGGTGTAAGCTAATGTTGGCTCCTTTTTTGTAACTTGTTTACCATCCAATTCAAATATCACAGTTTTGTTTCTTTCAGCTTCAAAATTGCGGTCAGCAAGTTCTGCTTCCAACAACAGTGTGGCCAAGTCCGAAGTCTCCGTGATGGACTGTGTGTCAGTAACATAACTTGTTGTTTGTGAATTTTTATTTTTGTTGTTTTTCTTTTTACTTTGCCTTGCATTTGGAGGTTTTCGTAAAGATCTACCCAGGTCCCCGTCTTTCTTTCTCTCTCTCAATCCATCCATTGGCATCATCGCTTTTCACACTTGTAGTTTTTGATAACATTTGTGTAACTGATGGAGTTCATTTTCTTCTCCTCAAACGACTCTTTGTGACATTGACTTGGTTGGAAGACTCAGATGTACTGGGCACAGCTCTTTGAACGTTATTCTTTCGATAGAGTGGTAACCACTTTCTCCAACAAAAAACAAAGGAACTATACAACCACAAAACACAAGGAAAAATAGTAGCAATCATATATATCCAGTTACAACGATGGCTCTTCCAGGCATCCAAAGCTTTCCATAGAGACACGAAAGCAGGAAATCCACGAAGTAAATTGAACACAAGTGTAACATGCAATAGAATAGCTCTCCCAACTTTCATACCTCCCAATACAATAACAACTGCTTCGGTAACAATCTGAACACTAAAAACAAACACATGAGGAGCAATCAGCTGTGATAGACAATAAGAAGGTTTCCAATAATACACTCTTTTCACTCCTCTTACTACAGGCAGTCCAAAGAATATACGAAATAACTCAACCATGGGTTTGTTCACAGTTTGCACTTTCTCAAGAGAGGCCATAGTGACATTCTCTTCAATACGCAAAGCAAGAAGCCACTTTAGTTTGTATAAATATTTCAAAGCAGAATGAATAAACGGTAACATATTTTTGTTGAAAAGAAACGGGTTCTGTTCCAACGACTTTAACCACATAAAGCCTTCCAATCCTTCCAACAACAAGGGTAGCCATATGGTTAACACCAATTCCAACAGGGAAAGTATCATAAAAACTTTGCTGACTTCTTTAGGAAGCTCCACAAATTTCTCGGGAATTCGAAGAACATCGTGTACATATTGAACAACTGATGACGAACCAAAGGGTTGATATGCTTGCAAGTATTTGACAATTCCCAGAATAAAACTACTCAGTACTCCCAACAAAGTTGAGTAAATCGGTAGTGTCTCTTCCGATATTTTCCATTGTTGAACGCTTATCATCATAAATAGAAATACTATTAGCCATCTGAATACAAAAGCACTTTTGTGGAAAGTAGATCCCATTTTCCTATCACAGCAACTACTCTTCCATCCTTTGTTGAATTGCAATTACAGTTCAAAGTAAAAACGCAGTGAATGAAGCGCAACTTGGTAGCCTCGGAACATTTGCGTTGTCATAATAGTCAGCTGCAAGTAGAATTGCAGTTGATAAAACCTATCCTACTAAACAATGAGTTCAGTTTTCGGCTTATTTTCTTGTAAAAACACAACACAACACTATCAAACCCATCATCAGTTTACTCGAACAAAAAAATTTCAAGTTAGTTGAGATAAAATCTTCTCTATTTCTACTTTCTGACTATCCATATTCTCTAGACCCAACCTAAAGCTTCGTCCTCGTTGGCCGCTTTCCTAAGAGCAAGTCCTTTGCTTCATTCACTTTAGAGGCTATGACAGTACTTCCACCGCTATCGGGGTGATTTAAGAGCATCAAACGACGATGAGCCGACCTAATAGTATCTAAAGAGGCTCCTTTTCTTAAACCTAGAATCTGAAAAGCTTCTTCTCTGGTCATTTCGGGTTCGAAACCACCGGCCATGTGTCGGGGAATTCTGGGTCTAGCAGGTAAGGTTTGTATTCTCTTCCAAGCTTGTACAGCATAACGACCAGCCACTGCTGCGCCTGCTGCAACGAGTCCTGCGAAAAGAGCTTTTGACTAGGAACAACTTAGTATGGCTTTCATGGAAAATAAACACCAGCTTACCATTTCTTTTGACTCTCCAATCAATCAATCAATCCGTAACAAATAAAATAGTTGTGTACGACTATAAATGCTTTACACTTTAGTGAATATTGTCAAACTCTTTTCTTACAAGTGGAATACTAACTTGCCCAATGAGTCGACACTTTATAGGGTTACCAAATGTCCATTTATTCTACTGATGGCCACTATCGAAATATTGAGTCGCTACGTATTCCTTACTATCACGAGTCTCCCCAAACTCAAAGCAGCTTCTCAAAACACCAAAAACTTCACAACTCATAATAGCAATCTTTCAATCTGGTCTCGTATGTTCCTTATTTGTGTTTTGAGTTGAGACCCTTCGTTGACGGTGATGGAACACGCAATAACCGGCCGAGACACACCACAGGCCCTTCCTAACGCCTGTTTGGAAGGAACATATACGTATGGAACATTCTAATAAAAAGATAAGTTAAGAATGCCTTTAAAATAAACGTTATCCTTGCCTTGTCTTCGCATAATAAAGGCAGGTGCAATAGAATTTCCAAGGGTTCTGTGTCCGCTGCAAGAACTACAAATTCGGAAATACCTCTATTTAAGGTCTTCGTGGCTTCATTAGCTCCTTTTTTCAGCTGTTTGTAGTTGGAAGCCTGTCTAATCAAGTCCAAGATTTGTACCGTCAGTTGTGCGTCTGCCAAAGGATAGGCTTTGGGATGAATACCACTATTTTGGGCCTAAATCTACTTTAACTCTGATCAGTATATTTATTTCAATCTTACCATCACCAGTTTACGCACAAAAGAGAATCGAAACTTTCGTACGAAAACTTCAGGCTAGTCCAAGTAACAAGTCTGCACCCACACAGCGTCGTTGACAATTATAATTAATTTTTCCCCGATTCAATTGGAGAAAAGGAATTTCATTGGTTCTATACCAATCCGCTCTTTGTTACTCATGAAAAGCAACACTTTCTTCCCTCGATACACTTACAACATATTTTCACCCCAAAGTTGATCATTATCTACCCTATAATAAACTTTGAGAATTAAGTTATTCAAAAGTGATTCACTTGCTTTGTCAATTGTATTTCTTCTGAAACGACTGGCACGGTATATTTACACGTCCTTATTAGAGGGTACTCTTCAAATAACTTGTTCGACGTTTCCATTTCACATTTGTAACACCCGCCATCTCTGCAAAACGGCTCTAGAGGATGTTCTTTCAGTTGACCTGCTTGTAAGGCAACGTCAAGCAATCTCTTTCCAACCTATTTCAATAGCACTCAAAACAATTCAAGAAGCTCCAATAGTGAAATCCAAACCTCCGCTTGCACAACAACATTATCTGGGAGGAAGCGGATAACAACCTTCTTTGACTTGAGGTTGCTTTCGTTGTGCTTCAGTGTCATATTTTTCGTAAGTGTCATTTTCCTGAGAGCTTTATCACTTTTATTATATGACCATGTTGGGAGTTGAAAAGCGACAAACGTTGTGCTCAATGGGGAGCTCATTCCAAGTTTATCAGATTTTTCTATCTGTTCTAATCAACAACAGTCATTTGTTATACAATTCTCTCCATTCCCTGGTCATGCCAATAAAGAAAGAACAAAAGATAAAGGTCAACTCCTTGCAGACAAAATGACTTTGTCATATCCAGTTGGACTAAGACCAACGTTTGTCATCAAAATGTTGGCGCCCAATTGTGAGAGACACTTGGCATTTTTCTATCTTCCCATAGAATACCCCCTTTTTGGAAAAGTGATATATTTGTCAGTTTGAATTTATCACCACAGTTATCTATTTACAAACATACATATACATAAATGTGTATATGTATATTCGTGTGAATGTATGTGTGTGTGGTGCACAAGAGTGATGATAATAGGAACCCATTACTATTTCATTGGTGGAAAAATTGAATTAGGCAATCTCTTTTTACGGTGCCATTTGGTGTGAAACTGGCAAAATGAACTTTGAATCACGTCGTTGTTAGCAGTGTTGTTTCCTTTTTGGAAGCGGTCATGTTATTAACTAAACAAGTCAATTGTTGTTTCCATACACCCTTTTTTGTTTTTCGGAATGCTACAAGTTATGACGTGTTGGGTGGAAGATGGATAACTTCAACCGCCAGACGATGTCTAACCAGTAGGAGGTTACGTACCTCACAAACTAGATTTGTTTATGGGACAACATGTCACCTTGCTACTAGCAGTCGGGGTTTCAATAGAAAGAAACCTTTATGGATAGTGAAATGGGTTTCCGTGTCAGGCTGGGACCACATTTGCACTGCTCCTTATTTCCTTGCAGCTTTGTTGAGACAAATGTTGCGGACGGGTTCCTCATTGTTCCAACATAGGAAGCGTCTCAAGTGGATACTGCGTTCAGGTACTCACTTGCTGTTGGTTTTATGTCTAGTTGGGTATCGAGTGACGTTGAGTTCATTGGCACTTAGTAACCTTGTATACTTTCCATCAAAAGAATCCACAGTAGCTGTACAAGTAAAGAGCACTGGATATGAGGCACTGGAAGAAGCTCTTATACGAGAAAGACTACAACAGAAGACGGCTTCCGAAAATAACAGAGCAAAGGATGAAACTTCAGGTTTGGAAAGTAAAAAGGGAACTTCAGGCAACAGCATACCCCTACCATCAGAAAAGAGGTTTCAGAATCTTGCAGAGTTGGACAAGTCCAATCCTGATTCGGGGAAGTCGAACGATTCGTCTACCGCAAAAGAGGAAAGCAGTGCTGAAGTCACTCCTCATGTCACTGGAAATAGTCAGGATAACAAGCCACATCGTTCTGAGCAAGAAGTGACTGAGCCCAAGTCAAGTGAAAGAATATCGACAACAAATGAGCGTACGGGAAGGACTATTTTGCCTCGGACGTCTATTGGTTCTATGAAGTTATGGATTGTGCGGCTTCGTCAGAGAATAGGAGATACTTTGGATCATATTCGTGAGGTTAACCTTTTGGAAGATAGATTTCTATCCAATCTTCGTTTGCCAACTCAGAGAGAAACTTTTGCAGTGTTATCGCAATTCACGTTGGTTTGTGCGTTGATTTTGTTGCTTCGCGCGGGAGTCAATAGGACATTAAGATGGGTTTATGCTCGCTTTGATCCAAATGCCAATCAGTTGAGCTATGAACAAAGTGTATTTGAATGTATGCAGCGTCCTCTTGAATTTTTAGCTGTTGCTACTGTGATTATTTCTTTGGCGGAATTTGTGTCGAGACCTTTAGCTGCAACCGGTCTATTGAGATACATAAGGCCTTTTAGAGAATTGACCGTGATATTTTCAGCAACTTGGTTTTTATTGAGATGGATAGAGCGAATTCGTTCAAGATTTACTGATAGCTCAACTTATGAAGCGCGAGTGAACAAGGCACAAGTAGATGCTTTGTCACGTATTATGACTGTCGTGGTTTCCGCTATTGCACTGTTGATTTCTTTGGATACTTTTGGCATCAATATTCAGACAGTGTTAGCCTTTGGTGGAATCGGAGGTGTTGCTATTGGTTTTGCGGGAAGAGAGATTATTAGTAACTTTTTTGGTGGTTTTATGATTTATTTGACGCAGCCTTTTGCTGTTGGAGATTGGGTCCGAAGGTGAGTGATTGTCCTATTCATTGTATTGTTTCTTATCTGTTTGTTGATATCCTTTTTTATAGTATTGAAAATGATCAGATTGACGGTTCTGTAGAAGAGATTGGCTGGTATTTGACTCGTATCCGTACTTGGGAAAAGCGACCTTTGTATATACCAAACTCTCGTTTTTCAACTTTGGTGATGGAAAATCCTTCTCGTATGACCAATCGAAGAATCAAACACACCATTGGTTTGGCTATGGAGGTATTGGCATATCTCTTATACGGACAATAAGGATAATCGAATGCTGCTTTTAGGATATGTGTGTCATCAAAGACATCATTCAAGATATCCAGAATCTTCTAGATCAACATCCAGAGTTGGATCCCAAACAACATCGAATGGTTTGGTTTGATGGTTTTGGTGAATATTCAGTGAACTTGTGGTTAAGTTGTTACACGAAAACTGTATTTTTGTCCGAATATCGACGAGTACAGCAAGAGATATTATTTGCAGTATATGATATTATACGCAGTCATCATGGACGTCTTGCTTCTAGTTTGGTTCGCGACCTGAGAGAAGGTTCGGATCCAGATAAGTATGTTGCATTCTCTCAATTTATCATATGATTACTGATGGTTGTTCAGATATGCACCACTTCATCCTTTAAGTGAGTTGTCCAAAGAGTCTTTTGCCAACGGAACGAACCATTCTGGTTCGGAGAGTGCATTAAGTTGGTCACGTCATGAACCGGAATCCAACAAACCGGAAGTAGCAGTTTCTCCTGTATCGGAAGATACTAAAAAGGAAAAAGGAAAGAGTTCCAGTTCTCCTCAGAGTGGCACCATGCGAATCAAAGGTCCTGGTAGATCCAATATGAATAATAGTCCATCCGTTGGGACAAAGCCAACAAGTGTAAATAATCAATTGGGTACAAAGAATCAGGAACTCAACAACAATGCCAATAACAGCAATAGTCATACCGATTCGACGACCCATACTGCTAATGGAGTTGGCAAAAAGACGACTAGTTCAGCAGATACTCATACTTAAAAGGAATCAGAAGAGCGAATCGGAACAACATCTCTTATCGTGTTGTTTTTTTATTCAAGTCACTACGACGTATTTTCCAGTTCCACTGTCAAAAACTTTTCTGCCAATCGAACATTTGCCCAAGTCAACTTATCTAAGTAAAGTATCATTAAGAGATCCCTCAACTGGTCTCCAAATAGTTTCTTTATACTCGCGTTATCCAACTGTGGTATCATCGATAGCGTATCCGATATATATCTCCCAACAGATATATCTCCTTTCTTTGTTCCTTTCACTACTTGTCTCACATAGTTCTCTACTTTTTCCAATAAACTGTGCAATTTTTGCAAGCTTGACTTGAGATTATCCAATTCCGAAGAAACGGAAGCCAAGTCACTTTTTTCAACATGGCGACCACTTTCCAACAGTCCTTCATATCCCACTGCCTCAGGTACTCCGGAAATCACTCCAACTTCTACTGGTTGAAATTCGGTATTCAATAACTGTTCACCGATCTTCAGTCCACAACTGATGTACGCCCTCACCCCAAAGTCGGACTTTGTTTCACCGCTCATCAACAAGTGCACGGGAACTATTCCGGACGTACATTCTCTACAATAAAACTCATGAATCAATACCGAGTTTTCATCTGGTAATCCACCGGTTGCGTACCAACCGATGACTTCGTCTGTTGACACTCGACGAGACAGCTCATACATAGTCCTATGATAGTCAATATCCACTGCTACTTCTTCCGATGTTTCGCTATGAGGAACGGGAAAAGACTCGGTGATTTCCACAGTACCGTCGACGTTTACTCTACCTAGTAGTGTCCCAATGACTCTATGTTGTTGTTCCGTTCTTCTCAAATGATGGTCTGCCATATTTAACAAAACAACGGGATGAACATCGACAGCAAAAGAACGAGTCTTTTCACCGCGGAGATACAAATAAGTGTTCATAGCCAATGATGTCTTTTCTTCCAATATAATACCAATCCGTTCTCAATCCCAACAAAAGGAATCAATACATTATCATCCATCTGTAGAAGTTGTCCTTTCAAAAACAACACACAACTTGATAGGAGGAATAGCACTTGAGGTTTCAAAGACTCCATTCGTACATGGAATATCACTCTTTGAGGACATCGATAAACACTATGAATATCTCGTTCTTTGCCAAGTGGATTGAAAATGGAAAATGTGCAAGTATGGACCATGAGACATTGGCAAAGTGAATTGAACATGACGTGGTTGTGCTTTATCTCGTTGATTCCTACTCCTTTTCGTTATTTTGGTTCCAAAAGGAGCTTGAAGCGTCCTTTTCGATATTTGGATAATAGTTGCTGTTCATGTTGCGAATCAATAGACAAGGAGCAACAAGTGAAAAGAATTGTATTGATAGGAAAACCATGTAGTGGAAAAGGAACCCAAGCACCCCTTTTAAGGTAACATATATCTTTTCATTCTAAAATACTTCTTTACTCCGTATAGTTCTCGTTATGGTTTTGTTCACTTATCGACAGGACAGATATTGAGAGAAGAAATGAACAAAGTATAACAATCACACAACCCTCGGACTGCTTTCCTTCTTAACTAGTCTCTCTCTAGAACACATCTCTCGGTGCATTAGCAGCTCAATATATGAAACAAGGTGATATGTTACCTGATAGCATAATGGTCAGTTTGAAAAGAGATTCCTTTGTATCTCAACTGAACTGGATACTACAGTTGCCATTGATTTCCAGTCGCATTGCTCAACAAGATTGTCAAAACAAAGGCTATATTTTGGATGGATTTCCACGAACTATTTCTCAAGTAAGAAATGAGACTCTCATTTATATATATATATATATATATATATATATTATTCATCTCTTTGGGTATATATAGGCTTTGAAAATGTCATCCCATCACATCGGTGTGGATATCGTGTTTCTGTTACAACGAAGTGATGAAGATGCCATCGGTATGAGTCTATGCATCCATATATAGATAATAATAATAACAATAATATTGACAAACGAATGTGGATTAGAATGGATGAGAGAACGATTATATGACCCACTAACAGGTATTCTTTACCATCCGACTTACTATCCACCTCCTCCAGATAGTATTCCTTTTTTGCAAAGAAGAATCGACGATAATGAAATAGTGATGAGAAAAAGACTATTCCAGTTTCATCAAAGTTGCTTACCTATTATCCAACTTTTTCAAGTAAGTTTTTGTCATTTCATGCAATGGTGGGGGTCATACATGGAAGAATGAAATAGGATAAATTGGTGACAATCAATACGAGTAATAAGAGACCCACTCTACAAGTATTTGAACAGATTTGTCAATATTTAGAAAATTTTGAAGCTTTGGTAAGTTGTTGGATGGCATCATCATTTGAGTCACATAAGAGTGATATTTTCGAACAATAGAAAACCAAAGATACATCGTCGTCTTCCATCAAGCTTCCCAATTTATTAAGTTTCTAAAATACTTGTTTACCAGTGCCCATAGTATTGTATACGACTGTGCCCAAAATATAAAAGCCAATAGCCACTCCAAATACGATATACCAAGCACCACCCGTTTTATCCAGAATAAATCCGGTAAGAGCTACTCCAACAATACCAGGAATAGCGGCAAAACTGTTAGAAATACCTAACAAAACACCGGCATATTCTGGACCAATATCTTGATGATTGGCATATACACCTGACTGTGCAAAACTACCCAGACCCAAAGCCAAAGCCATACATAATACAGCCGTAACAGGATGATGGACAAAGCTAACAATACTGAGAAACAAAGCAGGGCCCATTAGACCCATAGTTTGCATCAGTTTGCGAACAAAAGTGATAGAAAATCCTTTTGATAACAAATAATCGGCACACCATCCACCCACATTGGCAGATAATGCCATAGCTAACCAAGGAAGAACAGAAACAAAGGAGGAAGAAGCCAAGTTCAATCCCAACTAGAAAGCGTGAATACAATAACAATGAATCTATTCCAAGCACACTTACATGTTGATTGAAATAAGTAGGAAGCCAAGTCAACAAAACAAAATAACCCCAGGTAGTACAGAAGTGGGCTACGATGATGGCCCAAGTTGCCTTTTTGGAAAATAGCAATTTCCAAGGAATATCACGAGAAGTACGGTCCATTTTGTTTCCAATAGTTGTTCTTTGTTTCAGAATATAATTCTTTTCATCTTGTGAAATACTATTGCTCTTTTCAGGTGAACTCTTTATCCAAGCATTCCATATGAGCCACCAAAGAATTCCCAACGCACCAAAACTGGTAAATACGGAATGCCAACCCAAAGTGCTCATCATTTTGGGACAAAGTAATAAACCTATGACGGAACCAAAATACATTCCAGAGTAAATCAGTGCCAAAGAACGACTTCTTTCTCCACTTGGTATCCATTTCGATACAACCTGATTCATAGCAGGCATAGCAACACCTTCTCCAAAACCTAACAACGCACGTGATAGTAATAAAACAGGAAAGGACTTGGATGCCGCATAAGGAGTAACAAAAGTCATCAAACTCCAAGCCAAAACACCCCAACCTAATACAAGTTTACCGCCATATTTATCAGCCAAATAGCCTCCGGGAATCTAAACAAAAAGCGCCAAAAAGTGAATCATCCTGTGTATTCCAAACAACAAAAGAACCCACCTGAGTAACTAAATAACCCCAAAAAAAAGAGCTTTGAATGACTCCTACAGTACTTTGACTCCAGCCAAACTCTTTGGACATGGGAAGAATAGCAACAGAGACGTTGACTCTATCCATGTTACAAAGAACAAAGCTTAAAAAGCACATCAAGACAACTAAGAAACGCTCCGGTACGTTTTTCATAGACCAACCGTATCGACTCTTCAAAGTTTTTACAAAAGTATCTGAAACTTTCAAGGCTTTCGAGTTGTCCGATTCCTGGTTTGTCGTTTTGTCGGACGAGTAGACTCCCAACGCTTTCCTATTACTGTTGATAGTGGATAACTTGAACGAACGGCAAAAGAACTTCCAACGACAAATAGTAGCTGTACACTTAATACAGAGAGAGTTGTATGGTTTCCCAAGTACACAAGTTGGTAACTTTACAAAAGCACATGCGTTGATCTCCTTTGCCATCCTATTATTCATCCCTTTAAGATCCACTTGTTTACATAAGCATCTCATTCTATCCTATCGTGAATAACTGTGACGACTGCATTTGAAAAGTATAGATATATAAAAAAGAAAAGTTCACAACGAGAATCATTTTTTGTGTATTTATGGATGAATCAGAAAATTGAGACAACTGTTCTTCATAGCCATATTATCATCATGTCTCAACAACTATGTCCACCTGAAATGTTTGGTATAGTAGAAACTGGAATATATCGCTCCAATCTCTTTTTTCCTATTAGTTTTCCTTTTATCAAACTTTTGAATCTCAAGACTGTTCTTCTTCTATCTGCAGAAGTTCCCACCAAAGTTGTTTGTAACTTTTTGGAAGAAAATGATATCACTTTGGTACACTTGGGAAGCAGGTCTTTAACAACGGAAACTTCTTGGAAACCCATGAGTGAAGAACTAGTAAAGGATGGACTCGAATGGGTACTCGACAGAAAGTCACATCCTTTGCTTGTGTGTGACACGAGTGGCATACATCAAGTAGGTATTCTGGTAGGTTGTCTAAGAAGACTACAGAATTGGAGTTTGAGTGCAGTTATTCACGAATATCGAACGTTTGCTTCCTCCAAAGCACGTTATGTCAACGAACAGTTTATAGAATTGTTCGATGTCGACCTAATAACACTACCTGAAGACTTGCCAGACTGGTTTCGTGAACACTTGGAACAGGAAGCAAAAGAAATAGAAGAATATCAACAACTCATTCGAAAAAAAGAGTTGGATCCTTTAGGAGTTTTGGTAAGGACCCAATATTTCCAAAGTATGAAGCTCATCACACTATGAAGATCAAGGCAAACCATAATGTTCCTAGATATCAGCAATATTTCTATTCTCATGAGGCAAAACTTCATTTTCCACAGGGACAAAAAGATATTCGAATAGAACGATATCTTCCTCGAAACTTCGACCTGCCCAACAAAAACTTTCACAAATGGAGACAAAGAGAGAGAGTTCCACATGAACAAATAACAAAAGTAAAAAGTCCTGCCGATGTGGAAATTCGTTCCGTACGTAAAGTCATAGTAAGGCCACCTTCTTCTCATGGAGAACTCAAGTCTTCTCTCTTCAATGACTCAACCGATTACTTTTAACGTCACATATGTTGAGAAGTATCCTGTTCCGTGAGAGTCAAAGACAACATTCCAGGTTCTTTCCATTCAGAAAGCAAACTAGATGAGGCAATCGGTTTATGTGAATGGTCATCCAACAAGACAAGTCTTTTTGTCTTATTTTCATGGTTCCTATTGATTATTCCAATCATTTCGCATACTTTATCCAATACTTGACCCATAGTCATGTTCTTGGAATAATACAACGATAAAGGTGACGACTCTTTGAGTTGAGTATCCACAGAGACATATAAATAAACTCTGTCTTCCATAGGTATTTCAGGGTTTCCTATTGCTTTGGTCTTTTGTTTCATATGAAAGACCCTTGTCGCTGTTTTCGACTTTTCTGTTTTCCAATGGTTTTGAAACTTGTTGGCCAACTTTTCCAATATATTGGATTTGGGTTTTTCCAACTTTTTACTTTTTTCAGGTTCCTTCTTGATACAACGATGCTGGTCTGGATTTCTATGAGTTGCACAAAAGGAGAGGTTACACTGGATACATCGAGTAACCGATATATGGCGACAATTGGTTTTGGAACAACTGATACAACTTTACCAACTGAAAAAGGAAAAAGAGGACCACAGATACTTACGTTGGCAGTTGTTTGGTGGTAGAAGAAGTACTAGTGTTGTACTCAGTGACTTGCTTGGGTTTGCAGTCGTGGGTTTCAGGTAGACGATGTTCCCCACAAAAAGTTTGTCCACAAACTTCACATACATACGGTAGAAAGTCTAGTTGGTTGCATCCTTTTAAGCTACAGTGTTCACCAATAAGCTCTACTGGTGTTCCTTGTCTTTGCATAGAAGAAAAAGTCTATCTGACCCAAACGATAAAAATGTGTCACAATGCCAAAGATGATGTTGTGGACTTGAAAAGCTTTGGATCGATTTCAATCTATCTCTTATATATTTATATATTTATATACATATTATTTATAAAAACTACAACTCTCCAAAAAAGGCATAAGGAGTTGGCGAATGATTGGGTGCTTCTATGTGAATGGGTTGTTGTAAGTTGTAGAGAAACATTGGCCGTGGTGGTGATAAGAAAGAAAGAGAGAGGTACTCGTTAAAACAAACAGAAGGATAGAAACATGACAGACAATACTAGTACTATCATCGATACAGAAGCGTATCTAAACCAAGTTTTGGGTTTAACTTCAGAAAAGACAAGTGAGAAAGAAGATTCTCTGGTTAACGATAATAATGCAGAAAGTTCTTCTAAGAGTTGTGGTGAAAAGGACGAAAGGAAAAGTTCCTCGTCGCGTCGGTCAACAAGACGTTCTCAATCACCTTTGAAAAGACATAAAAGGTAATCTTCGTTACATCGAGGAAGGCTCTCTATTCTCAGTTGTTTTCTTCTAGGTCACGCTCAAGGTCTCCTAGTAGTGGAGATAGTAGTGAAAGAAGGAGGAGGAGAAGAAGAAGAAGAAGAAGAAGCAAGTCTCCGAGAAGGAGAAGATATGAAAGGGACCGATCATATAGTCCTAGAAGACGATACTCGTCGAGGCGAGAATCTCATTCAAGACCGTATAGCGTCAGAGAAGAATCAAAACAACCGGATGAAAAGAGATCAAGAGCTTCATCGTTGGATAGTTCAGTGAACAACGACCGCTCGAAACAGTTTAGGGATCCTGAAGAAGAAAGAAAATTGAAAGAGAGGGAAGTAGATAACAGTTTTCCTGACTATGAAAGGGACTTGAGAACTATTTTCGTATGGCAACTCGCACAAAAGGTTACAGAAAAGGATGTTTATAACTTTTTCAGTGCAGCTGGAAAGGTAAGAGATATAAGAATGATTATTGACAAGCGTTCGGGAAGACATAAAGGGTAAGTATGGAGAAAAAGACTATTACCAGGAATATAACAACGTCTATCGTAGAGCGGCATATGTGGAATTCTATTATAAAGAAGCAATACCTTCAGCTATGCGTCTAGCAGGCCAACAATTATGTGGATATCCTGTAGCTATTAAACCCTCGGAAGCTGAAAAGAATATTGCAGCAGAAATGGCAGCAAGAGAAGCAGCAGCTGCACAACAAGCGAGACTAGCAGAACTAGAAGAATGGAGTGGAGGAGGAGACACAAGTCCAAGTAAGTTTCCACAAGTCCCCCTTGTTAATATGATTAATCTCTTGTCTAGACTCCAATCCACTTACCTTTACCAAACTTTACGTGGGTTCCATTCACTTTTCTATTAGTGAAGACGATTTACGTACTATTTTTGAGCCATTTGGTGAAGTTATCTCTTTGCAGCTTCATAAAGATCCTGAAACCGGACGGTCACGAGGTTTTGGCTTTGTCCAATATAAAAATCACGAAGATGCAAAGAAAGCTTTCGAACAACTCAACGGATTAGATTTGGCTGGGAGACCTTTGAAGGTGAGAGATCAGACTGCTGTTCTTATGCTATCACGTTAACTTTTTAAAGGTTGGTTTGGCTACTGCGGAAGCTCAAAAACTTCAAGTATTAGGTGCTATACCTTCGGGTGTTCCTGGGACGATAGCTGCACAAAGTTTATCTAGTAAAAATTATGCATATAGTGCTTACATTAGTGAACTGGATGAAGGTGGAGATAGCGGAATGGCGCTTAGTGCCACTCAACGTACTCAGTTGATGCAGCGATTGGCTAGAGGTGAGGCTCTTGCTTCCAAGTCGTCGCCAGCATTAGGTGGGAAGAGTCCAGGTTTATTGAGTAGTGAAGCTTCTCCTCAGTCGGGTACTGTTCCTACTCGTCAAGGTTATAATCCTCCATTGGTACACTCGATTTCTCCATCAACTTGCTTAATGTTGCGTAACATGTTTGATCCTGCTCAAGAAACTGATCCCAATTTTCATTTAGAAGTGCAAGAAGATGTACGAGATGAATGTATATCTAAATTTGGACCACTGAGGTATGCTGCGACATTGGTTCTTGTTACTATTACTAATCATCACTTGTTATAGACATATATTCGTGGATAAGAATAGTGCAGGTTTGGTGTACGTACAGTTTGAAACCATGTCCGATGCCATGAAAGCTAAACAAGGTCTTCATGGTAGATGGTTTGCTGGTCATCAAGTTATAGTAGAATATATATCCGAGTCAGTATATTATATTCGTTTTCCTGACTTGAAGAAACACAGCATCCAATATTAAGATATCGATTACTTGTGGTGAAATAATAATAATTGGATTCGACTCTATAGAATTATGTGTGTGTGTTTTGCCGTTTTTGGTAGAAACTACGATATATACGGAGGTAGGCGCTGATTTCGATGAAAGACTTATTTGTAGAAATATGTCGGTGACCAAATAGACACTTATGAAGAAAAAGCCAATCCATTTTTATAAAAACATTCCGTTTCTTATATACTATATTAAAATTCCCTTTGCTACGAATATCCCTCGTTTCTATACATTCAATTCAGTTGTGTTTATCCACTCAAATGGATATCCACTATTCATCACAACTATTTACATGACTCGAATCTTTCATTGCACGCCGTACTAACTTGAGCACTTCTTGATAACGTAAATCATCGACTGAACTAGGCTTACATACTGTCAAATGGTCTGCCATTTTTACTGGAATGAAACGTCCAATTCCTGGATTGGCCGTTTCCATCGGTACCAGAAGACTCGTAATATATTGACTACTCCATTGGGTTAATTTCGTAGGATTTGTCTCTCCCATACTCAAAACTTCTAAATACCGTGTATGGAGGGACCGGTTACTTTCCGAATAATCGTACCAGCGACTGTGAACAACTCTTTTAAACTGTTCATTCAGTTCCAACAACATAGTAGAACCTGGATATAATTCATTAACAGCTACTGATGGACGAAAAGTACTACCAACAATAGCACGTTTTAAATATCCAACGATGGGTGAACCTAAATGAGGCGTCGAGAAAAAAACTAGCCCTCGAATGGAATCAACCAGGCAAAGATATTTATCATTCATACTATGAACGGCATCTACAATGGCTTGTTTCATTACCAAGCCTCCATAAGAATGGGTAATTATTACGCATGGTCTAGAGCCAATACCGGCATCACAAAGCTTCTCCAAAAGATCCGCAGCCTGATGTTTGAGAGGCAAACCATAGCTCCTCCAAGCACTGATGGAAGTATCATAGCTTACACTTAATATCCTAATGTTCGGAATGTCCTTTGATAGCCAATCTCTGGGCCATACCATGAGCTTTTCATGCTCTTCTTTTTCATGATAATCCTGCTCTGAAAAAGCAGCTGTATTGGAATGTTCATCATCGGAGACATAATATTCTTGTTCCACTACGGCATTATTATTATTATTATTATTATTATTTGGTGCATGCGCAACTCGCCATGTTCTCAAAGGACCTCCCAACAAGCCATGTACTAATACGATGTCTAGTTGTGGTTCCCATCTCATACGTGTTGTAGGATAAATAAGAAAGATGCCATTAGGATATTTCCATTTTCTCCCAGACTGCATATTTGCAATGGCACGTAAGACTTCTAGCTGTAACATATCGTTGCTTTTACAAAATTCATCATGGTATAGCCAATCCATCAAAGTTTGTGGCCACTGTAAACGAACGGCTATTTTCGTTCCTTCTCTATATGAAACCAAGTTGGCGACAAGTCTAGCAACTTCAGTAAGAACCAAGTTCATGTTATCTTTGGAATGAGGCTCCCACCATTCTTCTGTTACTGTCTCTGCCAGAACCTTCAAAATGCTTAATCCACCAGAAAGTATAATCCGAAAAGCGGCTGTTTTATCCTTCACTACTGCGTCATTCATACTTCGTAGCATAGCTCTCGTGCTCTTTAAAGTCATGGTTGGGTCAGTTAACGGATCCCAATCAGAAGTGGGATTGGAAAAACCGTAATCATCGATAGGTGGATAACCCAAATGTGAGCTAGAAGCCGATTCCTTCCTTTGAATGGTTGTCATCCACAACTCACCTAGTGCAAGAATAATATTGCGTTTATCGTTTACACCATACACTAATCTCTCTTCATCTGCATCATATACAGCATTGGAAGCCTCTTCTAATAGGCGCGGGTCCAAATTGGGCAACAAACAAAGTTCGGGTAACAACATAGGCTCTAAAGAAAACGCTTCTCCTAGTTTCTGTCTTATTTTTTGATTCTCTGGTTTACAAAAAGCACTTTTTGCCAGTATGGTGGAAAGTGCCTCACAAGCTAATTGCTGGGTATCATATTCACCGACACGTTCTCTAGCTAGAAAAGTTAGGTATATACTCACTTGCTGCCCTATCACTGCATTAAGCCACTCGCTTGTGAACACTTGAACATCATCTAGTTTTCCTTGTCGCATTTTCTTAATAGTGACCAAGTCAACACTATTATTGTTCTCAGCGTCTACTGAAACGAGTTGCCAATACCGCTTTGCAAGTTCCAAGCGATGTACCTTATCGGATACTGGAGACAAAATGTTCGACCTAAGAGCTAATATTTCGGGTAAATCCTCTATTCTCTTGAAACTGTCTTCTAGCCTTTCGTGTAAGGGCCACTTTTCTTTCTTTCTTCTCTTATCGTACACACGTTTTCCAGCGAAAGCTGCGCCAAAGAATAACAGTGGAACCAACACTTTTACCCTAGTAGGTAGCATTCAAATAAACTAATACAGAATAACTTTTCTACAAGTCTTCAAGTTGTCAATATTTGGCGCCAAAATACATAATCACATTATGAATTGAGCCAAAATCCATTTTATCTCAAACTTTTGAGCAAATGAAAGCAAATTGTGGTCGGTATGGTTGGTTTTATGAGATATCACGAGCAACAGTATGAATGAGTAGTAGAATGACAACACAACTAGCTTTCAATAAAGCGCAGAGAAATACCATGGAAACAGGACTTTTGGATAAGTCAGATCAATCTCCCTCAACTATAGTTACCTACTGGGCTCTTTACTTTATCATTTGATAATCATGAGAATAAGATAGTTGCTTCATTCAATCTTTGTTACTCAGAACAAACAGATTGTTCACTTAATAATTTCTACATATATGATGTAGAAAACTTTTAATTTTTCAAAAATATTGTTGTACAACTTATTAGTAACTTCACTTCATGTCTAACTTTTTTTCCAATAAAATAAAATTGCAGTCCTTTAACATAAGTTCTCCTTTGCCTTCAATAAAAGATCTCGCAGGTACGAAATTCTTCGTTCGATGATAGCCCTTTTTTCCATACCACTGGATTAATTCTTCACGAGCATCCAATACATCCATAACCATCTTGTTCAGCCCGTGGAAATTTGCACATCTTTCTTCCGCTGCCTTAATCAAAAAGCTCCCAATACCCTTTCCTTGACAAAAGGGGTGCGAACATAACAAACCAACATAACCTGCAGGTTCTGCCAAAGGTCCAACAACTGTTTCAGAAACAGGACCAGTTCTAATACAACCGAGAAGAGTTGGTGCAGCTGAAGTTGCGTCTGAAACAGTGTTACAGGAGCCATTAGAGCCAGTACCGTCTCTCTTCAATACAAGTATCTCAGAAGACTTGATATACTCTCTCACCTGTTCGAGGTTTACTCTTTCACCTTGTATTAAAGAAGACTCATTGGTCCAACAGGAAGGACTTCGATAACAAATATTTATCAAGTCGACCAATGCGCACAAATCCTCTAAACTCTCATCCCCTGTCAACAAGAAAAGCGAATAATGAGTAGAAAAAGAATCTACCCAAAGATGGCCGTGTTCCATATAAGATAACAACCGCATACCTTTGTGCGCCAAAGGACCGAGAAAAAATGCAACCCAATAACAGAAAATGATGAAAGAGCATTTGCGCCACTTCTCATTTGTTTTTGGATGAATGGCAGCCTAATTATGAATAATTGTTGTAAACTACAACGCTGCTCATTGACCAAAACGCTTTCTCGTATTTTCGAAACGCAAAGATATAGGCATTCTTATATTCCTGATAGTCAAAGAAGAAGCCATGGTACTTGGATATCCTGCGATACTCTAGGTTGGACAAGCCCAACCAGAACTTCGACAAGAAGCAACTTCCACCACCCTCGTCTTGTAAAGTCTGGAAATAATAACGGATGCTCAGAAACGTTTGAATCGGAATGGAGTATTAGAGTCAAACGATTGCTCTGTACAGAGAGTTCGCAGTACACTTCTACGAAGATTTCCTCGCAGAAGATTAGCTTCTGGCAACGAGTGATGAGTCCCTTCTCCAGTTTTCGTCAAGTGAGTGGCACAAATAGTGCAAAACCAACAGCAAAAGAAGAGTTTGTGTCGTGGAGGAAACTATTTTCTTTGGCGAAACCCGAAAGCAACTTGCTGTCGTTGGCATTGTTAGCACAAATGGTTTCTGTCGGTACTACGATGATATTTCCAATGGCTGTCGGAAAAATCGTGGACATCATCCAACTGCCAAATAGTGTAGATCAACTAAAGTGGATGGCTTCAGCGTTGGCTGGACTATTTGTGGTTGGTGCCGTCGCTGTAACGGTACGAGTGGCTTTGATGACCACAATAGGAGAAAGAATTGCAAGGGACTTGCGTAAACAAGTTTTTCAGTCTCTAATGAAGCAAGAACTTGCGTTTTTCGACGGAAGACAAAGTGGAGAACTTGTCAATCGGCTTTCGAACGACACCTCAGTAGTTTCAAAGACGCTGACTGAAAACTTGGCTCGTGGCATCCGTTCATCAGTAACTACAACGGGAGGAATAGGTTTCCTGATTTATCTTTCTCCAACATTGACAGTGGCGGCTCTATCATTCATACCATTTCTTACCATCGTGGGAGGTATATATGGCTCCTATGTACGATCTTTATCCAGGAAACTTCAAGATGCTCTTGCATCAGCCACGCAAGTAGCATCAGAACGCATTTCAGCCATTCGAACAGTGCGGCTTTTTGCTGGAGAGTCAATAGAAGTTGGTCGTTATACACAGAGAATTGAAGATGCTTTTCAGTTGGCTAAAAAGGTAGCCATTGCTGAAGGTTTTTACATGGGAGGAGGATTCTTTATGGGTCAGGCTTCTCTTTTAGCAGTTTTATGGTTTGGAGGTCATCAAGTCCTTCAAGGTGCCCTGACTGTAGGTCAATTGGCATCTTTTGCTATGTATGCTGTAAATGTAGGTTTTGGTGTATCGAGTTTGGCAAATGGATATGGACAATTGACACGCGCTCAAGGTGCAGGCGCTCGAATCTTTGCAATCTTGGACAGAAAGCCTTGTCCTTTGACCGGAATTGAGGGCTTAGAGTTGGGATCTTCGTATAGTGTGAGTAGTCATACTCCTACTTTGGAAAATGATCGACCTAGTCTTATATTTGATCAAGTTCATTTTTATTATCCAAGCAGGCCTCAACATTCAGTATTCAAGGGGCTTTCATTTCAAGTTGAGCCTGGAGAGTTGTTAGCGATTACGGGAATCAGTGGATGTGGGAAATCAACTATTTTGTCTCTTTTGTCTCGTTTGTACATACCCCAGCAAGGTCATATTTATTTGAATGGATATGACATTAATAGTTTAGATATAAGCTGGCTTCGAAGGCAGATTGGAGCCGTTCCACAAGATGTCGTATTGTTTGATGGTTCCATTGTAGAAAATATTGCGTATGGAGCAGGTGAAGAAGTTTCCATGGATGAAATTGTTCGAGCTGCAACGATAGCTGGAGCTGATTATTTTATTCGCCAGCTTCCCTATGGATATGAAACTCAAGTAGGAGAGAGAGGATTATCTCTTTCTGGAGGTCAAAGACAAAGAATAGCCTTGGCAAGAGCGATCGTTAGGAAACCCAAAATTTTGATATTGGATGAAGCAACTTCTGCATTGGATGTGGAAAGTGAAGCGTCTATCAGTGAAGCGGTCGACTTGTTGCGAAGGAAGGAAAACATGTGTACGATTGTGATTGCTCACCGCTTAAGTACATTGAGAGATTCCAATCACGTGATAGTTCTTAACAAGGGAGTTGTAGCGGAAAGTGGCAAATTCGAGGAATTGATTGCCAAGCCGAAAAGTTTCTTATCCAAGCTAATGTTAATCAGCGAAGGCCATGGATTGGAGGCAGCAGATGATGAAAAGTTAGAGGAACCCAGTCGTGCCAAATGAATTGTAACTTTACAAGAAACGAATTTCAGTTCAAGGCTACATTATAAAATATGAGTTTCTGTATGAGGCAGTTGAGATTCTGAGTCTGTTTGACAGCTGAAATAGAAGTCAATCGATCCTAGTTTTCACAACGTTACCAATATCTTTCGAATGTTCTAACGTGCTTTTGAGAAGGTTCTACAGACAGAAAAATACACAGTGTTTACATACACAACAAACAGACTCTTTATTCAAGAAAAACAAACAAATAATAAAACTCGCTGATGAGGAACCTCAAGGCTTCGGAGGAGCTCCAGGAGCAGTAGGCGGAGAAGGGGGTAGAGGTGGAGTAGTAGGAGGTCTTACATAAATTGGAAAAACTCCTCTTTTGGCGACGTAGAAATGATCGAGAACGCCAGGATACCACTCGAGATAGGGTGATGGAATCTTGTAGTAGGAATAGACAAAACCAACTTCAAGAGAACCAATCTTTCCTTCCCCTTCAATCAGAGTACCTTCGCCATATCCAAAAATTAAATTTTCCAACTGAATTTGCTCAATCAAAGTTTCGTTGCCGACATAAAAGTAGCATTTCCCAGCAGGATAATTTTCAAACCAAACATCACCAAGAGCTATTGTAGAATAATGTGTTTTGGTTCGCAAATCAAACACATACGGTGTCCGTTCAGTGTCTATGTTGAACCAAGTATTTTTGATGTAGACCACACTGTTGGGAAAGGTAATTTCATATTGACCTTTGGTTATGGCAGCATTGGAAATAGCTCCAATGACACTATCTGTTATGTATAAATTCACACTTCTTGAGTGAATGCGACAACCACCACTTGGATTAGACGAGTAGATGCCTCGCATAAATGTTGCTCCGTCATCAGTTGAAAATCCAATGATAGGAGGTTCCGTTCCGTTTTTAGAATATCCATCGATGAACAAGGTGTCCAATAAGCTGTCTTCATTGCCGTCCATGCAAAGATGGAATTCTGTAAAGTTTCCATAAAGTGCAATACGGGTCACCACATTATGAGGAATGTTCTCAGGCATAGAGAGATCAATTCCAGCAACACTTGTCTGATAAGGATTTCCAAGAATCGAAAAGTCAGAAAGCAATTCATTCAACTGGCCATAGAATATGCCGACGTCTTTTGGGATTCTTTGCTTAATTAATATTATTCCATCTTTGGTGGCGTCCTTTAAAACTGTAGAGTGCATTCCAGAGCCAACTAGTGATATTCCACCCCATTCAGGGAGCATGATAGTTTCGTGAATCTCGAAACTTCCTGGACCAAGGTATATAAGAGGAGCATTTGATTCCAAGGATTTTCTAGAAGTTGGGTTCATATTGATATTTGTTAGAAAAGATGCAGCGTAATCAATAGCTTCCTGAATGCCAGAAGTCTTTGTATGAGGAGTATCTGGACCAAAGTCAGCACCTTGTGAAGGAAGAGCAGAGACAGTAACAATAAAGGACTTGTTATTCAGTGCATCGGACATATGGCTTCTACCTTCATATTTGAGCAAAGGAAAGCCATATACTGTTAAGGAACAGGAAATGAGAACAGCAAGGAAACAAGCAACAATCTTCATATCCAAAACAGCAATTTATAAAGACACTAATTAAAGTAAAATTTATTTAATAGAACTGTCCCGTTGTCAGTAGGTTCTAAGATAAGAATGTCCCAACGAACAGGCGCAAACGTCGAAACGAATGGACAAAACCGCATCGTAGTTTCATTGAGATGATCAAGAAAAATCGGCAAACTGAGCTATAAAATTCATTCATTAAAATACCAGATCTCAAAAAATTTCAGTTATCAGAGTCTATCATAGAGTAGCTGCAAAAATTTTAAAATTATACAAACATAAAATAGTTGAAAATCCTATCGATTTTCAGCCTTCGTAATCCTTTTAAAATTAATACGAAATGCGAAAATTAATATTTTTTCTCGATTTAAAAAGAATCGTAAATAATTGTACAAATTAATTTGAATGTTTTCTAAAGCCACACTTCTGAAATTAATTATATCTTTTTGGTAGTATACTTTTCTGGTTTGTAGAAAGATAATTTAAGATAGAAATAGAACTCGTTTCGACTGTTTGAATTTTGTTGAAAATTGATTTTATACAGTAGCATATGTATAACACGTATATAATTTTTTTTAAAAAGAGAAATTTTACTTTGGCTTATTTAAAACTTTTACTGGTTTCTTTTAATACTTTAGTTGGAAGTGCCTTTTCATTCTAGTTATTCTTTATTAGCTTTGTTGCTTTGCATAAATTTTTTTGGTTTCCATCTTTTGTTAGACTGCTTTAATTTTTTTGTTGTCATGTCGGGACATTTTGTATTGGAAATGTTTGTAAGTTTTACTGTTTTCTTTGAAATGAATATTTAAATCAGAACTGCCGTTTTGTTTGATTCACGTCTAACGATTTTTTTTGCATAAGTCTTTGTTTCTACCATCTTTCGTCAAGTTTGCGTCGTTTCTGTGGTGGCAAGTTGGGGCAGTCTTTTTGGAGAAGTTTGTAAGTTCTATAAAGTTTTTATTCCATATATTGTCTTTATGATTCTTCTTTTTGTTTACAATAAACCTGGTTCAGTTTGAATTATTTTTAGCTCAATTCTCGTGACTTTCATTATTTATGTAATAGTGTTGAATGCTAAATACCGTTTCGCTCTTGTTGAAATAGTTAGACCAATCCAAATTAACAATATTTCTTTTTTCAGTTCCATTTATCCCGCTCCTTGACACTTCATTCTGATCATTGAAACGGCATGTCGTTGCGTGTTGTTTCAGGAGGTTACGACCACACTATTCGTTTATGGGATGCTGTTACTGGCACGAATGATCAAACTTTACAGTTCAACGAGTCACAAGTGAATCAAGTCCAGTTTTCCTTGGATGGTCGTTTGGTCGCCGTGTGTGGTAATCCTCGTGTATGTTTCTACGATATCCAAAGTGGCAGCACGAGTCCTGTGCTTTCGTTAGAATATCATCGCAATAATGTATCGCAACTAGTATGGAGTGAAAGTGGACCTTTTGCAATAACTTGTTCGGAAGACACGTGGTTATGTGAGTGGGATATGCGGGCTTCTGAACCGTTGAGATCTTGTAAAAGCGATGGTTGTTTAAGCGGTGTAGTATATGGTAATCGAAAAGATGAATGTTTTACTTGTGATTACGGAGGGTCGATCAAAATTTGGTCGTTGGAGAACAAGGAAGTTTTGGCTAGGTTGGTTTTTGGAGACCAGGAAATATTATCAGGGTTGGTATTCGATCCCTTGCATCATCTCGTTGCAAGCATAGGAAATAGTGGTTATGGTTATCTTTTTCGAGTAGAAACAGAAGAGGAGGAAAAGGAATCTACTTCTATGAAGGATGAAGGTAGTATGAGCAACCAGACGGATGATGGATATTTTAGTCGTGTGACCAAGTTGCGTTGTTCCAAACGTTACGTATTGAAGGCAAGGTTTAATCGTGATGCCAGTTTGTTGGTAAGTGCTGGAGATGATGGAAATATTCGGGTTTGGGGAGATGAAAAGGTAGCCGATCGGTACCAAGAACAACGTTGGCAACAAAGTCGGTTGGTAGGAAAACATCAGAAATGGGCATGGGATTGTCTTTTCACTCGAGACACGCGATATGTATTTTCCGCTTCTTCTGATAAGAGAATTTGTTTATGGGATATTGAAACAGGAGACTTGATGAAAGAATACAAAGGACATCAAAAAGCAATTACTTCTATAGACACTTTTCCTACAACCACAGACAATGATTAGAGATTATACATTTGCAGCTTCGTCCACAACAAGCCTCTGTATGAGAAACCAACAAACATAGCATGAACCTAAATCTTTCTAGGATAAGTATTCAAGTATCCACATATTGTGTTGCAACAGTTTGAACAAAAGGGTAAATTTGAATCAGTGAGAAGATTAGTCTTGTGATTCATATACAAAACAACCATCTATAAGATATATAGATATGAGTTGTTTTTGTATTCACTGGATTTCTCAAAGTCATCATATGCCGCTAGGGACCATTATATATATATATATATGTGTGTGTGTGCGCGTGTGTGTAAGTGTCTGGACAAATAGGAGTACTTACCTTTCAACTACTTTCACCACCCCCCGATAGGCACAAAGGATCATTCATCAACTCCCTTTCCAACTCAGAAGCTAAATAGGAAGCTGTCCATTCCAACTCTAAATGATCATCCTGTTCTTTATGATACGGTGAAGTTTTATCATCAGATTGATGATATTTTGTTTGATTATTTTGTGAAGAAGAGTCAATCCAAGTACTCGTATTGTCTTCTTCTGAGCTACTATATTCCATTTTGCGACGTTTCACAGATGGCTTACTAGGACTTTTTTGCGGACAAAGACCATTTTGTACAAACTGCTCATGACGTTTTTCTATAACCTTGCGATATTCTTCCAAGTCGTTGCCATAAGAATGCGATAGACTTGTTGAAAACAATGCAAATTGTAATTCACTCGCCCGTATATAATATTGCATGGAGGTTTCTAACCATTCCAAGGTAACAAGAAATATGTCTCCTCTTCGTAGAGCATATTTGGTTTTTCCAGTATGTAAACCACGTTGGCTATCCACAATAAGATGTGTGGTTTGACTCGTTACTTGTTTGTTACATATTGCACCAAATTCTTCGGCAAGACGCCAAACGGTTGACACTTCAGGTGACTCTTCAAGTCGAAATATTCCAGTAAATGAAAGATAACAATTTCTCAATACCCGATGCCGCATTTCGGCCAAAATCAATTTTACATCACGTAAAGGTAACTTGACATGATTGGAATCATCCGTTTGTGAGACATTGTGGCACTGCTCCATTTCTTTAAAGAAGCTTTCATGAATTTGTATCAATAATTGCTCAAGTCGACCTAGATAATTTTCATCACTTTCAACAGTCTTTTGAACCCAAGGTAAATACGGAAAATAGCATCCCGATTCCAAATTTTCTTTCCAATTCAGACACGTTAACATACAGGTAGAGATATTAGCAAAACTTTCTTTGTGACTCTCCGAAGATGGATGGATACTAGTCGTCGTGGAATCCCATACAAGATGATTATTCATATTTTCATGCACATCTTGCACAAAAAATAGATACGGCTTTGCTCGAATGAGGTTAGGAACCATTTCTCCTTGATTATGATCCATCCAGACATCTTCCCGGTCATCCACAATAATAACCATGGAGTCATCACATGGAAAAATTCTACGAAGACTCTTCCTATTCATCATACCCTCAACAAAGTCATCCCGAGACACAATACGGCGCTGAAATAAATTGCCACTAGGATCTAACAAAGTTGCTATGGCATCCGCATAAGAACGACTGCCCATTGTATAAATATGAAGTTCATATCGTTGATGAATCTTTTCTAAAAAGCGTCGAACATTTGGACGTAGTTTTACCAAAGATATACTACCATCCAAATCCAACTCATGAATATCCTCCATAAGAGGAGCGCTACATTCCAGTGCCTTTTCAGTTGCTTGCTGATATATTTCCTGCTTGTACTGATACCATTCCTGTGGAAAATGACTAACTAAAGTGGCATGGATGAGCGTGTTATCCAAATCCAGGACCAAAGATAACTTCTTTCTTCTTAAAAGTCGTCTAGTGTTTTCCCCTTCAACCAACTCCAACTCATTTCTACTCACACGCAGTTGGGGGTGGGTATAAGCTGGGTTTAAATGATGCTTGTTACTTAAAGTCCAGTCCGTTCTCGTAGAAAATTCTCTAGGTGATTCTAATATAGGAGATGCTGAATAAATATCCATTTCTATTCCACAAAGAGCACAGTTGCCGTTGAACTGGACCTTGTGGTCGCAAACATCGACTGACAAGACCATTTGTTGGGGTTGAATGACGTGATTCTGGTTAACTACCAGAGCGTCCACTTTCCCGGTTACCTTTTCTGAAAGTCTTAGACCCCAATAATTTGTATTCTGTTGCCCACCAGCTGTCGTACTCGTTCGGTCCTTGCCACTCGGAAGATATTCTTTGAGAATAACAGAAAAGTCCAGGTTAGAACTAGCCAAATTGACCAATTCCATGGTTTCCTTCTTTTCTGTCTGAATACATAAAGGCTCAGTTCTGCTTTGGGGTTCTCGGTCGTCTTTCCAAGCTTTCGCCTCTTCCAAGGGTCCCTGCACCACGGCAAGTACCTGAAGAGGTCTTACTTGGTCACCTGTTTTGACCAACCAACTTTCTAACAAGTATTTGTCACCGGAAGAACAGTGCCTCCTAGTGATAGGAAACAGACAACTACATAACCCCATTTCTTCCAAGTACCCCCCAAAAAAAGAGTTCTTGTCTCACTCAAGAATCCTTTTTCTATTGGCTAGTTTTGGCGCCATTCATTCGAGGAAAAAAGCTTCTTGATGACTATTATTTGAATCTGAAAAAGTTTCCATTTTCAGCCAATATAAACAACCATTTTCAGACATTCCCAAAATATGACTGTATCCGTTGACAAACTGTTTAGTCACACCAATCCATCGACTGTCCGCTCGAAAACCAAATATTCTCTTACAGGAGACCAAATTGGCTCCAGACATCATTCTAGGACGTTTCTCAGATAGTAACACTTGTTCTCTTTGTAAATTTCCTACATAACCACATGACAACTCGTTATCCACACCAACTACGATACAACGACACTCTTCTTTTTCGGGAAAAAGGACATGTTTACATTCATATTTGAGACAATGATTCCATCGACAACGAACATTCCAAGTACGAAGGTCCAATATACTAACCATTCTATCCACTCCCCCAACCGATAGGCTACCTCGATGACCAATATCTATACCATATAGACTTCCATTACCATAACATTTATGATGAATCCTACCACCTCCTTCTCCAACTCTGGTATCCCATATAGACAAATAGGGACCTTCCAAACATGCAACCAAGTGACAAAAGTTGTTGGCTTTGCTGGTATCGTCATTATCTAACGAAATATCATTCCAAGTATTCGACAGAAAGCGAACTGCATGAGGAGTATACGAAAGAGCCAATTGACGAGTAGCCAAGTCCTTGTCATAAATGGTCAAATCTCGAAAGAACTGTCGAACTATGGCTATTCTAGAAAGATGCCAGGGATCCAAGTCTAAACCTGCCCATCCTTCTTCTCCATCTTCCATACTGATAGGCGCAATTGCATAACTGTTGCGTGGAGAGCCAATTGAGTTATCTTCAGGTGAGCAATTAGCCATAGATATTACTGCTCTACCCCAGCCATCTACTGAGGCAATTTGAAACTCTCTGTTGGAACATCTCCGCACTTGCAACGACTGTACTTCACATCGATGACTGATATGCTTAATAGGTTCCAACGAGAACTCGCCAGGTACGTTTTCAGGTATCCAATTATTTGTAGTACCCAAGTAAGAGTGTACTAGTTTGTCCACAGAAGAATCGGTTCCTTTACATCGTTTCTTGTTGACGTCCCTTTCGTCACGAGTGGTTTCTTCGTGCACTCTAAACTTTTGTTTTTGTTCCAGCAACAATTCATTTACTTGAAGATGATATATTTTTGTACCCGAGGCCACAAAAACGGAACCGTATTCTATGTTGGCTCCTAACCTCGAGGAAAGAAAACTAGCAGGTGAAAACGTGTGATGCGTTTGAAGCTGAATCAGTGGAGAGTATAAGTATTGGTCATAAGAAGAAAAAGATGGTGCTTCTTGCATCTTATGATCAAAGTAAGCAACGTTGTGTAGATCGAGCGAATTCCGAAATGCTCTTAACCAAAAATGGCATGGATAATAGGAATACCGAATAGGATGTCTATGGCTACGAGTTGTTGGTGCAGGTTATCCAAAGAGAATAATCGCAGTTACCAATCTACTAAGATATATAAAACAACAACATTATTCTGGACAAGACGACGAACCAGTGGTTGTAGTAAAAAAGCCTTGTGGTGTTATTGTGGTGTGGATGACAGTTACTACTATCGAGTGTTGGGAGTTGAACCCAACGCGGACTGGGATACTGTCAAACGAGCCTATAGAAAAAAGGCTCTCGAATGTCATCCCGATGTATGCAAAGACCCCAACGCGAAAGAAAAGTTTGTTCGAATCCTTCACGCTTATCAAAAGTTATCCAACCACAAAGAAAGAAGTGGAACATTTAGAGAATACAAAAGTCCACAGAACAACACGGAGACTCATCAAGACTTTATGAAAGAATGGAGAAAGAAGAATCCTTATCCAGAGGACTTGGATGATAATTGGGCCAGTTTATGGAACGATATAGTGGATGGTGCCAAAAAGACAGCCAAGGGTTGGAAGCAATCTACTTTAGGAGTTGAAGGCAGTGCTTCTTTTTTGGATGATCTTTTGAGTTTTATTCAAGATCAATTGGTTGGGTTATCTTCCAAAGAGCAAGAAGAAGACTTTGAAGCAGTGCTTCGCAGTGGAAATCAGGAGCTTATAAGAAGAGAGATTGAACACAGGGAGGCTCTTTTATACCAATTACAGAAGAAATGGGAAGCTTCAGAGGCAGTTTTGGAAGCTAAAAAACGTATTTTAGATATTTTAAAACGATTGTATGATAAGTATGAAGGACAAACTCATATACGAGATGAGTTGAACAAACAGATGGATACCGCCCAATCAGAAAAGGCAAGTGAAAGCATACCATTCATTTCTTCTTTATGAAAGAAACGTATTTTTAGGATCTTTGGTATGAAAGGGTTACCAGTATCAAGAAACAACAACAACAAGAAATGACAAAAGTCAACCGATTGAAGACACAACTGGATGTGGATGAAGAATTGCAAGGATTGAAAAATCAAATGGGCTTATGAATGCCGTGTCTACGGGAATCATCGAACATAGCACGAGCCAAAGGGACTTCTAGAGTCACGAACTTTGGGTTACCCATCCAAGATTGTTGTTTTCCTATATGAATAGTGCATCTTCTCCTAACAACTGGAAGCAGAAAATTCTCTATGGAAATAAAAACTACAAGTTAACACTGTCCGAAAGAAAAAAGCGAGACGAAGAAGCAAAAACACGCAATTCAACCATCCAACAGCAAATACAACGGTACAAGGAAAAGTTACATTCCAAAATAAGAGGAGAAATGATCGATTTCTTACAAGAAATTCATACGTTGGTATTTAGGCAAGTAAAAGCTCCCATTTTCTTTTGTAGTGTATAGGGTACCAACTATGTATATATATGTTTGTGTGTTTGTTTGATATAGTGGTGGTGGGGTATTGGGTACTGGTTTCTTAGGTGCCTTAAGCGCTTGTATCGATTATGGTCTAGTGCTCAAAAAAATAAGAAAGTATGCTGGTGTTTCCGCAGGTTCGATTTGTGCAGCCTTGTTGGCAGTTGGCTACAGCGCTTCCGAACTATATGAAGTTTTAGAAAGATGCGATTTTTCACAACTGGTAAAAGTACAATGGACAAGAGTATCCAAGATTGCTTGTTCTTGTTTGGCACACTCTGAGGTTGGAATCAATAGTGGTGATAGATTATATCGTTGGATTGGTCAATTGATTGCTAAGAAGACAGGCGTTGCCAACTTGACCTTTCATCAATTGAAATCAAGATATCACAAGGATTTGATTATTGTGGCTACTGCAGTGGACTCTTTTGAAAAAATATTACTTTGTGCTAAAAATTATCCCGAAATGGAGATAGCTTTGGCTGTACGTGCATCCAGTAGCATACCCGGAATCTATGAACCCGTGGAATATGCCAATCATTTATTGGTAGATGGTGGTTTATTGGATAATTATCCATTAGATGTTGTCACTCCTAGTCATCAAGTTTTAGGTTTTCGTATCACCGACAAATCCAATATGGAACGGGAATTAAGAGCAGAGTTTGTGGAAGGACTTGCCATAGTAGATGCAGAAACATTTGATAGAACAAGGCATCGTATTTTGGAAGAAGCCGGAATATTGGAGGATATGGAAGGCATCGATAAATATGGCTCAGATGATGGTCGTTATTCCTTTTTGAATCGAGTCGTTTCCTGCATGATGTGGGAATTGGAACGGTTACAGATTTATCGAAATATTAAAGGAAGAACGATATATGTAAATAGTGGTAAATATTCATTTTTGCAATTGAAGTTGACGAAAGAGGAGAAAATGGAACTATTTTTGTTGGGTTATCGCAGTTGTTTGTGTAGTTTACAGTTGATCATGGAAATGGAACCCGACTTGAGTCGTCTTGGTGCTTGTTCCTTTCGAGTGGATCGTTTTCTTCAACAAACGAATGGTTTGGAGTCCACTGAGCCATCTTCATTATCATCTGCTACCATTTCTCTTCCTCTTCCTCCACCATCATCATCATTATTATTAATGCCTGTGATTGAAGAAAACTCACAAGAAAATAGTAGAATGTGATTCGATATGGAAAGAATGAATATCATAGCAACAAATATTTAAGTTATTCATGTGATAAAGAATCATGACCGTTATGATAACTTTGTCTCGATTGGGAAAAAGGTATTTCTGATGGTTCTTGATGAACTTCCAAAGAGTCTTCTTCCACTACTCGAGGAGAGTATAAGGGAGATACTTCTTCAGCAGCAGCTTCTAAATAACTTCCAATTTCATGAGGAGTAAGATATCTTCCTCTTGTACTAGCAATACGACGTAAGGCTCTTTCCGTTGCTTCACCTGTTCTAGTATGTGCCACACGAAAACAAGGTTTCAAATAACAATTATCAAAATATTGAAAAATACCAAATGGTCGAATAATACCACCACCACCACCTAATTGGAAATTGGATTTGTATTCTCTCGAAGTTACTATTCCATGAAGTGCTGCTCTGCCATTGCTATCTTCTGTAGTGTCCTCCTCTTCATTATTCTCAATAAAACGAGAATGAACTACATCCGTTTCTGCAGAATCAGCGCCTTCCACACGCAATAAACGTAACAAAGGCATAGTACCTCCTCCCAATACAATCACAGTGAATAATACAATTGACTAGATACATAAAACTCCTCCATTCATAATCATATGTATACACATGCACACACTTACCAATGTAGTAGATATAACTGCACGTCGAACTTCACTATTCGCACCTTGAGTAGGAAAATTCAAAGATAAGGCAAAGGCTATTGCGCCTCTTAAACCAGAAAACCACATAATGAATTGATTCTTCATGGATATTTTATCTGCTCGATATCGATTCAATATCCAGGAAAGAGGAAATATATTGAATGCTCTTACAAAGTTGTGATGATCATACCATCATTCATTCATTCATTCATTCATAGCTTACCTCGATACAAGAGTAAAAATAATACCCCATAAGACAAGTAATGGTTGCCAAGATAGACGAAAGGTAGTCAATGCTAAACCTAAATAAACAAATACAAAGGTTTCCGCTAAAAAGGCAATCATCTTGAAAGCCTGTTGCGATGATATTTGTGCAATGGGACTCAAATTGGGATGTGCATAATGTGCTAAGAATACTCCATTCGATAAGACACCCATAATACCCGATAAACCAACACCTAATTATATATATATATATATATATATATGAAATAATCCAAAAAGAAAAATAATATTCATCTCTCACCTTCACATAACAAATAAGGAAAGAATGCCAACATGAAATATAAACTACTTTCCAAAGTAGGATATCGAAACAAGTTGGTATATTTCAACATAAGGGCAGTCACTGCAGCATTCACAAAGCCAATGGCTGCTGAACCAAAGAATATTTCAATAAATTGAAAAAAAGGTGTGATCGAAGATGGACGATCAGACACAAGCATAGAAGAAAATACATGATAAAGTACAATAGCAACAGCATCATTCAACACACTTTCACCAAATACTAAGAAATGCAAAGTTTTGTTCACTCTCAACGCATTGAACACTGCAATAGTGGCAACGGGATCAACCGCAGATATAAGAGCTCCAAAACTCAAGGCTTCCCAAAAAGTTAAAGTAAAACTTGCATGAATTATGCCCATGAGCCATAAGAGGATTCCAAAAGCAACTGCTGACACAAAAGTTCCAATAACTGCAAATACAAATATGCTACCACTTTGAGCAAAGAAATCAGTCTTATTCAAAGAATATCCTGCCTCAAAGATGATAGGTGGGAGAACAAATAAAAAGAATTGAACTTGACTAGGTAGTGCTTGGTTCACAAAACCTACAATGTCTCTTGCGAATATTCTTATCATGGCGCCCACTAAGATACCCAAAAATACATAAGCTATACAGTCGGGAAGAGCTGTAAAGTGGTTTTGTAAAATAAAATACGTCGAAAATATACACAATAAAAGAGTCAAACCAGACACTGTTAAGCCAAACCCTACTGCTTTTTCAGCTTCATCTGCTATTTGGGTGGTGGTTTCTGGACTTTGTGCCTAGAAAGCATGAGTCAAAGTCTATTCTTTTGAGTGACTTACGTCTGAGCCACAGTTACATTCAGGACATTTTACTCTTCCAATCCCTTCTACTGACCATAAAGCAACTACCAGAGAGAAACAAACCAAAGATAAAAAGACAATGGCTAAAGTGGAGCGAGATGTTCTTCGTCCTCTTTCGTACAACAACTGCCTTAGTTCATCCAGTGACAAGGAAGGGAATCGAGAACGTAAAGCCGTATATTGTTCTGACCACGTTTGCTGAATAGGCTCTTGAGTGGAATCTGGAAGAGAGTGTTCATTTTCCATCAGTAATATGAATTGCGTTAAGTATCCCTTCTCTCTCTCTCTCTCTCTCACTAAGACTATAGAAACAATCGATCCGTTAATTTCGAGAAAGAGAGAATCACCCCTGTTATCATTTCCTCTTTTCCAATGAAAAGAATTTTGATCATTTTATTTTTCTCTGTTTCTATTTTTCTCTCTTTCGATTTTCTCTCTGTATTTTTCTCTCATTTCTTTCACATCAAAACAACAAAACACACACACACACACACAAAAACACACACAAGCACACATATGGAGAAAAAGCAAAACCTCACTTTTCGCCAAGCCTAATTGTCATCCAACTTTCAAAGTTCATCATGGTTTGAAGAGTCTTCCTTGGATTTCTCGGTTTCACTCCATCTAGTTGGAACATGATCTGCCCATTTATCTTTCCAATGTTCGCCCATCCAAGGATATCTTATCGTAACATGCCTATATCGGTCATTCTCTGTAAGAGCATTCATGGGTTCTGGGAGTTTTCGTTGATATTCAGGAGGACACATCAAACCCTGTTCAGCTGGAAGATGACATAAACCTCCATAATTCAAAACATAACAAGTACTAAAAAAGGCATCAATATCATCCACATCGGTTACTTGTGAAAGAACATCGAATTGTTGAGCAATAGCTGTAGCTCCTTCTGGAGTTGCCTCGTACAATTTTCCAGCCATATGCAATAGAAAGTCTCCTGGTCGATATTCTTCCAAATAAACATTCATCACATGCTTTGCGATATACTTCACATGTTGAGTAGCTTTATCGCCCAACTTATCGATATAAGTTTGCAATGCAGATTGGTCCAAAGCTCTTGCCTAGAACAAGTCATACACCTGAATGAAAGTTCATAAACTCATTTTACCTTATCAAACTCTCTATCGTGATATACTTTGTTGAGAAATTGAATATTCCATGGAGAACATTTCAACAAGAATACACCTGCATTGATCATCAACCAATCTTCCGTCAATATGATATCGTAATCGTTGTCGATAATATCTTCTAATGGAATAGATTGGTTGACAATCAGTGCGTCTGCATCACTCCACAGCAACCAATAGTTAGGTCTCCCTACACAAGCTGCCAAAGCTAGTTTTATTTTTCCAAAAGTTGCCGCCCTTCTGTCAAGAGTAAAGTCTTTTTGGGGTTTGTAACAGTGGTTTCCTCGTTTTACGATTTCGGTAGAAGATTTATCTTTGCAGCTAGTCTACGTCGCCCATAAGTAAGGAAAGAGAACTGTAACAGTTTGTGAATACCTCTTCCCACAATCCAGTGGTTTCATAAGGACTATGAATGATCATATCATAGCCGTGACGTGAAGCATATCTTTGCTTGTTTCTAAGAGTGACGTTTCCCATTTTTTGAAAGAACCATATGCCGTCAAACATCTGAAGAATACCAATCTCCCTTGAACTTTGTATATTTTGTGCGTTGATTTGTTTCGTTTCGGAATCCGCTTGAATAAAAGTTGCAATGCAAGCAGCGAATAGTATACCTATCCAACAAAACCTTCGACCAAAACCCATAGTAACTGTGATTATGTAATACAACTAGTATAGATAATCGAAACAGAATAGTAGGTATTATCTAAACCACAAAGATAGTCTAAAGTATATTTGTCAGTATAGAGTCCCAAAGAAAGTCTTATCCATTCGTCATGGATGATTGACCAACGACGTGTAAATCAACCAATCGGTGCCACGTGGAATGACGAAAAGAGAACAACTGCCTCGAATACTTTTCTGTTCAACTTAATATGTATTGTATTGTTCCTTTGGATTCTCATGCAGCCATTCTTAGTCATGATGAATGATGGATATTCTTGACATTGTGTTTTGGGGCATTATTGGATTGAAAGAGGCGAGACTGCTTCGCCTATGGCACAAAACACACTTGTAGAGAACAAACAGCCCTTGTGGCTGTTTTCTGCAGAAGAAATAGCTTCCATTCCACCTTATGAGAAACAATTTGTTAGAAAATTGGCAGCTTATATCATCGTGTGCTCGGAATGGCTATCACTTCCACTACCTGTGGCCCACTATGCAGTTGTTTTATTAACAAGATACGATATGTTATACGATTTAGAACCAAGAACAGAGGCCCCTTATATTGCAGCTGCTTGTTTGTTTCTGGCTTGTAAAGTACAAGAGACACACAAAAGACTCCGTGACGTGGTGTTCTGGACGGTGAAAGTTCGTACAAGGAAATCAAGAGTAAGGAATAAATAGTCACTTGTTGCTGATATGAACGAAATGAGTTAGGATTATCCTGGAGGAGAAGAAGTTTTGGAAGGAAGTGTTCGTTATGTCGAAGAAAAGGAGAATTTGCTGTCCGCTGAGAGGGATGTCCTGAGATGTCTTCATTTTGATATATTCTTGGAAACTCCTCACAGCAGCATCGTACAATTAGCCAAGATATATGGAAATACGAGAGAAAACCAAAGAATGTTGGCACAGTTTGCTTTAAATGTGCTACACGATACTTATGTTTCTATTCCATTCCTTCATATTCGTTATCGTGCCAAGGAGATTGCCACAGCTTTGGTTGCTTTTGCTGCAGCTATGTATGATTATGCTCTGCCAGATAAGACAATTGAAAATGGTCAAAGTGGACAAAATGAAAGTAGGTTGGTGGCGTTTCATGAATACTTTCAAGTAAACCGCATCGTGTTGAATGAAATATGGAAACGAGTATTGGACTGTTATGAACCAGAATATTCTTCAGAAGATAAAACCAATTCTTTGTCAAAGGAAGAAAACAGACATAGATAAGTATTTTCATAAGGTGGCCATTAAAAATAAAGTTATCTTGTATAACTTTTTGAAGTGAATATCGAACCCAAATGATGACGATCTGCATATCGATATTGTGACAGATACCTTGTGAGATATCCATATATACAAAGCCTTTTATGGAATGCCAGTCATATCTGTTCTTTGCAAATGTAAATATCGTAAAGTAAAAATCAATTTATCATATTATCCAAATACCTTCCAACTCCTTTCAATATCTCTCATGAGAAAGTATCAAGAGTGCTTCAGTATAGCCCTACTCCAAATGAGATATCGCCATCTCTATTCTATATCGTTTATACTCAAAGACTCGCCAAATGAACTCAACACGAAAAACCAACTGTATCAAAAGAATGCCACTGCAATACATATCAAAACGATGGGTGTGTATGAACGTTATCAAAACGTTAGAGTTTTAAAATGTATCCAAACACCTTCATTCTTACAAACATCCTTTTCACAACAGTTTTCAATCTTTTCATCTAAAATGATGATGCGTAACTGGGGTCCGACTGCTCCTTCTGACAAGCAACATCCTTTGAACCCAACAGAAGAGACTGAGGTGTATAGTTAAGGACTTGTTGACAAATAAGTTTTTCCAAAGTTTGCATACTGGAACGACTCGAGTAGGAATCACTGTCCGAAACTAACTGTCTATCCTGCTCTAACAAATTACTGCGGTAAACATTCCAAAGCAGTTTTGAAACATTCAAAGCTTTGCCATCCTTAACCTCTTCTAAGTCATAAGATATTTCAGAAGGCTGAAAGCCGGCTTGTTGCAAAAGAAGTTTTGCAAGTATTCTCTTTCTTTCCAGTCGGGATACATTTTCTTCTGAAGACTCTGCTACGTTATATCTACTCTACAACAAACATCAGTAGAATAAGATAAACAAACATAAACAAACAAACCTCTTCGTTATTTAGCCACCGTGATAAAAGCATTCGAGCTGCTGGAGCGCTGGCTTGGAAAAAACCTTCCAAAGCTACCAAGACCTTTTCAGCTACCACTTTTGCAGACTCCTGTAACGGCGAACTCTCCGAATGATTGGAAAACATGGTTTGTAAGAGCGGATAATAGTGTGTGTACTTGAGTAACTTGAATTCGACGGAACTACTTCGGTTCCCTTTCTCTAAGGAATCCGTATGCTCTTCTTCACAAGTTCGTTTCCTTTTCGGGCCATTAAGAACAAGTGGTTTGGCTTGCTCTACACTTTCCTGTTGATCGACATGATTTAACCTGAAAGTATCATCTGATTGTACGCGACCTTCGGATGGTTTATAACGGCCTTGTACAATGGGGCTATCCTGCTTCAGGTTCTGCTGCTCGTTCTTTTCTACTGAAGCTTTATGTAAACTTTTCCTCCTTGGGGGTTCCAACCCAATTTCTTGAAAAGCTACTTCTAGCTGTTCAAATAGTTTTACCGTTACTTCGCGAAGCTTAACTGCAAGCAAGTAAAATTCTGTGTCTGGAGCATTGTATAAACAACAGTTGTCCCAAATAAGGTCTATATCTTCTCTCAACTCTTCCACACAAGTATATTGCGCTCTATTCAATTTCTCACGCACTGTTCCCAAGTCCATTGGCTTCTTTACTATGGTTAAATAGTCGGTCACTACGGAAGTATCTACGGGTTCTGCAAAGATATCTTGGGTATCTCTCTTTCCTAGTTTTTCAAGAATCTCATTTCCTGCAACAATAAGACAGTGTTGAGGTTCTCTCTCTTCAGGCGATAACTTGGCAAGCGAACGTAAAGTTAATGCCCACGGACCTCTTGGCGCCATTTTCCAATATTTCCAAAAATTGTCCAAAGTGCTATTCAAAAGGATAACTCCGACGAGTTGACAAGAGCTATCTAATAATAACCGAGTGTATCTACTCTTTTAAGCACATGATATTATACTGAAATGATAAATAACAAAGAAAGAGAAAAGTATCTAACTTTTCTTTAAACGCACCCTCACGTTATACGAATTCTCTTCCTGAATCTTGTTGGGGGGAGATATTCTCAAATAGTTGTGCTTTTGGGATACAATTTCTACAATGATAAAGACCTCCTTGCAAAGTTTGAAGAAATCCATGGCAAACTATGGCTCTATGAAACGAGATACAGCACAATGTCAGTTTACCAGATTGTTCAACGCACCTACTACTGGAGAAGAATTGCCACATTCGTTGGGTGGTCACGTTACCGATGCTGACACTTTATTACGTCATAAAGGTTTGGGAGAAGAAGCAGTGGTATGCATAAAGAATACAGTTGTATTCCATGAATATTTTCTAACAATTGAAACTAGTATTTTATGAAAGAAGATGCTCGCAAGTTTGAAAGATTGGCAAAGCAGCTGCGCAGTGCATTGAGTACAGCGGTATGGGCTTCTTAAAAGCTTTTGAGACAAAAATAAGTAACGTTGTCGTTAGAAAATGATGAACAAAGAAGAACTGAGGTTAGCTATGGAAAGGAGAGGTATTCAAGTGTCTGAAGAGGGCTTAGAAGATTTACTTCGTCTAAAAGAGCATATCAAGTTTTCGGATGTGAGTAGTGGTACTTAACGGATTGAGAGACATTTTCAGATGAGCTGTTATTTGTTTCTTTTGTAAATAAATGATTGGCTTGTGTAAGTAGCTCTTTTCAATGCTTTGTGTTGTTACAGACAAACGAAACCATTTTATTTGAAATGCCTTGTCCATCTCTGAATCACGAATGGTGCCAAGGAAAGTATGTCATGATAATTATGAAAAGGTCTCAAGAGTTTCCAAATCATTGGGACGAATAGGTTAGCAACCCTATGACTAGGAAAATATGCATAACAAGAACAAGCTATCCCATTAACCAATAAAGTTCCCGATGATGTAAGAGGAGCATAAACACCCTTACTTGTGAACCACTTGACGGACTGAACAGTTATTACACCAGTGTTAGTTTTCAGTAAAGTATTTCCTGGCACAATCGTTTTGGATTGGATAGCTCCGTTGGATGAGAATACCAAATGCTCTCCGCTTATAATAAGCGTATTGCTCATGTTTGTAAAATGTACATGAGCAAAATTTGCTTCTTGATATTCATCCCTGTGCAACCAACCTATGACTTGGGTTGGCTTTCCTTTTGCGTCTAATATGATGTCTCCAACTTGCAACTGTTCCATACTTTTAGTATGGAATGAGTCGAGATGAACTCTGGAGTTGCCTGAGAAACAACTTACACCACTACCACCACCACTACTACTACTGGTACTACTTTGTGAGCCACTATTCTTCTGAGAACATGAGCCTTGAGAAGAACTGGAAACAGAAACGTAAAGATTGCCTGTTTGTTGTCTAATATCATTGAATGGAATAGCCGTTCTTCTCAGATCACATAAGCTTCCCAAGCCAAAGCACGAGAACAAAGATGGGCAGAGTATGTGGATCACTTCACATACATCCTTAGAAAGGTTGTCAAAAAGCCATTGGACCAAGTCAGAAATGTCATCAAAAAAATTATCAAAGATTGAGAAAAGCTCCGTTATGGAATATTGCATAAGCTTGATAAAATCTGCAAATCCAATACCGAAGACATTCAGTACATCGTTAATACCTAGTCCAAATGACTGTACAAAAGTCTTCATGCTATATCCAAAGAAGTCAATGAAATCTTGGACCGACATTGAGGCTATTTCAAACACGTCATGTAATCCAACGTTGAAAATTTTCAATATTTCGTCTAATGCTAAATTGGTTTCATTGACAAAGGTTTCAAAGGTGATGTTAAACCAGTTTAGGATGTCTTCGATAGAAGCCCCTGTCTGTTTTACAAACTCTTGAATGGACATATCAAATAAACTAAGAAACTTCGAAATATCCATGTTCAGTTGCTTGATAACTTGAGGTATAGTAAGACTGAACGTTCTTTCCACAGATTGAAGGTCCAAATCGAATTGCTTGAGAACGTCTTTGAAAGGTATATCGAACAAATTTTCAATATCAGACAAAGTAATATGGAAGTCAGTAACCAGACTACTCAAGTCGTAATTAAAAGTGGAAAGAATGTTGTTCAAAGTAGAATCCGTTTCCTTCACAAATTCGTCAAAATCTAAGTTAAACTCTTCAAGTAACTGTTGCAAGGTTGCTCCCGTCGTTGCCACAAAATTACGCAAGTTGACACCATAATCAAGTAGCAACTGTTTGATCGTGATGTCAAAGTCATTGACGATAGTTTCCCAGTCTTCATCAAATGCATTCAAAAGGTCAGAAAACTGATATCTATTTTGTTGCAGTTGTAATAGAATTTCATTTAGGTGCATATCAAAGATTTCAGTGATGTCTTTGATAGTTAAGACACCATCTTGTAGGAGAGAACAAACACCAACCCCAATAGTATAACAACTAGAGTTGCTCGCACATGCTTCCGACTGTATATTACCATCATTGCAGCTAACTTTTATTTGAGAGGATGATGGACCCTTCGATTCAAATGAAAATACGTCGAGCTGATTAAAGTCAACTGAAACACTTGTTGAAAAAAGTGGTGACTTGTCTGCGCAACTGGCAGGGTAGAAGTTAAAGTATATGATGATATTCTGATCATTGGTTCTCTGATAACTTGCCCATTCATGATATGTTTTCTCGATAGAAATGGAAGAGGTTCCATATATATAGAGTATAAAGAATACAACGCATAGGAAAATTTTCTTTTGCATAGATTGATATAAAGTATTACCGATGACAGTTTTGGGTAGGACTAGAAATGATAAAACGAGCCGGAGGAATGAATCATTTAAATAGAAGGTCCCAGGGTTGCGCACCCCATTAGGATTGGACGCAGTGACGACCAATAGGAAACATTGGCAATCCCAATGACAAAGCTGATTGGTCAAACGAAACTGAGGGAATCAAATCATTCTTACTTGTTACATCTTACGACACACACACACACACACACACACACATATATATATATATATATATATATATATATATGGACTTGTTTCGGAACACTCTAGTAACCCATAAGGAATAGTTGGAAACAGCTGAGAGCTATCCACAAGTGAATATAAACCCTAATAAACCCTAAATTTAGGGTGGATAGACCAATAAAACCAAGTAAAATAAGTGCCAATATTTTCCAACTGTGAATAAATTCTTTTTGACTTGTTCGGTATGTATTGTGCAAATAGTTTGAGAATTCATTTGCTTTGTCTAGTTGAAGTGTTGCTACCCTAAACCAAACCCTTTCTTGAAGCTTGTTTCATACACTTTAGAACTCCACTCGTTCTGCTTTTCAACTGTATTCTCCATGATAGCCTTCCAAATATAACCTTCACGTTCTAAAAATTTACTTATGATATGTTTGGGAGTCTTCTCAGTTCCAGATATTCTTCATTTGGTAATTGTATAGTTCTTAAAACTGCTCTTTAAAGAGTGTGAATAGCCATAGGACTACTCGATACTTAGTACAACACTTTTGTACAAGGACAATTAAGAATTGCTGACCAACTATCTCAGTAAAGACCTCCATTCTCTAGAAACTAAGAAAATAGTTAGGTCCTCTAGAACCACGGACAAGACTTTATTGGCTAAAATCTCTTGAAGGCATTCTTTCTGAAGCCAAAAATATTTCTGTGATTAGTTGCCTCAAACTTTTTTGAGTCATTTCTATATATCAAAATTCTACGTTAGCCTGGTTGGCAGTTTTCTAGCATACGAAATTACATTGTCAATCGAAACAAAAATGACAGACTGTTCAGTTTAGCAAAGAAATATTGTACAGTATTCAAATAGTCGCAATTGACGAGGATACTTGTACAGTTTTGCTGTGACGGAGGAAATACAAAAGGCCAACATCAGAGAAGAGAAATGAATACGACGATTTTCTGGAAAGATAATGCAACTGATTTTGAGTTGCGCAACCCACACAGGCTACAAATAGGACATTCAATAGGATGTTTTGGGATTATCCCAAATTTTTCTGATTGAGAAATGCTGCAATATCTTCTGCTACTCTTGACCCTGGTCACGTACCTCTCAAATACCTTAGCGTGTATACCCTTGGAGTATTCTTATGTAAAACACAACAGCTCTCCTTTGCTCATGAAAAATATTTCTACATTTTCGACAAGCATTTCTAGAGACTCCGAGATTACTGTTTCAGTGACTTATTTTCCTCTCTCGAATACTTGTAGTGGACAGAATTATGCTTCTAACATGTATACTACAGACAGTTCAAATCTTCATGAAACATTTACTCTTTATAATTACTTTAATGAATATTTAGACGAAACTTTACCATCGATCACACAAGATATTACTGTGCAGATTGTCGGTTGTGGTAATGAAATGCAACTTCAGGTGTGTTATCAAGGCACATGTGAACAAGCTCCAGTAAATGAATGTATATCTATGGATCCTTTGATGCAGAGTCTTACAGGGAATGTGGAAAACTTAGGCAGTGTTTACATTCAAATCTCAGCACCTTGTTCTAGTGGTTCAGA